AATTGGATTTTAAACCTCTCATTCATGTTTGCACAAGCCATTCAAAATGATGCTTCCACAAACCGCTCTTCCATTTTTCGAGGTTAATTTTTCTGTTTGTTTTTAGTGTTAGAATGACCTGAAGATGCCAAAGTACCCATACTAGCACAAATCTATGAGATATTTTGATAAATTTATAGTTTTCTAAACATTTCAAAATTGTCTACTTTTTTTTTATACACCCTGTATATATATACTGATTTAGGGATATAGTTAAATTATTTTTTAAAACCTAGTTGTTATACATAACCCTGACCAGTTAATGCAAACGTTTTCACTCTTATAAAGTCTCGAAATTGTAAAATCAAAATAACTATTGTGTAATTATGAATAAGTTATTGCTTTAATTTTCAATTCTGTGTTCGTTTAACTTAAACGGTGAGCTTGTCTCTCTTGAACGAGTCAACTTGAATATTATGCACTGAATAGATAGTTGTAAACAGTATCTTTTTATTAAGGTTAAAAACATTTAGTTTGCTTGTTGAGTAAAACGATAGACTTGCTTTTTATTTTGGACTTAACCACCGTTTAAGCTAAACGGGCTTGATACAACCGGCCCTTGATTTATAGTATATCAATCACGACCAAGAGAAAACTGTGTTAATTTGTTTGGTATATGAGTAGGCCTTGTCGATTAATATTTTTCAACAGCAGACAGCCTGCTAGAGGACCGCTTGGGAGTTTGGGAGAACGAGAAATAATCAGTGGGAAAACGAGCCCGTTGCGCGAGTTTTCAAACGTTATTTCGAGTTCTCCCAAACTCCCACAAGTGTTTCTATAACTGTATAGAAACACAGAAAAGATTTTGTACAAATATTATAGTTCGATTTAATTACAAATTCTCATTACATCCCTTCGTTTTTCAAGTACGGGAATTCCGTCGTAGTCATTTTGAGACGATATCTTCGAAGCAATGAGTAAAAAATGGGCTCATTAATAATGTGATCGGCCAAACAATACTATAGTCGTCATCACTATATATCAAACAATATCCGGTTATCTATTTGCCGTTCTATTTTATGAACAATTTTTTTTATGCTCAATTTTGAGCAGGTTGCCGTATCATGCGAGCGAAATCGAATCGCGCATCGGAAAATTAGCCAAAGCTGTGCATCACAACTCTTGGGAGACAAAACTGTGACGTAGATAAATACGGTCACACACACTATTCCAATACTTGTGTATTTCGCGCGAAACACACTTGCGACGACAAAAAATAAAAAAACAAAAAAAACAAAAACAAAATCAAGGCGAATTTTCAACTCCGTCGCTCACGCGGAGTATTGGGCTAAAGTCTCTGTCTTACGTTCATTTGCATGTGATTCGGCACATGAAAAGTTCGACGTCAGAAACTGTCCTAATTTTTTGTCTTCTGCATGCAATAAATCTCAAGCAAGAAATGAATGTTACACGCCTGTGAAATACAAATTATGTAAAATGCAATTATATAAAATTTGATTGGTTTTGTGAGATCGCGATCTAAACATAGCGATCTTGATCGAAACATGCACGAACAGAAAAGTATTAGAACTTCATATCATTTTTAACAGCAAGACGCCCAGTAGACCACATTTGTTTATTTTCTATTTTGTGTGCGCGTTTTAGAGAATTTCAAAAACCAAGATAACATGGCAAGCGCATCCACTGCCCATAACGTAACAAACGATGGCGGTAGTGAAGGTGTCAAAAAAGAAATTGTGGCTAAACAAAACGTTGTCATGAATAGGATTTGGGCCTTAAAAGATCGAAACTCTCCAGTATTCGAGGACGAATATGTTAGACAGGAGCTTATCGAAATAGAGTCAAAAACTAAAGATGTATTTCAACTGACTAAGAATTTATTTGAAAGAGAAGACAAAGAATTAGAAGAGTTAAAGAGGACAATATCTTATCTCTTGAAAAAAGTGTCCAGGCTCGAAGAAAAAGTGACGAAGTTGACTAGGAGAGCCCAACATGCAGATATCATTGATGCCGGTGAAGCGATAAAACTCATTGAACATAATGTGGCGACGTTTGTTTTGGACGAAACGGAGGAATTTGGAGTCAATGCGATAGAAGATATGCATGACCACTTTAAATCTGACTTCGAAGCACGTAAGAGATGGTTAATTTTAGCGAAACACTGCCAGATGGCGAATTTGTGGACGCCTAGGCACGTAGGTGTTAGGCAAACAATGATTGAAAACCGAAACGATCATGCCCATCATAAAAAGTTTAAATTTTTTCAACTGCTTCAGACGATGAAAAGAATGAAGCCTCGCCATAAAGAAGAGTGCGAAGAAATTGTAAGACTGTTCATAAAAGTCAACCACCTGATGAAGTTTGGTATTATAGCATCGGAGTTCATGGAAATGAAGGCGAGATCAGATAAATGCACAACAGATTCGAAAAATCTCATGGATGGAGCAAAAATATGGGATAAAAGAAACGCCCGGAATGTACAAGATATAAAGTTAAAAGAAGCCAAAGAACACGTGACGCAATATTTTCCTGACGTCAATGATTCTGTTTGGAAAGGCACAATTGATATCATTGATGAGATAAATTGTCCAAGATTTGGCAAGCTGGTAAAGAATAAGAAGGAAGAGGTGAAAAAAAATGTCTCCGATATTTTCCCACAAATTCAGTGCGAAAACTTAGGGGAATTGATCATGTTCTCGAGAGGAGCCGAATGGAAAAGCGAGTGCCAGAAAGATGCCAAACGGTGGTACAAGTCGACCGCAGGGATATGGTGGACAAAAAGTCACAATGAAGCGATGGAAGTGATGGAAGGCCTCTTCCCAGATAACGCGAAGGAAGATATCGACCCTTTGCCTCTCGACGTCGCGAAACTGCACGTCGCTGATTTCGTAAAGAATGATAAATTATGGGAAGCGTGTTCGGAGATTTTTGAAATTTTCGAGTGGAAGAAAAAAAAATATTGGGAATATGAGTAAGAAAGTAAAAAACTGAGGCATTTCTTGCGTTATTACGTGCTTTTAAATGGTAACTTTCTAATTTAACTTTATATATAATTCTGAATAATTCGACAATTATTAACAGTCTTACTGTGCAACAAAAAATGTAATATTCAACGCGTAATGTTTGTCATTAAGTTTTTTAATATTCCCACGATTTATTATTTAATGATTTTAGTACACTTTCATATAATGATTAACAAACGAGCAGTTAATCTGCTGTAAACTGCACATAAAAATATACAACAATGTAATATTGTAGAATTGTAATTGTGAAAATATTGCCTTCATTGACTTTGCGTTGATAAAGAGTTGTAATTAAAAAGACTTCATATCTTTAAAGAAATGTACATCATAATATAATCCAAATGTTTCCTGTATAAGAGTTATGTACCCATATAGCTTAGCTTAAAGCACTGTGAGTGTTTCTTAATTACATTCAAAATAATTTCTAATCAAACCTTTATTTATGAGACGTATTGTATTACCGATAATATCCCATGGAATTCGCTGTATACTGAAAAAGGCTATGAAGGGGTTCCAGGCCTCCACCTTCTATTGTTTACCCGTGTTTTTTCTTTTAGGTACTATATATCTATACGTAAATCATTGATTTAGGGCCACCTCTTTTAAGGCTGGAGCGAATTGCCTATTCTTTCCACTTCCGAGAGGCCCTGAGGTTATACATGAACAATAAAAAATCATTTCCCACACCCATTATTTATAATCTTTAAAAGTTAATTCTGAAAAACTCTAAACACGGCAAGACGCATGTGGCGTTGGCGTCTACTCGTCTCAAACAGGTATAATCATGCATGAACTGATAAAAGGCTTAATTTGCTTAAAGGATTTTCTGCAATTTTTCGCTTTATCCCTTGTCATGACGTCAAAATCCAAAAAATCTAAAATTCAAGCGAGTATCGAGAGGGTTTTCGACCAATCAGAAGCGAGAGGACACTTTCGCCATCCCAAGATGACAAAGGCTGAAAAAAGCAATACAACAAAATTGCAGCTAGTTCCCATATCTTTTTTATGACAAATATCCTTGTGTACGTAGTTTCTGTGTATCATTTTTTTAGGTTATTATATTTTTCACAACCTTGAATCATATAATTATGTGTCTTCTCTTTTTTGAATTTTTTTTTATTTTACCTTTTTAAATTGCCGGCTGTATACGAATACTCTCCTTAACGTTATACCAATAATTTTCAATCATTTATATAAACATATACCACGGAAGCCGTAGGAAATCCTTCATTTTAACTCAGTTATTTTCAAGTTACTAGCCATCTTGCTAGGTTGTTTTGATTTATTATAGCATGAATTGAAATATGAATTATGTAGACTGTCGCATGCACGTAGCTAAGATTTATAGATATGATTAGGTAAGATAAGATTAGGTCGCTGTTTGTGTTTGTGTTAGCGGTGGACGTCAATCTGATTCTTCAAGACCAGTTCACGGGTAATTTTTACTCCAGGCGACTTAATTTCCTCTCAATTCGATATATGAGACTCAGAGTTTACAAGTTGCAGATAAGAGCACTTAACCACACAAAGCACTCAAAACTATGCACTCGTTTGCTTAGGATGAAAGGATAAAAAACAGACATAATTGCATCAGTCAGGCATTCTCACAACTACTGATAATATATGGATTTTTTTTTAATATCCAGTGATATTTATTATTATCCTGTTATTTTGCCCAGATTAAATTTGTTTTCTTTGAAAATGGATAATTGGATAAAAATTTTCTCGAACTGACGAAAGGTTTACATATTTCTCGTTCGAATTTATGATTATAGGAGAAGTCACGTTTTTCATTACATCCCCACGATGATTATTTCCTGTTTTCCTTTACCATGGCGCCACAAAAGTCAATATAATATTAAACTCAATCGGATTTCAGGAATGTAAGGGTTCTCGGCCAATCAGAAGCGAAAGGCAATTTAATTGTTTATGATAATTTTGATTGTTCCCCATGCAAGTATATTGGTCATTGTCAGTTAATAAAGATATCGTCTGGCAAATGTTGAGGATACCTCACCGACAATAAGTCTTCTGAAATTTTGCCCATAAATATTTCGTGGCTGTTGAATTGCTGTTGGACGATCGCGTATGGTGTTAAGGCCATCATCCTCAACTTGGACACGTTGGCAACTTGGCATAAACAGAAATATAAAAAGAAAAAAGCATGCAAACACTACGGCTATAGTTTTCAGACCATGTCCACGTAGACTATAAGCAAGGTAACGATGCTGCTTTGTGAGTTCAGTAGCGTAGCCAGCCTGTCGATTTTTCCCGCTATGCTAATATTTTGGTGTTTGTTGACTGTGAAAACAATAAATTTCTAAAGAAATGATGATTATAGTAACTCGAAATATACATAGCGGGACAAAATCGTCAGGCTGGCTACGCCACTGAGTGAGTTAATGACTGTACAGTGTACACTTATTAATGCTATGGAGTACGGATAATTTCTGTTGGGAGAGGTAATACTCCAGTTTTCAAGATTTCTGTTTTGACTTTTGACGGACTTTTCGTATTGGCTTAGCCAATTTAACACAGCTCGGGCGGGAGGGCGGCAATGCGACGCGAATTTAAAACCAAAATGTACTGTAGCAAAGTAATCTTGAAGAATATCATGACGGGAAAGAATTTATTGGCTTCTGGAAACTTAAAAACTCGGGAAAATCACGTCCGTTGCCAAATCGCGTGCGGTTTGTGTTGGTCTTTACGCCATGATTTCCGTTCGCCAACACAGCTACTTAAGGCTGCTTTCCAATTACGCGTTTAAGCGGGGAAAATTTTACATGCTTTCAAATATTTTTTTAAGACATTGGTCAACGAATGCATTCTAAAAAACTAAAACGAAAACTAAGTTCTTTCGATTTATTCGCCTAGGTTTTTGTGGGTAGCCTGCGTATGCGCGGCTAACCACTATGTAGTCGAAAAAGTGTCCGGATCTGTGTGTGTGTGTCTGTGGCAATCTTCGGCAAACGTCGGACATACGAAAGATGACGAACGGTACGTTCTACTTCCGGAAAATTTCGTTGTTTTCGAAGGACGGAAGCATTTGAAGCAACCGAAGTTACGTTAATACGTTTGTCAAATTTTAAAGCGAAGTTGAGTACTTTAAAGACGAAAAAGAGGTGATCGGTGAGCGTTGAATCTACAACTACAAAGTTACACTGTTATAATGCAATATTTCACCTGTCAATTTCTTAGTTGTGGACATGCAGCTATTAAACCAAATACATTACCTTATTGCAAATGGTAGTAACAAGTTGCCCTGTTTTATAAATTAAGAATTATTATGCAATATTTCACCTGTCAATTTCTTGCTTGTGGACATGCAGCTATTAAACCAAATACATTACCTTATTGCAAATGGTAGTAACAAGTTGTCGTGTTTTATAAATTATAATTTGGCAAATGGTAGTAACAAGTTGCCTTGCTTTATAAATTATAATTCAATATTTCAACTGTCTTTCTTGCTTGTGGACATGCAGCTATTAAACCAAATACATTACCTTAATGCAAATGGTAGTATCAAGTTGCCCTGTTTTATAAATTATAACTCGGCAAATGATAGTAACAAGTTGCCCTGTTTTATAAATTATAATGCAATATTTCACTTGTCAATTTCTTGCTTGTGGACATGCAGCAATTAAACCAAATGCTTTGGAGTTCAAAAAACAAAACTGTTAACAAAAGTGCATTTCAACTAATCAAAAATCTTTAAAATATTGTTCAGATACATAGATAAGTCCTTAAAAAATGTTGATGCGAAACGTTTGAAACAATTTTGGACTCTTTGTTATGTGACTGTAAAATGATCTGGCAAATCAAGTAGTTTATCCTCAATGAAATCTTTGTTAAGATCTTTCTCCTTCTAAACTAAGCTTTATGTTAACAGAGGATGTGTGCCACCATCCCGGAACCTTACTCTCCTTTTTGTTCTGTTCACCTATTCTGCTTAAAAAATTTCATTTCCTATCTCTTGTAAAAATGCTTTTATATATGTTTTGATCTGTCCTAAAATGTATTTAATACAATAAAATATTATAATATATAGATTGCATAATAAATCGACTTCGTTATAACTGTATTCAACCAGCTAACTATAGGGCGTTTATTCTGTTGTCTATGGCATTAGAACATAAGACTAGAAAATAATATTTTATTGCATCAGTTGATATTTACTCGCCACTATAGCAGCTTTATCGCATTAATAATGTTTTACAGGCTACCCACATGTACGCATTGCGTACCTATTTTTTAAAAATGACATACATAAGGATTTTGGCATTTACGTGTGGGTACGTGCGTATGAAAAACGCGTGGGTGAGATAGCAGCCCTTAGATCATCTCTGAGACAATGAAAAATTCCGCTTCGCGCGCAAGATTACGCCTAGTTGACTAGTAATTTTATCGTCAGACCATCATGCATACCGCGATAATTCTCTGCTAAAATAGAACCAGTTTGAATGAGGAGAATGCTGATGACTGGGTATTTTTTTTGGTAGAATTTTTCGCTCCGCCATTTACACCGCTTGATCGAGCATGCGTAAGGTAAGGTGACTTATTTTCAGGTTATATTGTATTAAGCAATACTGCATGGTTATCCAATATTGAAAACAGCAACACGGTAATCATTATCTATAAACATTGTCATTGAATTCCCAACTTTACGATTCATTATAGATTATCAAAGAGAGTTTTAAACTTGTCAACCATATTCTTCCCTGGATATTTGGGATAGCCATTACACTCACCCAAAGCCAAGGTATAGCTCGCAAGAAGAACAATACATGATAGGAGTGTGAGGCAAGGGCAAGGTCGTTGCCTTGAAAACTTGTTAAAAAATAGTCGTGAAAATAGGTTGTATTAGGAACCAGTCTTTCTCGCATTTCCCAGAATTGAGTATCAGTGAATTCAATTTAATCATGACGCAGGACTACAGTACTACTTTCTGCCCCTTATATTCAATTAAAAACTCATTCTTAGCCAGGAAGATGCAAGCCTCTTGAAATGTTTAGGTCAATGGAAGACAATGATGCTTTAAATAAAAACACATAAAATTGCTGTAATTCGTAGGAATTTCAACTTGTTATCTATTGTTTTTAATGCGTTCGTCGAGGTTTGACCTAGTACTACTAATCAAAAGTGTTTTGATTTCAACTGACTGGCCTATATACGTGTAGATGAAGTGGCAATGGTCCCGGATAGGTCAGTTTGCTATAAATGCACTTAAGCCAGAGTTATCTTCAAGGAGCATTAGACATAGCGGAAATTTTAATTGTTGCCATGTGAACTGATTTTGAAAACAGGTTGTTTTTTAAACCCTTGGGAGTGACCCAAAACTCGACTATATACTGCCTCCTCGTTTTCAGATGTGGATTGGCCAAGCGGTGGCTATGGTCTTCCTAAACCCAAGTCAGGATGTCCAATAAGTAAAACGAGCGTATGGAGCGAAGGATGGAGGCTTCAGGACATGGAAGATATAGCCAAAGCTTCGCGATTGTCAAATGGGTCACACTTACACATCGAGATTATTGGTAGAGGAATCGATTTAAACAGGACCTTTTGTATAAAACAAAATTTAACCGGAATTCAAAGAGGATCCTGGCCGAATGGTAAGGTTAATATTGGGTAATATTGGTAGGATTTTTGAATATATAAATCTTTTTTTTTGGTATGTATGTGATTTTTGTCTGGTTTTCCGCCATGAAATAAAAAGTAATCGGAAATATAGAAACCGGCCATGTTTAATATATGATTTAATATATCTGTTGATCGACATGTTTTTTATACAAACAGGTGAATATTGTATTTACAAGAGCGAAGATAGCAGGTGTCCGGAGGATATGTCGTCCGGGTGGGTAAAATGGAATGATGAAGATTGGGCAAACGCAAATAACAAAGGTGGTTCGCTTCCTCAAGGCGTATATAACAACGAGACCCTGATTCATTACTGTTGCCAAACTAATGGTAAATGGTCTGATTCCATCGAGCTACCAGTGAATCAACCGTTTTATTTATTGACGACCAACTCTGTTGAAACTCCAAAATGTCAGATGGTGAAATGGGCAAACAGTCGCTTGGAGTACGTTGTGTTTGATACGGAAAAGATGTCGAATGGAGAATTTCAAAAAGGCGACCATGTGTTTATTAAGCCCAGACGAAAAGTGTATTACTGCTATTATGAAAGTAAGTATTCAATTGTTACTTTTATTTCTTCCAGAATAGAATAATCGAACTCTGTCTGCAGCTTCCACTCTCGTTTGAAGCAACTTGATGTCTTTTGAAATATACTTTATTTCAAAGCTGTAGTCCTTATAACCAAACATAATCACGAAATTCCCACGAGTTTCATAAAGAATGACAAAAGATATAATCGTAGAAATACTGCAAAATTTTTATATATCACCAACCTTTTTGGTGCTGATTGAACGAAATATGAGCGCAAGAAGATCTGGTAACTATATAGTCAAGCTTTCGATTTAGTGTTTTGGATTTCATGCTTCTTGTTGAAATCAAAATCTAGTTGATAGCTCAGTGAAATCATCTGAATTCATTCAACTTCTCATTAGAAGGACTGTCAGAAAATTACCATGAATCCATGTCTAAAAGCCATGGGCTGGTTGTGTAAAACTCTTTAACTACATTTTGCATAACTTAGCAGGTCCTCAGGTCGAAACGTCGAGAAGTGTTTTTGTCTATTTTAGGCAGTTGTTATACCACATTTAATTTTATGCTAAGTTGTTTGAAGACGCTGCCACGCTGCTCCTTGGTTATATTGAAACGTATATCTACATTTTGCATAGTTATCTCAGAAACACACAACTCTAATTGACCAATTCTGTCCTTAACTACCATTGAAAGTTAACTACAGTTTTTTATACAGCTGGCCCTTGGGATCGGTTGTATAAAACTCTTTAATTACATTTTGTACAGTTAAATTCTAGTTAAATAACTCAGAAATACACAACTCTGATTGGCCAATTTTGTCCCTAACTACAGATTAAAGTTAACTAGTCTTTCATACAATTGGCCCCAGGAAGAGTAACATTACTACAGTGTTTTCTCTACCATTCATCTCCAGGATGTCATCGCACAATGAAAAATGTTTCCAGCGGTTCGTTCGAATCTTATCCAGCACCAGCTACCGAAATGGATCCTCGTTCCCAGTACTGCTCGTGGCTAATTACCATTCCTGCAGCATTTGGTGCTGTTTCCTTGAATTTCAGTGAAATGACTATACCCAGCTGTGATGACTCATTTCTAAGAATTTACGATGGTGGCAACGCGAAAGCGCCTTTGCTGGGTTCATATTGCGGATCAAATGCCAGCGCACAAGTCAAGATTAATTCATCGACAAATAGTTTATACGTCGTGGCAAATTCTGGGAGACATGGAAAAAATGGAAGCGACATTTTTTCTTTTCAAGCCCAATATCACAACGAAACTTCCACAACGTCAACGAAAGGTTCAGGTATGTTTTTTTAGGAACGTTTCACGATCCTTTTTCGAATACATGCAGAGGTAATTTATTTAATAACGTGGTGCTTAGCATATAATTATAATAAAATCCAAATTAATGGTCTCTTTTCATTTTTAACCAAAACAGTCGACAATTTCAGCGAACTTGTTATTATAATCTTGACCGTGGGTGTGTTCCTAGTCCTCGTTCTCGTCATTATCGTTGTGTTGGTAAAATACAAACAGAGGAAAACTATTGTCAATAATGCAATAGAGATTGGTGAACACTCACTGGGACCATCACAGGTATGAATTACCCAGAATGCCCTCTTCCACGGGTATATATTATAGACAACATACGTTAGCATTCAACAAGCTCAGTCACACTAATTAAGTGACATAAAAATTTTCTTACTGATCAATGAGAAAGTTTTTTTTTAATTAATGGAAAGATTTTGGGCAAAACACTGAAAATCAAGCTCTTAATTGAATTAAAAATACAAGTAAGGAAACGTTATGACAAGATTGAGATCTCCCACCCAATGAGTTTGAGCATTTAAAATACAGGCCATATAGTCTAAAGTTAGCCTAATAGGCCTGGTTTTTATTTCGTCGTGACTGTCGTGAAGATAAAGGTGACGATGTAATAGATATCAGTTTCTGCATAAACGCAGTCAACAATTACAGATTTGAAAACATTAAATTAGGACAAATTTACAACGAGGCATTTATACTTTTCACATTAGTGAAAATACCTTTTTCATAACTACAATTACAAGAAAATGGAAACTACGCAATATGCAATATTGAAAGCCAGTCTCTTCAAGAAGACCAGCAAAATTAATGGTTATAATGGTTACAACTCAAATGAAACAAGCGAAATCTTTCACATGCGGATAAAATTATTCTCAAAACTCAAAAGATCAGCTATTTCTATCTTGATAATATCATTTTTCGTGGTTAACAGGAACCAGTACGTTCAGATGATGAAATAGTATGTGAAGCACAGGTGCAAACGTCGCCAGAAGAATTAACTTCGCCTGAAAATTATAGCGCTTACGTTATCCCCCTACAACCCGAACAGTCATATGCTGTACCAGCAGATCAGAACACGGGACCATACGAAGATCTTTACGTGATTTCCTCCGAACCAAACTTGCCTGTTTACACACAGCTGGATGCTTGCGAACGAGATAAGGAAAATTATTATCAAAAGTTGGTTCATTCGGATGAACCCGAACAAGCATGTGTTCCTTGAGGAAAACGAAGTAATCCTGATTTTAGGGCCCGTTTCAGACATCGAACTTCTCATGTACCGAATCGAATGCAATAGAACTGAAACAAGACTTTAGGTCAATAACATCAGCTTCTGCACATAAGATGAAAAACGCGTCTGATCTATCATACTTTAATTCTCTATTTTTTTTCAAGTGCTCAGTATTTACGCCTATTCATGATTGGAACTTATCGCTTTTGAAAATGGTGGATTCGCCAATAAATAACTGCAGATTAATCAGTATTCAATTCATATACGTTCGCTTCTATTCAATAACAAAAGATCGTAGCCCTCCGGGAATTATCAAGGGTTTCGCCTTTCGGGTTATACCCCTGTATAATAAATGATAATTATTAACAAAGCTATTGGTTGTTTACTTTCAAGGAATATTTTTTAGTACAAATTTACCAGTGCGATGACACTCAGAGGTACGTTCATGCAGATATAGGTTATTTTTCTTTCTAAAATAAAACCTTTCAAGCGATATCTTGGATGATTCATTATGTCTTTGAATATCATCGCAATTACAGCTATTGAACGAAACTTGCCAACATAGCATTAAAAATAACAATATATTATATCGCTCGCTATTGCTTCCCGAGCCCCATTTAAAGTTTCCTGGGGCCGGTTGTATCAAGCCCGTTTAGCTGAAACGGTGGATAAGTCAAATTTAAATAACACGCTCACATCTCTCTTAAATGAGTCAACTTGAATATCATGCACTGAATATGTAGTTGTAAACAGTATTTTTGTATTAAGGTTAAAAACATTTAGTTCGCTTGTTAAATAAAACGATAGACTTGCTTTCGATTTTGAAATTAACCATGCACCGTTTAAGCTCAACGGGCTTGATACAACCAGCCCCTGGTGTCGGTTTCAAAACGTCAGCATAAAACTAATGCTCGTTGGCAACAATATGCTTTGATAATACGTATAAAACTGCCTATTTGTTTTTATTCTAGAATAAAGAGCTTTTATGCACATTGTAAATTCTCTAACACACTGGCATGCAAAGAGTTGTACCATATAATTATCGTGTCGTATAGGAAAATACAAACTCATTTGGATAGCAACTGCATCAGTTATTCCGTTTTGTGGTATTTTAGCGGAAGCCCAGGCCCTAGCTGGAAACAAAATGTCTTTATTTTCTATAGTTTTGGGTCGTTTGAAGACCAAAAGAATGATAACCGAAGATTTATTTATTTAACTTGTTTTTCAATTCGAATTTATTTTATTCAAGATGACGATATTCATCGCTCTACAACTGATTACAATAATCGCAATAGAGTTCACCGCTGGCATGGAAGGTACGCATTGTTTACACCAGCTTGAAAATTTATTTTTTACATAACAATAACGTTATGTTAGATTTAACGACATCTATATTTTGATATTTTTAACACGAGTTCTATATTCAAACATATACTCAATAGACCTATGACCATGCAGAACTGTGTTTCTAATTGTATATCATGATTCAGTGAATAATATAATATTATTCCCAAAGCCGGTATTAAAACTGTATTGCAATTTGTTACGATATGCTCTCTGAAGCTTGAAAAAGAAAGTAGGCTGAATCATCTTGTTTTTTTTCACTCCATAGGTACAGTACCGGTAGAGACTTGCAAGTTCCTATCTTACGACTTCATACATGTGTTTAATGATTCAGCGCATGACATTACCGCCGACAAAATCAGCCCAAACAAAGAAACGCTTAGTAGTTTGAGAAAGTTCATCGTCACCGCCAAGAGACGATGTTCAATTTCTCTCACTAACATCACCCATCATGAAGAGAGGCTTAGGCAATTCACCAGAATCACGGAAAGAACTCAACTCCTGGTTTCCGCAGATAAAAACATCACAAGCGCTACAGACAGATTAACGGAGCTGAAACTTTGTGTGGATGAGTTAATTAATGGAATTAGCGCGAATTCACTGCAGCTCAATATGTCGGGGGGTTTCAAGGCGGGTGTAAATGGAGGAGCTCTGGGAAATGTGGTGGAAAATTCCTGTTGTCATGTCGTATACGGTTTTCCATCTGGCAAAAACAAATGCTGTAGACCTGGTTTCGTCGAGAAGGATGGTTACTGCGGTAAGAATACCTAGGACAGAAATACAATCCCAAACGAATTATTGCCACATATGCATGTGAAATCCGGTTTCATTCAGCCCTACGTCCAATGGTGAGGACTTTCACTTAAGCTCTTTCATTTTCAGCTTGCCCAAAAGGAAGTTTTCTGAATAAAAGTCGATGTGACGTCTGTCCAGAAGACACGTATCAACCAAAAACAATGAGCATTGGATGTCTGTCGTGTCCAGATGGAAAAATAACTTATGGAGGAACTGGAGCTGACAGTCTTTGGTCTTGCTTGCAAGGTACAAATTCAAGCATATGTAAGAATCTTCAATTCGATTTTTTACTTAGAAACTTTGAGATAAAAGCCCTTAAGAGTGAAAAATAAAAGGCATCGCAATAACTCTTTCTATAAATACGAAATCTGCGAAGCTAATGTTGTGTTTTTCTCTTTACTTAGCTTGCGCGCCTGGCCAGCGATACAATTCTACGTCAGAAAGATGTGAAGCATGTGCTAAGAACACCTACCAACCACTGGTGGGGCAACGTTTTTGTGCCACTTGTCCAAACAATACAGTCACGAAAAGTACTGGAAGCACGAAACAAGAGGATTGTGTCCAATGTAAGTGAACCGACCAACTCACATCGAAACATCGTAAGTCCAGGTGACCCTGCGAGTAGCCAGGCAGCCACTGGAAACCATGCAAAAAATACGGGAAGTAAAATGACCCAAAAAGCCTGTAAAAATTTTTCATTGTTTAGCTTGCCCAGTGGGTACCTCTTACAACTTCGTGAGTAAGAACTGCAAGCTTTGTCCAAAGAACACTTTTCAACCAGGGGAAGGACAGTTCAAATGTATATCATGCGAATCAGATAGGATTACCACATCCAATGGATCAAAGATTCAGACGGACTGCATAAAAAGTATGTATCTTAAATGAAATGCAATATAATAGTAATAGGAAAGAGGTTCCATCTTGCACGAAGAACTAAACTAGCAAAACCAAAGGTCGCGGGTTCGTTTCCCACTGGGCACAAGCTGCCCGAAGCTGCATGGGTGCCTGGTTGGTGACTCAGAGTAGCACCACAATATTATCGTATTAATTCATATACCTGAGTCATATGCACCATCATGAATGCTTCATCAATTTTGATCATAGATTGTTTCCATGGGTTATTTCTCAATCAAACGACACAGGAATGTGAAGGCTGTCCTCTCCACTATATATAGCTCAATAAAAGAGCTAGAGCTGTACGAAACAGCATTCATAGATTCGTTTCTTTTGAATTACCAGTATTTTACAGCTGAAGTTACGGGTTCATATACTGGATTTTCCAATGAAATACGTTTTTTCCGAACACCGCTCATGCAAAGAACATTGGATCGTACCATTAGTTGGCAATTATAACACATCTGACGAAACGCATTTTATTATATGTTTTTGTTACAGATTGTTCAGCTGGAACAGCGTACCATTTTACAAGCAAAACCTGCGTGGACTGTCCGTTGAACACTTTTCAGCCATTCTCTGGTAAAACAGCGTGTGTGCAATGCCCAGTGGGGACGATTACCCTGAATACTTCAACTGTCAGGAAAGAAGGTTGTTTAATAGGTACAAAGAAAACAAAGTAAAAAACATCTCTTCCTCATCTTCTCTTCTCAAGACTCTAAAAAACTGTATTCCTTCACGTCATGCCCAAAGGCCTCTCCGTCTTGGTGCTTGATTTAGAAAGTTATTTATCATATTTCATTGCAATTAAATTGTTACAATATGCTCTCTGCGTCTTGAAAAAGAAAGTAGCCTGAATCATCTTGGTTTTTTTTCACTCCATAGCTACCGTACCGGTAGAGACCTGCAAGTTCCTATCTTACGACTTCATACATGTGTTTAATGATTCAGCGCATGACATTACCGCCGACAAAATCAGCCCAAACAAAGAGACGCTTAGTAGTTTGAGAAAGTTCGTCACCGCCAAGAGACGATGTTCAATTTCTCTCACTAACATCACCCATGATGAAGAGAGGTTTAGGCAATTCACCAGAATCACGGAAAGAACTCAACTCCTGGTTTCGGTAGATAAAAACATCACAAATGCTACAGACAGATTAACGGAGCTGAAACTTTGTGTGAATGAGTTGATTAAAGGAATTAACGCGAATTCACTGCAGCTCAATGTGTCGGGGAGTTTAAAGGCGGGTATAAATGGAGGAGGCCCGGGAAACGTGGTGAAAAAGTACTGTTGTCATGTCGTATACGGTTTTCCAGCTGGCAAAAACCAATGCTGTAGACCTGGTTTCGTCGAGAAGGATGGTTACTGCGGTAAGAATACCTGGGACAGAGATACAATCCCAAACGAATCATTGCCACATATGCATGAGAAATCCGGTTTCATTCAGCCCTACGTCCAATGATGAGGACTTTCACTTAAGCTCTTTCATTTTCAGCTTGCCCAAAAGGAAGTTTTCTGAATAAAAGTCGATGTGACGTCTGTCCAGAAGACACGTATCAACCAAAAACAATGAGCATTGGATGCCTGTCGTGTCCAGATGGAAAAATAACTTATGGAAAAACTGGAGCTGACAATCTTTCGTTTTGCTTGCAAGGTACAAATTCAAACATATGTAAAAATCTTCAATTCGATTGTTTACTTAGAAACTTCGAGATAAAAGCCCTTAAAAGTGAAAAATAAAAGGCATCGCAATAACTCTTTCTAAATACGAAATCTGCGAAGCTAAAGTTGTGTTTTTCTCTTTACTTAGCTTGTTCGCCTGGCCAGCGATACAATTCTACGTCAGAAAGATGTGAAGCATGTGCTAAGAACACTTACCAACCACTGGTGGGGCAACGTTTTTGTGCTAATTGTCCAAACAATACAGTCACAAAAAGTACTGGAAGCACGAAACAAGAGGATTGTGTCCAATGTAAGTGAACCGACCAACTCATCATAAGTCCAGGTGACCCTGCGAGTAGCCAGGCAGCCACTAAAAACAATGCAAAAAATACGGCGAATAAAATGACCCAAAAAGCCTGTAAAAATTTTTCATTGTTTAGCTTGCCCAGTGGGTACCTCTTACAGCTTCGTGAGTAAGAACTGCAAGCTTTGTCCAAAGAACACTTTTCAACCAGGGGAAGGACAGTTCAAATGTATATCATGCGAATTAGATAGGATTACCACATCCAATGGATCAAAGATTCAGACGGACTGCATAAAAAGTATGTATCTTAAAAGAAATGCAATATAATAGTAATAGGAAAGACGTTCCATCTTGCAAGAAGAACTAAACTAGCAAACTCACGCTAAAGCTGGGTGCCTGGTTGATGACCTAAGTAGCACCATCACAATATTATATCATACACCTGAGGCATATGCACCATCACGAATGCTTCATCAATTTTGATCACATAGATTGTTCCCGTGGGTTATTTTTCAATTAAACGACACAGGAATGTGAAGGCTGTCCTCTCCACACTTATCAACCAATGCTTGCTAGCACAAAGTGCAACGACTGTCCCAATGGTAGAATTACTGTCAGCAGTTCTAGTACAAAACAAGAAGATTGCATTCAAAGTAAATTAAACTATTCACAGCGCCTCTCTTTCATCTTCTTTTCTCAAAACCCTGAAAACCGCATGCCTTCACGTTATGTCTAGAGTAGATCGAGGCCTCTCCATCTTTGAGGTTGATTTAGACGGTTTATCGATAAAATGTTGTTTTACTCGCTGTTTTTTAAAAAACTGAGAGTTATTACCATCACAAAAGCCAAAAGAGCCTTGCTTATAAGCCTTAAATGTAAATATTGTTTCATTCTCTTCCAGGATGTCATCACAGGATAGAAAATGCTTCCAGCGGTTCGTTCGGATCTTATCCAGCACCAGTCACCGAAATGGATCCTCGTTCGCAATACTGCTCGTGGCTAATTACGACACATGTAACATCCGTTATTACCTTAAGTTTCAGTGAAATGACTATACTCAGCTGTGATGATACATTTCTAAGAATCTACGATGGTGCTAACGAGAAAGCCCCATTGATGGGCACATATTGTGGATCAAATGCAAGCACACAAGTCGAGATGACATCATCTACAAATAGTTTATACGTTGTGGCAAATACAGGAAAGACTGGAAGACGAGATTTTTCTTTTGGAGCTCGTTATAGCGAGAGTTTTAAAGATTCAGGTAGGTTTTAGAACGTTCACAAACTTCTTTGGTCAGAGTAGTAATTTAGAAAAGCACTCACCAAACTGCCCTCTGGTACACATACCAGTTCAGCATTTGTAGTAACTTTACTCTATTGTAGTAGTTCAGTGTAATACGTGCGACCTTAGATATCTTTCTTTTAAAATTTAACCACAGGGGAATCTCATCTTTTGCACTATATGTTTCCATATGCCCAACTTGGCAAAATGGCGTCGTAGTCCCCGAAAGAGGCGTATACGTTTTAATCTATATGTTCAGTACTTTGATTCTTTTTATTTTCAGTGAACGAAGACCGTTCGCGTAGTTTAAGCATACTCATAATTATATTGTCGATCGGGGGTTTTGTGCTGGTTGTTATCATCGTCATAATTGTCGTGCTGGTGAGGAAAAAACGGAGGAATGCAGAACCAAAGTCAGTTGTAGCTCCTGTCAATATTGCACTGGAGAGAGTTGAAAATTCAGAGGTTGATCAGGTAACTGTTTTTCATATCGCTATTGAAGAGGATAGACAAGTTAGTCTATAATGTAATTTTTCGTGGTTAACAGGAACCAGTACGTTCAGATGATGAAGCAGCATCTGAAGCACAGGGCCAAACATCGCCAGAAAATTTAACTTCAACTGAAAATTATAGCGCTTACGTGATCCCCCTACAACCCGAACCGTCATATGCTGTACCAGCAGATGAGAACACGGGACCATACGAAGATATTTACGTGATTTCCTCCGAAACAAACTTGCCTGTTTACACGCAGCTGGATGCTTGCGAACGAGATACGGAAAATTATTATCAAAAGTTGGTTCATTTCGTATGAACTCGAAAAGGCGTTTATCATTTCCTTGAGGAAAACGAAGAAATTCTGATTTTGCCGCTGAGGCTCGTTTCAGATGTCGAACTGTGCCGAATTCATAGGCGTACGGGACAGGGGGGACACTTGCCCCCCCCAAAATTTCGAGATTAAAATATTTCGGGCAAAGTTCAAGGGAAAATTCGGGCAATCTGAAAAAGAGTTACAGAGGTAAAATTTTTAGAACCAAAGTTTGTAATATATATCACATAATTATGTGTACTCTATTACTCTATTTGGCCATTTTTGTTATACACTTTCTTGAAAGCACATCCGACGCTTTGCCAAGTTTATTGTTACAAATCTGGTAAAAGTTAAAATTCGGGTACAAAATTTTTTTTGCCCCCCCCCCCAAACGAAGTTGCGCCCGTACGTCTATGGCCGAATTGAATACAAATGAACTCAAACAAGAACTTCAGCTTATTAACATTATAGGTTCGGCACATGAAAGTTCGATGTCTGAGTCGGGCCTCAAGTATTCTAACTAGCATGCATAATCAGTTTCAAGGAATTCTTTAAGGAGTTTTGATAAGAGGGCTAAAGTAAGTATCAAGTCCTTGCATAAGACTAGGCGCGTACCGAGCAAGTTGCATTCGGCTGTGGCTTGCAATATTTAAAGAATCAAGAATGATGTTACAATGTTCATTTGAAGTGCAATGCACGGAATATATCATGTTTAATACATGCTAAGGTCATTGTTATTATGCATAGAATTTTTCGACTCCCTCATATCAGAGTCGGTAGTCGGTACGTACCTACAATGAACTATAGAAAATGATTTGTAAAAGAACGAATCATAAACACTGTTCACTATTGTTACAAAAAGCCAATCCCAAAACTCGTTCAGGCATATTAGGTAGATACTTACTGTCATTAAATACTTATTGCTGTTTTGACATATGATATCACATCCTTTCGAGTGGAAGGGAATTGCTTGGCACATACCAGCTACGCGCCTCGTCTACAAAATAACTATAAAGTTCGGTGTAGTTTATATTTACTTGACGCTACTTTTTAAACTAGTTTATTCAGGAAGCCGTTGGTCATCGATTTTCTTTTGCAGTGGATGCAGTATTTCAGGATATAGCGAGGTATAGTCACGATGTCCAAGGTAAGACTCAAGAGGATTTATTGTCTGGAGTTCAACTGATTCTAAAATTTTACAGAGAGCGGTTTTTCGTGTCGCCAATGAACCAAAGTTATATCCACGTCCGTCATCAGAAGTCATAGAAAAACGGCGACATTGTCATTGATCGTTCGTTAACAGCATGTCAGCAAACGACAGTTATTTCAAATTTCAGGGAAAATTTTCGACTTCCTGTGTAGGATCTTAAATATGTTTTTCCGGAAGTGTTTTCAAAGACAAAGATCGACAGTTTTATCAGGTTTTGAATGAAAAAAATGACCAGACAGAAATGCTAAGTAAGCCTAAGTTAAAATTTAATTGCAAGATTGGCGCTTTTCAAGTTATGAAAAACCAGCCCCTGTCCTGAACCTCATACGAATCGCCTTTCACTTTCTTATTTTGAATATCATAGGTTTCCAAAGGAAGTCTTCAACGAATCAGTCATATTTTACCCTGGATTTTTGCTTTTTCATTCAGCCAAGGCCAAGGTATATAGTTTAGCTAAATGATGTCAACTGTTCAGTGCCTAAGGTCAGACTATGAAAGAAATGTTTTCATCAAAATTTAAAGTTTTGATTCATATGGGTTTTGCTAATAAGTTAACTTTGTAGCATGCTAAAAGTATGATACAGGAACAGTCAGGAATACATTGAAATTGGTCGTATCCGCCATTGTGAAAAGCGAAACTGTAACACATGTGCGATTATCGTTTTGATCCACCAATCAGGAAACAGGTATATACGCCCGAAATAAATACGCGCATCCCATGTATATACTATTCTCTATTTAAAATCGGTTTCGAAAATTTTCTCAGACAAAAGAAATTCTAAAAGTAATTTTTTGTCAAACATATTGAACTTTCATGTTATCGCTACGAATACAGTCAATATACAATTGCGAAAGTCTTCCAACTAATTCATCGCCTTGTCTTAAGATGTTGATTGGCCAAGTGGAAGCTATGGTTTTCCTAAACCCAAGTCAGGATGCCCAAATAGTAAAACGAGCGTATGGAGTGAAGGATGGAGGTTACAGGACATGGAAGATAGGGCGTTAGTTTCGCGTTCCAGACTGTCCAAGAATTCACATTTTGACAACGAAATTATTGGCAACAAGAATGATGTAAACAGGACTTTCTGTATGAAACAAAATTCAAGTGGAGTAGGAACAGATTCCTGGCCTAATGGTAGGATTTATTTCCTAAAAGTCTATAGTGAGCCTTTTTCTTTAACGTTTAGCGCATGCGTCAGGGAATTAAACGTTTAATTCAAATGGCTTGTGCGGTAAACGTTCCTCCATTTCTAAGTATTTGAAAGAATAAATCAGGCTTTGCGCACATGTTTTCCGAACCAACAGGTGAATATTGTATTTACAAGAGTGGGATTGAAGCGTGTCCGAAAAATATGTCGTCCGGTTGGGTGAAATGGGACGATGAAGATAATAGTAACATAAATAAAAGAGGAGGATCGCTGCCCCAAGGTGTATATAATCAAGATACCAAAATCTATTACTGTTGCCAAACTAATGGTAAATGGTATGATTCCATTGAACTACCAGTGAATCAACCGTTTTATTTATTAACATCCAACTCTGTTGACACTCCAAAATGTCAGATGGTGAAATGGGCAACCAGTCGCTTGGAGTACGTTGTGTTTGATACAAATCATCAAGACAACGCAGATTCTGAAGCAGGAGACCATGTGTTTATTAAGTATAGAAGGAAAATATATTATTGTTACTATGAAGGTACGTGGCAAACGAGCTCCTGGTTTATATTTCTGCAGAATTGGCATATTTTGCGTACTTGTATTACACGTATAGTAGGGGTTATTAATTTTACATTTATTAATTTTAGTCTTCAACTTTTGTCTTACAATATTTCTAAACTTTGCAGTCCTTCATTTGCTATCTCTAGCTGTGATGTCGTTTTTCATTCTTCTTAATTGCCTAAACGAGAATTCATTACCAGAAATTTGCGACATGATAATTTGCATATATACTAATTTGCATTTAACTTTCAGCATAATGGCCTTCAACTTTTACTATTAAATACATATAGTAAATACACAAAATCTAAAAATGCCGTTGACCTAGATCTTGCCCACTGTTTGCCGACCTCTGGATCAATAAAACAGCCGTTTCCCAACGTTTTAATGATCGAATTACTTACCTTAGGTATTTCTACGTTCGGCCAAATGATTGTGAACAAATGGGTGTATAGCCTTCGTATTATTCAAGTTACAGATAAGACTGATAATATTTTTTAAAGTGATTGCAGTAAAAATCCGAGCCGTACAAGAAAGTTTATACAAAAATACGAAAGACAATATCTTCAACAATTTTTTTGGTACATTATACGTCAATTTATTAACTATCTGAATCGAAATATTCGAATCAAAGTGAGGATTTTAAAAGTTCGTGGACAGAACACGGACAAAACTTTGAGCAATATATCTTTAAATTTGGCCGAATGCAGGAATGCCCAAGCTAAAAAATTCTGTCACCAAAACGTTTCTAAACAGCTGCTCTACCGATCTAGAGGTCGGCAAAAAGTGGGCAATGTCTAGGGCAACGGCATTTTTAAGTTTTGTATAATTACCTAATGTATTTTATAGTAAAAGTTGAAGGCCATTATGCTGAAAGTTAAATGCAAATTAGTATACATGCAAATTATCATGTCGCAAATTTCTGGTAATGTAGCCTGGGATCTGAAACAACTGGAATCATTAACATTTCATTCTCTTCCAGGTTGCCGTCGCACGATGACAAACGTTTCCAGCGGGTCGTTCAGATCTTATCCAGCACCAGTTACCGAAATGGATCCTCGTTCCCAGTACTGCTCGTGGCTAATTACCATTCCTGAAACATCTGTTATTACCTTGAGTTTCAGTGAACTGACAATACTCAACTGTGATGATACATTTCTAAGAATCTACGATGGTGCTGACGGGAAAGCCCCATTGTTGGGCTCATATTGTGGATCAAATGCAAGCAAACAAGTCCAGATTTCCTCATCAACAAATAGTTTATACGTTGTAGCAAACTCAGGAATGATTGGAAGACGAGATTTTTCATTTCAAGCCTATTACAACGGGAGTTTAAAAGATTCAGGTATTCCGTATGCTTTCATGCATGAAGAGGTTTTAAGACGTTTTACAATCTGTGATTCAAATGTTCAGCTCATTATTTGAAATACTTTGTAAATTATATGCAAAGCTACGAGAGCCTTGACTATTTTATATTAGTATACACCCTATTGTCTACTACAAATCCTACATTCTGATTGGCTACTCAATCATTGTCTATTCGTGATGGTGAACGTTTGGGAAAAACTCAGGCTTCGCCTTCGTCGACTATTCACTCTTAGACAACTCGGACTCGTTGTCCAATGGACGACTTGCGCTTTAGACTGATTTTTGATCGAAGTAACTAGAAGAAAATAAATCATCACAGCTAGAGAGATCTTACTGAAATTAGTGCAAATGCAAAGTTTGGCTGCGAAATTTTGTAAAATACGGAAATATAACCATGCGAAGTTGGCAAATTTTGTATACTTTTGTATTACGTGCGGAAATGTGTAACTAAATTAGTTACTCTCTTTTGGCCGTAGTACAAAAGTATACAAAATTCGTCAACTTCGCATGGCTATATTTTCCGTAATTTACAAAAATTTGCAGCCAACTTGGCAGTTTTACTAGTTTTAGTAAGCTCTTTCAGAAAATGCTCTTTTTTTCACCGAGGTAAGAAATTAGTCAAAAGCGCAAGTCGTCCATTGTTAAATCTTAAATAGACATCGTTTTGCTCCGTTCCAGGTGTTCGTCGTACAACTGTTTCCAGCGGTCCGTTTACACCAATTACCGAAATGAATCCTTATTCGCAATACTGCTCGTGGGTAATTGTGGGTGTATATTTGATATCCAAAGTCGAATTGATGTCTTTAGAAATTGTGCATTTTTCTTTATGCCTAAAGTTGGAATTATTACCCGAATTCAAATGTTCAGCTCATTTGTAGGAAAACTTTGTATATTATAAGCAAAGCTATAAGAGCATTGTTCATAGCCTTGAATATTGTATAATAGATATCGATTTACTCCGTTCCAGGTGTTCGTCGTACAGCTGTTCCCAGCGTTACCGAAATGAATCCTTATTCGCAATACTGCTCGTGGGTAATCACGATTCCTGCAACATCCGTTGTTTTTTTAAGTTTCAGTGAACTGACTATACCCAGCTGTGATGATACATTTCTAAGAATCTACGTAGGTGTCAACGGGAAAGCCCCATTGTTGGGTTCGTATTGTGGATCAAATGCAAGCACACAGATCGAAATTACGTCATCAACAAACAGTCTATACTTCGTAGCAAATTTCGGAATATATGGAAGGAGTGAAGACGACGATATATTTCTAAGAATTTACGATGGTGCCAACCAGGAGGCCCCGTTATTTGGTACATATTGTGAATCACGATCGAATGCTGGCACACAGGTCAACATTACATCGTCCCGGAACACTGTGTACCTTGAGGCAAATTTTGGGAGACATGGAACGAATGGAAGCCAAGCTTTTTCTTTTCGAGCTCTTTATAGCGGGATTTTACAAGATTCAGGTATTTTTTCATGAGGAGGTTTCAAAACGTTCACAATCTTCTATGCATCAGGGTAGTAATTTAGAATAGAACTCTTACCAAACCATCCTTAGTTTATACACATACCAGCATTTTCAGATGAGTAACTTTACCCTTAGTACACTTTCCCCAAATTAACCTCAGAGGGAATTTCATATCTCGTGGTTGCATGTACGCGCTTAACTTCGCGTGTGCGTTTTACACTAAGTTCAATAATTTGATTATTTTATTTTCAGTGAATGAAGACCGTTCGCATAGTCTAAACAAACTTGTTATTACATTACCAATCGTGGGTTTGGCGCTACTTCTTATCCTCGTCATAATTGTTGTGTTGGTAAAATACAAACGCATGCGCAGGAATGCAGAACCAAAGTTAGTAGTAGCTTCTGTTAATATTGCACTGGAGACAGTTGAAAATTCAGAGGTTGTTCAGGTAATTGTTTTTCTTTTCATCATTTATAGCGTATATACTTGAGACAAGTTAGTCTATCTTCTCGGTTACTGAGTTAGGCAGAAATAATTAACATAAGTCTTAATGGTCCCAATGCAAAAGGAACGAGGCGAAATATTTCGCATTTCGCCTCCTTCTCGAAGGACCATGCAGCTATTTTTCTTGTTATAATTTTATTTTGCGTGGATAACAGGAATCAAATGCTGAAATGTCAACTGAAAATCACGAAAACGCGCCCGTACACAGTGACAAAGTGGAAGACAGCGTTAACGAAGGAGTAAGCTTGCATTCCCATTCGTCATATGCTGATGTTGTAGCAGCCAATAAGAATACGAAATCATGCGACGGCGTTTACACAGAGTTGGATCTAAGCAAGCGAGAAAAGGAAAATGATTATCAAGCGTTGGTTAAATTAGCAGCCGATAAGAATACGAAATCATGCGACGGCGTTTACACAGAGTTGGATCTAAGCAAACGAGAAAAGGAAAATGATAATTATCAAGCATTGGTTAAATTAGCAGCCGATAAGAATACGAAATCATGCGACGGCGTTTACACAGAGTTGGATCTAAGCAAACGAGAAAAGGAAAATGATTATCAAGCGTTGGTTAAATTAGCAGCCGATAAGAATACGAAATCATGCGACGGCGTTTACACAGAGTTGGATCTAAGCAAGCGAGAAAAGAAAAATGATTATCAAGCGTTGGTTAATTTGGTATGATTATTTAAGCAGAGACGTCTTGTACCCCTTGATTAGTATTACAATTTACATTGCATTTTATTGTTTACTTGAAAAAATTGGGATCTCCGACTTTTTGCTGGAGTTTTTCCCAAGTTCCCTAAAATTTCGTGAGAGAACTAGCGTTCGGATTATGGATTGCTTTGTCTTGGGAATTGGGTCGTATTTTTACAATTTGTTTTACTGTTGATCTGATGTAATTTAGTCTTTGACTGTCAAGTACCAAATCGGTATTTCAGCACTGAATATCTTTATAGGAGTTTAGCTCATTCCATACTTATGTGGTGTAGATTTTGAACAGTATTTTCAAGTTACAATAAATAAGATAAAAGATACTTGCAATAAAAGTTTGGTATTAATGGTATTAATCCTTAATTGTGTTCGTCATCGCATGAACACATATACTAATCGTACATTTTCACAATTTACATTTCACACACATGACTGACTTCACCTTGGTCTATAGCTGTATTCCGTTGATTCCACTGAGCAATATGGAGTTTTTAAACACTGCAAGTTTAATTCTTACACCGCATGTTACCGGCATTCAACATACGGATGAACCTTAACATGACTGACAAAACCATGTACACTCTCCCGTCGTCTTTTCCTACCAAATTCCGACTATGCAAGTATCCTTGCAACTTGCAATGCAATTCTAATTTTGAGGATGTTAACATTACAGTACAATTGGGCTGCTAAAATACAGTGCATTGCTCTGTCATACATGCATTGTTAAACCACAGCATTTTGTGGTTGGTGGATAAAGTAGGGTGTATAAAATGCCTGAATCTGACTCAATTTTTGCTAACAGGGACTCATTCCTCTCTAAATATGAGAGAGGTCGTTCTTCCACTGGTTCATTTGAAGTGCAATGCACGGAATATATTATGTTTAATATATGCTATGATCAATGTCAAGATATACATAGACTTTTTTGACTCCTCATGTCATGCGGTTTTGACATATGACATCACATTCAAGTCATTTCCGAGTGGAAGGGAAGGGAAGGAAGGGAATTACTTGGCACATATCAGCCACGCGCTTTATCTACAAAAACACGATAAAATTCGGCATAGTTTATATTTTATTTACTTGACGCTATCTTTTAAACTAGTTTAATCTGGAAGCCGTTGTTCATCGATTTTCTTTTGCAGTCGATGCAGTATTCCAGGATATACCGAGGTATAGACACGATGTCCAAGGTAAGACTCAAGAGGATTTATTGTCTGAAGTTCAACTGATTTTACAATTTTACAGAGAGCAGTTTTTCGTGTCGCCAATTAACCAAAGTTATGTCGACGTACGTCGTACGTGAGAAGTCATAAAAAACGAGAACTCGACGCCGACGACATTGTTCGTTCGTTAACAACCCGTTAGCAAACTACAGCTATTTCAAATTTCAGGGCAAATTTTCAACTTCCTCCATGTGTAGGAACTTAAATATGTTATTCCGGAAAAGTTTTCAAAGACAAAGATCGACACTTTTATCAGGTTTTGAATGTAAAAAATGACCAGACAGAAACGCTAAGTAAACCTAAGTTAAAATTAATTGCAAGATTGGCGCTTGTCAAGTTATGAAAAACCAGCCCCTGTCCTTAAACTCATGCGAATCGCCTTTCACTTCCTTACTTTGAATATCATAGGTTACCAAAGGAAGTCTTCAACGAATCAGTCATATTTTACTCTGGATTTTTGTTCTTTCATTCAGCCAAGGCCAAGGTATAGTTCAGCTAAATGATGTCCACTGTTCAGTGCCTAAGGTCAGACTATGAAAGAAATCCTTTCATCAAAAGTTTTGACTCACATGGATTTTGCTAATAAATTAACTTTGTTGCATGTTAAAAGTTAGATTATCGTTTTGATCCACCAATTGAATCAGGAAACAGATATATACGCCCGAAATAAATCCGCGCATCCATGTATGTACTATTCTCTATTTAAAATCGGTTTCAAAGACGAAAGAAATTCTCAAAGCAATTTTTTGTCAAACTATTGAACTTTCATGTTACCCCTACGAATACAGTCAATATTCATCGCCTTGCCTTGTCTTAAGATGTTGATTGGCCAAGTGGAAGCTATGGTCTTCCTAAACCCAAGTCAGGATGCCCAAATAAAACGAGCGTATGGAGTGAAGGATGGAGGTTCCAGGACATGGAAGATAGTCCGTCAGTTTCGCGTTCCAGACTGTCCAATAATTCACATTTTGACAACGAAATTATTGGATACAGAAATGATATAAAAAGGACTTTCTGTATGAAACAAAATTCAAGTGGAGTAGGAACAGATTCGGCCTTGTGGCCAAATGGTAGGATTTATTTCCTAAAAGTCTATAGTGAGCCTTTTTTTAACGTTTAGCGCATGCATCAGGGAATTAAACGCTCAATTCAAATGGCTTGTGCGGTGAACGTTCCTCCATTTCTAAGTATTTGAAAGAATAAATCAAGCTTTGCACACATGTTTTCTGTACCAACAGGTGAATATTGTATTTACAAGAGTGGGATTGGAGCGTGTCCGAAAAATATGTCGTCCGGTTGGGTGAAATGGGACGATGAAGATTATCGCAACCAAAATAAAAGAGGAGGATCGCTGCCCCAAGGTGTATATAATCAAGATACCAAAATCTATTATTGTTGCCGAACTAATGGTAAATGGTATGATTCCATTGAACTACCAGTGAATCAACCGTTTTATTTATTAACATCCAACTCTGTTGACACTCCAAAATGTCAGATGGTCAAATGGGCAACCAGTCGCTTGGAGTATGTTGTGTTTGATACAAATCATCAACAAAACAACAATTCTGAAGCAGGAGACCATGTGTTTATTGAGAATAGAAGGAAAATATACTATTGTTACTATGAAGGTACGTAGCAAACGAGCCCCTGGTTTTATATATTTCTGCAGAATTGGCATAATTTGCGTACTTGTATTACGCGTAGTAGAGGTTATTAATTTTACACTTTTTTCGTCAGTCTTCAACTTTTGTCTACAATATTTCTAAACTTTGCAGTCCTTCATTTGCTATCTCTAGCTGTGATGTCGTATTTCATTCTTCTTAATTTCTTAAATGAGAATTTAGCCTGGGATCTGAAATAACTGGAATCATTAACATTTCATTCTTCCAGGATGCCGTCGCACGATGACAAATGCTTCCAGCGGGTCGTTCAGATCTTATCCAGCACCAGTTACCGAAATGGATCCTCGTTCCCAATACTGCTCGTGGCTAATTACCATTCCTGAAACATCTGTTATTTCCTTGAATTTTAGTGAAATAACTATACCCAGCTGTGATGACATGTTTCTAAGAATCTACGATGGTGCTAACGGGAAAGCCCCATTGTTGGGCTCCTATTGTGGATCAAATGCAAACAAACAAGTCAAGATTTTCTCATCAACAAATAGTTTATACGTTGTAGCAAACTCAGGAATGATTGGAAGACAAAATTTTTCATTTCAAGCCCATTATTACAACGGGAGTTTAAAAGATTTAGGTATGCCGTATGATTTCATGCATGAAGAGGTTTTAAGACGTTTTACAATCTGTGATTGAAATGTTCAGCTCATTATTTGAAATACTTTGTACATTATATGCAAAGTTATAGAGAGCCTTGACTATTTTATATTAGTATACACCTGACTATTGTCTATTATAAATCCTACATTCTGATTGGCTACTCAACCATTGTCTATTCGTGATGGTGAACGTTTGGAAAAAATTCGCTCGCGCGACCGTATAAAATTGAAATAATTAAATTATTTTTCGGTGTAATTGCGGGGTATCGATTATTTTTCGAAATTAATATATCTAGGTACAGGGTGTATACTAAAAGAATGAGACAACTCGCCTTCGTCGTCTATGACCAATAGTCAACTCAGGCTTCGCCTTCGTCAACTATTCGCTCATAGACAACTCGGACTCGTTGTCTAATGGGCGACTTGCGCTTTAGACTAATTTTTGATCGAAGTAACTAGAAGAAAATAAATCATCACAGCTAGAAAGATCTTACTGAAATTAGTGCAAATGCAAAGTTTGGCTGCGAAATTTTGTTAAATACGGAAATATAGCCATGCGAAGTTGGAAAATTTTGTATACTTTTGTATTACGTAAGGAAATGTGTAACTAAATTGGTTACACTCTTTTGGCCGTAATACAAAAGTATAAAAAAATTCGTCAACTTCACATAGCTATATTTTCCGTAATTTAAAAAAATTCGCAGCCAAACTTGGCAGTTTTACTAGTTTTAGTAAGCTCTTTCAGAAAATGTCCTTTTTTTACGCCAAGGTTAGAAATTAGTCTAAAGCGCAAGTCGTCCATTGTTAAATCTTAAATAGACATCTTTTGCTCCGTTCCAGGTGTTCGTCCTACAACTGTTTCCAGCAGTCCGTTTACACCAATTACCGAAATGAATCCTTATTCGCAATACTGCTCGTGGGTAATCACGATTCCTGCAACATCCGTTGTCTCTTTGACTTTCAGTGAAATGACTATACCCAGCTGTGATGATACATTTCTAAGAATCTACGATGGTACCAACGGGAAAGCCCCATTGTTGGGTTCATATTGTGGATCAAATGCAAGTACACAGATCGAGATTACGTCATCAACAAACAGTCTATACTTTGTAGCAAATTCCGAAATAAATGGAAGAAGTGAGGACGACGATATATTTCTAAGAATTTACGATGGTGCCAACAAGGAATTCCCGTTATTTGGTACATATTGTGACTCACGATCAAATGCAAGCACGGAAGTCGTCAACATCACATCATCTGGAAACGCTGTGTACCTTGAGGCAAATTTTGGGAGACATGGAAAGAATGGAAGCCAAGTTTTTTCTTTTCGAGCTCTTTATAGCGAGAGTTTCAAAGATTCAGGTATTTTTTCATGGCGAGGTTTCAAAACGTTCACAATCTTCTATGCATCAGGGTAGTAATTTAGAATATAACTCTTACCCAACCATCCTTAGTTTATACACATACCAGCACTTTCAGACGAGTAACTTTACCATTAGTACACTTTCCCCAAATTAACTTCAGCGGGAATTTCATTTTTCGTGGTTGCATGAATGCGCTCAACTTCGCATGTACGTTTACACTAAATTCAATAGTTTGATTCTTTTATTTTCGGTGAATGAAGACCGTTCGCGTAGTTTAAACAAACTTGTTATTATATTGTCGATCGCTGGTTTGGCGCTGGTTCTTATCCTCGTCATAATTGTTGTGTTGGTAATATACAAACGGAGGAATGCAGAACCAAAGTCGGTAGTAGCTCCTGTCAGTATTCCACTTGAGAAAGTTGAAAATTCAGAGGTTGTTCAGGTAATTCTTTTTCTTTTCATCATTTATGGGGTATATACTTGAGACAAGGTAGTGCATAATCTCAATTACTGAGTTAGGCAGAAATAATTAACTTAAGTCTTGATGGTCCCAATGCAAAAGAAACGAGGCGAAATATTTCGCATTTCGCTTCCTTCTCGAAGGACCACGCAGCTATTTTTTCTTGTTATAATTTTATTTGCGTGGATAACAGGAATCAAATGTTGAAATGTCAACTGAAAATCTTGAAAACGCGCCCATACACAGTGGCCAAGTGGAAGACGGCGCTTACGAAAGAGAAAGCTTGCATTCCCATTCGTCATATGTTGATGTTGTAGCAGCCGATGCGAATACGGAATCATGCGACGGCGTTTACACAAAGTTGGATCTAAGTAAACGAGAAAAGGAAAATGATTATGAAGCGTTAAGTAAATTGGTATGATACTTAAGCAGAGACGCCTTGTCTTCCTTAATTAGTATTACAATTTACATCGCATTTTATTGTTTGCTTGAAAAAATTGGGATCTCTGACTTTTTCCTGGAATTTTTCCCAAGTGTCCTGAAATTTCGTGAGAGAACTAACGTTCGGATTAGGGATTGCTTTGTTTTGGGAATTGGGTTGTATTTTTATAATTTGTTTTGCTGTTGATCTGATGTAATTTAGTCTTGACTGCCAAGTACCAAATCGGTATTTCAGCACTGAATATCTTTATAGGAGTTTAGCTCATTCCATACTTATGTGGTGTAGATTTTGAACAGTATTTTCCAGATACAATAAATAAGATAAAAGATACTTGCATTAAAAGTTTGGTATTAACCCTTAATTGTGCTCGTCATCGCATTAACACCTACCTATACTAATTGTACAATTTTACAATTTGCATTTCACACACATGACTGACTTCACCTTGGTCTATAGCTGTATTTCCGTCTACTTATGATTCCACTGAGCAATATCGAATTTTTAAACACAGCAAGCTTAATTCTTACACCGCATGTTACCGGCATTCAACATACGGATGAACCTTAACATGACTGACAAAACCATATACACACTCCCGTCGTCTTTTCCTACCTCATTCCGACCAGTAGGAGAATATATATAGACGATTATTGCATATTCATATATTGTAGTGTGCAAGGAGATTTCTTTATTTTGAGGACTCAATTTTTCCTACCAGACTGTAAATTACTTCATTGACTGTAAAAACAATAAATTTCTGAAGAATGAATAATTATAATAACTTGAAATCTACATAGAGGGACAAAATCGCAAGGCTGGCTACGCCACTGGAGGTGGTTCTTCCACTGGTTCCATCTATTTGACAAGGGCCTAAGTATAATGCACGGAATGTATTATGTTTAATATATGCTAAGATCACTGTTAAGATATGCATAGACTTTTTTTACTCCCTCATATGTCATGCGGTTTTAACATATGACATCACATTCAAGTCATTTCCGAGTGGAAGGGAATTGCTTGGCACATATCAGCCACGCGCCTCGTCTACAAAATAACTATAAAGTTCGGTATAGTTTATATTTACTTGACGCCACCTTTTAAACTAGTTTAATCAGGAAACCGTTGGTCATCGATTTTCGTTGCAGACTTGCAGTGCATGGGGTATTCCAGGATATACCGAGGTATAGACACGATGTACAAGGTAAGACTCAAGAGGATTTATTGTCTTGAGTTCAACTGATTCTAGAATTTTACAGAGAGCAGTTTTTCGTGTCGCCAACTATAACCAAAGTTATATCGACTTACGTCATTAGAAGTCATAAAAAACTCGACGCCGGCGACATTGTTCGTTCGTGAACAACCCGTTAGCAAACCACAGCTATTTCATGCAATTATATAGGCGACAAGCTCGACTTGCATCCGTAGGACCCATATAATATTATAAGAGAAGCGAATAATATATCGACAAATATTGTGGTCGATAGTCAGTTCATTTTTCTCGGAAATCAAGTAGTATACAGTCCGGGTTGTCAGTTGCAAGTTTGTATACTCTATCCCTGTGCATGAGTTTAAATATGTCATTCCGGATGAACAGACAGAAATGCGGAAATAAAACAACAGCTAATTTAAAATTTAATTGCAAGATTGGCGCTTGTCGACTTGATGAAAAACCAACCCCTGTTTTGAACTTCATACTAATCGTCTTCCACTTCCATCTTTAACTATTATAGGTTATCAAAGCAAGTTTTCAACGAATCAGTTATATTTTACCCTGGATTTATGCCCTTTCATTCAGCCAAGGCCAAGGTATAACTAGCTAAAACTCCACTGCTCAGTCAGACTATGAGCCTTTAACAATTATATAAGCTTTATAGCATGTTAAAAGTATGATACAGCAAAAGTCATGAATATATTGAAATTGGTTGTATGATTGTGAAAATGATAGTATAACACATGATTGTGCGATTATTATTTTTGATCCACCAATCAGGAAGCAGGTATATACGCGCCCGAAATGAATTCCATATTTCCGCGCGTCATGTATTATTCTCTATTTAAAATCAGTTGCAGAAATAATTTGAAATTGCTCAATATGTCTTTTGTTTCTTAAAGACAAAGGTATTTTGGTCAAACATACTGAATATTCATGTTATCCCTACGAATACAGTCCATATACAATTGCAAAACTCTTCCAACTAATTCATCACCCTTTCTTAAGATGTTGATTGGCCAAGTGGCAGCTATGGTCTTCCTAAACCCAAGTCAGGATGTCCAATTAGTAAAACGAGCGTATGGAGTAAAGGATGGAGGTTCCAGGACATGGAAGATGATAGTCCGTCAGGTTCGCGTTCCAGACTGTCCAATAATTCACATTTTGACAACGAAATCATTAGATACAAGAATGATATAAACAGGACTTTCTGTATGAAACAAAGTTCAATTGGAGTAGGAACAGATTCCTGGCCTAATGGTAGGATTTATTTCCTAACAGAAATCTATAGTGAGCCTTATTTTAACGTTTCGCGCATAATGCATCAGGGAATTTAAACCTTCGATTCAATGACTTGTACAACAAACCAGGCTTTGCGTACATGTTTTTTTTACCAACAGGTGAATATTGTATTTACAAGAGTGGGATTGAAGCGTGTCCGAAAAATATGTCGTCCGGTTGGGTGTATTGGGACGATGAAGATTATCATAACTACAATAAAAGAGGAGGATCGCTGCCCCAAGGTGTATATAAAAAAAATACCAAAATTCATTACTGTTGCCAAACTAATGGTAAATGGTATGATTCCATTGAGCTACCAGTGAATCGACCGTTTTATTTATTAACATCCAACTCTGTTGAAACTCCAAAATGTCAGATGGTGAAATGGGCAACCAGTCGCTTGGAGTATGTTGTGTTTGATACAAATCATCAAGACAACGCAGATTCTGAAGCAGGAGACCATGTGTTTATTAAGTATAGAAGGAAAATATACTATTGTTACTATGAAGGTACGTGGTAAACCAGCTGAATTTTTAAAAGATTTAACAATTTTCACGGGGTTTTCTCGCCATGCATGAGTAATCCTCCCAAATTTTTACTAAACGCACAAGGTTTAGTAGCGAAATATATGTAATATTGTAAAATGTGGGAAATATAGCCTAGCTAGTGAAGTTGGCAAATTTTGTAGACATTTGTATTCATCGGAAATACCTTTCTCGAATCTGAGAATGAATTTCAATATAAACTAATATAAATGTTGAAAATATGTTTCTGCAGAATCGGCATATTTTGCATACTTGTATTACGCGTAGTAGAGGTTATTAATTTTACACTTTTTTCGATTTCGACTTTGTCAAATGATTGCTATTCCTAGCTGTGATGTCGGATTTCATTCTTTATGCCTAAATCAGAATTTAGCCTGGAATCTGAAATAACTGGACTCATCATCCGAATTCAAATTTTCAACTCGTTGTTTCAGGATTAAACTGAGAGTATGCAAAAGCCAGAAGTTCATCACTTAAAACCTTAGGCAATGTTTCATTCTCTTCCAGGATGCCGTCGCACGATGACAAATATTTCCGACGGTTCGTTCGGATCGTATCCAGCACCAGTTACCGAAATGGATCCTCGTTCCCAGTACTGCTCGTGGCTAATTACCATTCCTACAAAATGCGTCATCTCCTTGAATTTCAGTGAAATGAATATACCCAGCTGTGATGACACGTTTCTAAGAATCTACGATGGTGCTAACGAGAAAGCCCCATTGTTGGGTACATTTTGTGGATCAAATGCAAGCAAACAAGTACAGATTTCCTCATCAACAAATAGTTTATACGTTGTAGCAAATTCAGGGAGGATTGGGGGACGTCTTAGACCAGTTTTTGCTTTTCAAGGCCATTACAGCGGGAGTTTTAAAGATTCAGGTATGCTTTTCGTGAAGAATTGATGTCTTTAGTAATTGTGGATTTCAACTGTTATAGAGACAAAATAAAAATTTAGTTTATAGCTGGAATTACCCGAATTCAAAAGTTCAACTCATTATTAGAAATACTTTCTACATTATGCAATAGACCATTGTTCATAGCCTTGACTTTTATAACGGACATCGATTTATTATGTTATTTCAGGTTTCCGTTGTACAACTGCTCCCAGCGGTCGAGTACCATTTTTTTCGCAAAACTGCTCGTGGCTGATTACCATTCCTGCGACATCCGTTGTTACTTTGAGTTTCAGTGAACTGACTATACCCAACTGTGATGATACATTTCTAAGAATCTACGATGGTGCTAAGGAGAAAGCCCCATTGTTGGGTTCATATTGTGGATCAAATGCAAGCACACAGATCGAGATTACGTCATCAACAAACAGTTTATACGTTGTGGCAAATACTGGAATGCATGGAAAGAATAAAAAGGACGATACATTTCTAAGAATTTACGATGGTGCTAACAAGGAAGCCCCATTATTTGGTACATATTGTGAATCACGATCAAATGCAAGCACGGAAGTCGTCAACATCACATCAGCTGGAAACGCTGTGTATGTTGTGGCAAATTTTGGGAGAAATGGAAAAAATGAAAACCAAGTTTTCTCGTTTCGAGCTCATTTCAGCGGGAGCTTCAAAGATTCAGGTATATTTTCATCACGAATATGACCTTCGGTATCGTTCTTTCCCTAAATTAACCTCAGAGGAAGATTTTTTTGCACTATATTTGTATGTGCCCAGCTTGGCAAGATGGCTTGGCAATCCCCGAAAGAGGCGTATACGTTTTTAAACTAAGTTCAGTTCTTTGGTCCTTTTTATTTTCAGTGAACGAAGACCGTAGTTTAAGCAAACTCGTTATAATATTGTCGATCGTGGGTTTGGGGCTGCTTCTTATCCTCGTCATAATTGTTGTGTTGGTAAAATACAAACGGAGGAATGCAGAAACAAAGTCAATAGTAGCTCCTGTTAATATTCCACTGGAGAAAGTTGAAAATTCAGAGGTTGATCAGGTAACTGTTTTTCATATCATTCTTTAAGAAGATAGACAAGTTAGTCGATAATCTCATTTATATGAAAATAAATAACTTAATGTTCCCAATTCAGAAAAAAAGAGGCGAAATATTTCGCAATAAAAGCACGAACGCGCCTACAAAATTCCTTCTCGAGAGACCATGCGGCTATTTCTTCTTGATGTAATTATATTTTGCGTGGTTAACAGGAACCAGTGTGTTCGGATGATGAAATATCAACTGAATATTACGAAAATGCGCCCGTACACATTAGGAATGCTGAACCAAAGTCAGTAGCTCTTGTCAATATTCCACTGGAGAAAGTTGAAAATTTAGAGGTTGATCAGGTAACTGTTTTTCATATTCTTTAAAGAGATAGACAAGTTAGTCTATAATCTAAGTTATATGGAAATAAATAACTTTATATTCCCAATTCAGAAGAAACGAGGCGAAATATTTCGCATTTCGCCAAAAAAAGCACGAACGCGCCTACGAATTCAAATCCTTTCTCGAGAGACCATGCAGCTATTTTTCCTTGATGTAATTATATTTTGTGTGGTTAACAGGAACCAGTGCGTTCAGATGATGAAATATCAACTGAATATTACGAAAATGCGCCCGTACACATTAGGAATGCTGAACCAAAGTCAGTAGCTCTTGTCAATATTCCACTGGAGAAAGTTGAAAATTTAGAGGTTGACCAGGTAACTGTTTTTCATATTCTTTAAAGAGATAGACAAGTTAGTCTATAATCTAAGTTATATGGAAATAAATAACTTTATATTCCCAATTCAGAAGAAACGAGGCGAAATATTTCGCATTTCGCCAAAAAAAGCACGAACGCGCCTACGAATTCAAATCCTTTCTCGAGAGACCATGCAGCTATTTTTCCTTGATGTAATTATATTTTGTGTGGTTAACAGGAACCAGTGCGTTCAGATGATGAAATATCAACTGAATATTACGAAAATGAGCCCGTACACAGTGACCAAGTGGAAGATGACGCTTACGAAAAAGTAAGCTTGCATTCTCATTCGTTATATTATGCTGATGTCGTAGCAACCGATAACAATACTGAATCGTGGGACGACGTTTACACAGAGTTGGATATAAGCAAACGAGAAAGCGAAAATGAATATCAAGCGTTGGTTAAATTAGCATGATTCTCTTGCCTTCCCTTTTGCTTGAGGTTTTCCAAAGTTTCCTTAAATTTCGTCAGAGAACTAGCGTTACGATTTGATTAGAGATCTGCTTAAGATTAGATCGTTAGGGTTTGTCCTTGGAAATAGGCCGCTGCATGTATTTTTAAAATATATTTTGCTGGTGATCCGAATCATCTGATGCAGTTTCGTCTTTGACTGCCAAGTGTAAATCGGTATGTCGACACTGAATATCATTCTTTATTGGAGAAGATATTTCATTTATTCAGCTAAAGCTCATTCCATACTTATGTGGTATAGATTTTGAACAGTATTTTCAAGATACAATAAATAAGATAAAAGATACTTGCACTAAAAGTTTTGTCCCAAACGATTGTGATAAAGTTCCACCAAAATTTTACGATTTCTTTTATGAAATCACTCGCCCTGGCAGCTAGTCCAACTTTGCAAAATCTTTAAACATCATTCATGGTATCAATCCTTAATTGTGCTCGTGATCGCATGAACAGCTATACTAATCGTACATTTTCACAATTTGCATTTCACACACATGACTGACTTGACTGACTTCACCTTGGTCTATAGCTACATTTCCGTCTACTTATGATTCCACTGAGCAATATCGAATTTTTTAACACAGCAAGCTTAATTTTTTTACACCGCATGTTACCGGCATTCAACATACGGATAAACCCTAACATGACTGACAAAACCATATTACACTCTCCCGTCGCCTTTTCCTACCAAATTCCGACAACCATGCACCTGTGGATATATTTCATACCAAGTATCGCACATATTGTACGTGTTTTCAAACCAGTCATGCAATTATAATTGCTATGGCTATATCGGCCACCTTGTCCACAAAGTCGCGATAAAATTCCTAGATTATATTTACTTGTCGCCATCATTTAAACTTGAATGAACGAGAGGCCGTTGGTGCCTTGAATGGTGGTTGGCTTTTTTTGCAGTGCTTTATTCCTGGATACACCGAGGTGCATGGACACGAATATAAGTTATATAACTCCAATATGTGCAAGGTAAGAGGATTTCAACTGGTATATTTCAACTTAGAATTTTTTTACAGGGAGCGGTTTTTCGTGTTGACAACTATTTGTCATCGACAATTAACCAAAGTTATATCGACGTAATTCGTCAAAAAAGCGACAAAATTGTTCGAGTTTCACGTTATGAATAAGGAAACTCACTAGCGAACGATAGCTATTTGAATTACAAACGACAAGCTCGACTTTTGCATCAGTAGGATAACATATATATAGACAATTATTGCATATTCATATTGTAGTGTGTAAGAAGATTTCTCATTTTTTTTTTGAGGAAATTGAGTTGCAGACAGTCCGGAACACACAAGGATATCAGTTTCAACTTTGCATGGTGATTCTTGATCTCAGGTTGCTGCAAATCCAGTTCGGGGAAATTTCTTGAAACTCCTCGTGTAGGAACTTAAATATGTTATTCCGGAAGTCTTTTCAAATACAAAGATCGCCGCCGGTTGTAGTCAGTTTTGTATGAAATAAATGACCAGACGGAAATAAAACTTAGCCTAAGTTAAAATTTAATTGCAAGATTGGCGTTTGCCGTTATGAAAACCAACCCCTGTCCTGCACTTCATACGAATCGTCTTTCACTTCTATCTTTAACTATTATAGGTTACCAAAGCAAGTTTTCAACGAATTAGTCATATTTTACCCTGGATTTTTGGAATAGCCCTTTCATTCAGCCATGGCCAAGGTATAGTTTAGTTAAATGATGTCCACTGTCAAGTGTTTATATACTGAAGGTCAGACCGTGAGAGTAAAAATAGATGAGATTTTAACAATCAAATGTTTAATATGTCTTTTGTGTCTCAAAAACAAAGACAAATTTTCTTGTCAAATATATTGAGTTTTCATGTTATCCCCACCAATACAGTCCATATACAATTGCGAAACTCTTCCAACTAATTCATCGCATTGTCTTAAGATGTTGATTGGCCAAGTGGTAGCTATGGTCTTCCTAAACCCAAGTCAGGATGTCCAATTAGTAAAACGAGCGTATGGAGTGAAGGATGGAGGTTTCAGGACATGGAAAACAAGGCGTCAACTCAGTTTTTCAGATCAAGATTGTCCAGTGACTCACATTTTGATATCAAAATCATTGGAGAAAAGAGAGATATAAACAGGACTTTTTGTATGAAACAAAACTCTGGTCGAGTACAAAACGTTTTCTGGCCCAGTGGTAAGTTATTTCCGGGATAAATTGGAATTTAAAGTGGAAGTCAAACCTGCATGTAAACAAACGGTTTGTTTACATTTTGAATATCTGTATTTTTGTTTACACATTCTGAATATGAACATAAAACAGGCTTTTAACTGTTGTTGCATACGTACCAATCATTCATGAATGTTTTTCGTATATATCAACAGGTAAATATTGTATTTACAAGAAGGATGGAGCGTGTCCTAAAAATATGGCGTCCGGTTGGGTAAAATGGGACGATGAAAATTATAAAAACCGCAATAAAAAAAGGGGATCGCTGCCCCAAGGTGTATATAATAAAGATACCAAAATTCATTACTGTTGCCAAACTAATGGTAAATGGTATGATTCCATTGAACTACCAGTGAATCGACCGTTTTATTTATTAACATCCAACTCTGTTGACACTCCAAAATGTCAGATGGTCAAATGGGCAACCAGTCGCTTGGAGTATGTTGTGTTTGATACAGAACATTCATCTAAAACGAATTCCCAAGCAGGAAACCACGTGTTTAGGAAGAATAGAAGGATATACTATTGTTACTATGAAGGTACGCTATAAACCAGCCAAAAAGTTTTTCCAGTAAAACCTTGCAAGCGAACTTTCTGTGTATCACACTTGATCCTCGGTGACGAAGAAGATATGGTTTGATTGTTAAAAAGAAGGCAGAAATATAGCTTAGTGATGTTTGGAATCTTTTGAATCTAAAGCTTCTTACCTAAGGCTCAACTCGTTTTGGAGATCTGATACATATTGTTTCATTCTCTTCCAGGATGCCGTCGCACAATGACAAATATTTCCAGAGGTTCGTTCGGATCTTATCCAGCACCAGTCACCGAAATGGATCCTCGTTCGAAATACTGCTCGTGGCTAATTACGACACCTGCAACATCTGTTATTTCCTTGAGTTTCAGTGAAATGACTATACCGAGCTGTGATGACACGTTTCTAAGAATCTACGATGGTGCTAACGAGAAAGCCCGATTGCTGGGTTCATACTGTGGATCAAATGCAAGCACGCAAGTCCAGATTACTTCATCTACAAATCGTTTACACGTCGTGGCAAATTCAGGAAGCATTAGAAACCGCCGAGTTTTTACTTTTCGAGCCCGTTATAGCGAGAGTTCGAAAAGTTCAGGTACGTTTTTTTTTGGAGAGTTTTAAGACACTTCAGGATGAATCTTCATCGATTAGAATATTAATCTAGCTTCTCTTTTCCGCCCCACAAGGCCACAACCACTCTCTGCTGCACATGTACTAGTATCAAACCAAAAGTAATTGTAGACTGATTCCCTTTGGCAATATGCCTTAAATGAAAATTTGGACCCGGATTTAAAATATTCATTTCATTTTTATAGAAGAACTGAAAGCTTACACGATATGCCTAAGAGCATTGTTTATAGCCTTGAATATTTCATAATGAATATACATTCCATTTCAGTACCAGTGGTGGTGGATTCGCCATCCTGTTCGTGGCTGATTACGCTTCCTTCATTTACGATGAAGTTTCAAAAAGTTTACAAGGGTTCTTTGATCAGAGTTAATCCTTTTTTTTTTCATTTTCAGAAGTACGTAGAATAGAAGCAAACCAAGGGATAAGCAAACTCGTTATGATATTGGCAATCGTGGGTTTGGCGCTGGTTCTCATTATCATCATAATTGTTGTGTTGGTAAAATACAAACGGAGGAATGCAGAACCACAGTTAGTAGCTCCTGTCAATATTCCACTGGAGAAAGCTGAAAATTCAGAGGTTGATCAGGTAACTATTCTTCACAACATTCTTTAGGGGCAAGGACCGCGGAACCTTTTAGAAAGGGGGGGGGGGTCACTGACAAACAAGGGCACTTTCTCATATAGCACTATATCACATCAGCTGAATTTAAGGTCTATTGGCAGCTCTTTCTTTCCTTCGTGTCGGCGCGGTCGGCAATCACAGGGACAAAAATAATCCAAAGGGACAGGCCGGCACTGGTCCACAGTCAGAACTCAAATTAGCTTCAACGATGGCAGCTATAATCCCTCACTTGTCTCTCCAGTTTGAATAGAGTTTATACGTGATCCCAATTAAGAAGAAATAAGGCGAAATAATGATACGAATATGGTATTGTGAATGTGCCTTCTTCCTTGATATCATTTCTTCATTTACATGATTAAAACAGAGACCAGCGCGTTCGCACGTTGAAACGCCCAATTACGAAACCACATCAGAAAAGAGTGATGACAGTTATGACACTGTTAACTTTCTGGCCAAATCGCCATTTGATGAAAAAGCTAAAAAGAAGACGGAATCTAATGATGATGTTTATACGGCGTTGGATCTGAAGGAACGGGAAACGGAGAATGATTATGAGAAGTTGTTTAAATGAATTTTTTAACACAGATGGCTTGTCCTTTTGTCATGGCATGATTGAGAAAAACGAATTCTAATTATCCGGGTGACTTTGCATACTTAATTTTCAAAAATTCGTTAGGATTACGGAGATAGGGGGATTAGCCTTCAGATTAGGAGTTTTAATTGAAGTTTTTGAAATATAGGGATCTGGTTAGGAGAATAGATCTTATATTGTGCTTGTGTTGGTAATTCCAGTGATAAATCTTTGAATATTTCACTGAAAATTCGAACTATCGTATTTAGTATGTAATGAAATTCAAGCAAATCACACGTTATATATCCGGGAATTCTCGCGAGCACTGAGATTCCTTTATCACACAATTCCTTGAAAATAATGTAGCACCTAGCAGCTTCTAAATTAAAGAATTTAGGCAATTGAAAAAGAAAATTATTTTCTAAAGTGGTAGCACTGATATAGATTTTTCAAATTATTTATTAGAAAGTAGAAATTAGAATAGTAAAACTGTAAAATAGCAGTTAGAGTTGAATTTCGAAGAGTTTTGAGGTACGTTTTTCTTTTTTTTCTGCAACTATAGATTTTCAGTTGTTTTTCATACGATTTTCACTGCAGCAATTAGGTTATTAACAGGGATTTCAAAATATATGAACATGTAAATTTTACACTTCCATACATACACGTTCCTCTGTAGTCAAGGCGATTTAAACGTGCTCGTTGAGTTTAGCAGTAATTTCAAATCTAACTCTAAATATGCAGGAGTCAATCCCATTCTCATAAATCAGTTTATAACCCCTTTGTTTTCCATCCCCTGGTATTCTAGAATAAAGAATGCTACAACCTCTTCTTCAAGTCTTAAAACAAATTATGTTTGCCTTCAATTTATAGAACCGTGGTTGTCTGATAAGAAAGAATATATATCAATAATTCATCATGAAATGTTCTGTGTTTATTGCAACCAGTGCAGATGGTTATATTGCAACCAAAGATGGAGGTGTTGACTGGCTTGAAAATGCAGGATATCCTGATGTCGACATGAGCCAGCACCCAGACATGAGCTTGAAGAATTACATGGCTACTGTAGACTGCTTGGTTATGGGTCGAAACTGCATGGAAAAAATCTCTTCCTTCAATCTAACGCCCGAGCAGTGGCCCTATGGTGACGCTCGTGTATTTGCTCTTAGCAATTCCGTTAAAGTCCCTCCTGACAATTTGAAAGACAAGGTTGAGGTTGTCCCTGGTGATATACCAGCATTGGTATCAAGGTTGAAAAGCGAAGGTTTCAAGCATGTGTACGTTGATGGAGGCTCAATAATCACATCTTTTCTCAACCTAGGGCTCATTAACGAAATGACAATTTCACGTGCACCCATTCTGCTTGGCGATGGCATACCTTTAATTGGAAAGCTGAACAAACACATCAAACTGCTAGAACCTCAAGCCAAGGCATTTCCAAATGGTTTTGTTCAAGAGAAATATAAAGTCAGTTATGAATAACAAAGCTGTAGTAACTAAATCTTCTCACACCACCTCAAGTAAAGAAACAATAAAGAAATTTGCACAGAATTGCTGTAAATTTGAGGTGTAATTGTATATTTTCAATTTAACTCGAATTTTTGGGAGTTGCAGAAAAATGCAGGCCACTCACAAATCAGGTTCCAATGTAAGGCTACCCATATCCTACCCTGGTATAGTTCAAGCTCAGGGTAGTTCAGATTTTTATTGGTGCCAGATGGTATCCCAAGAGACTCTAAATTCCCCATATGACCCCTGGTGATACCCCATTTGACCTCATTGTCGTCGTCAGGTTGCTACGGGCAACGAGAGTGTTTATAAAGCGCCTGTTTTTGCACAGCGGTATACCTCATTCCGCATTAAAAATGGCGGCTTTGAAAACGGAAAAATGAAAAAATTGCAGATTTTCCAGTCGGAATTTAAGCTCATGTAACCTGTTACATTTCTAGAAATGGTCTCTTTGAAAGGGAAAGCTAAAGAACGTTATAACTAGTGTGATCTACGCGAAATTTTTATTGAAGAAAAGCGCTTGATTCGGTCCGATCCTTCCAACAGCGAAATGGTTAGTGCGATTCTTGACTCGTATAATTTAATCTTTTGTTTTTAATACGTCTGTCATCGCAAGTCATATATATTCCTCCAAGAAAAAGCTTTGTTTAAACAGCGAGGGTGTCGGTTTGACCGAACTATGTGCTGTCTAGTGTCAAAACTATCAGGAATATACTAGTTTTGTTGATGCATGACATGATGACAATTAAACTATCACGTATTTCCATCAGACCGACGTATGTACTTTCACAATAGATTATAGATATTTCAAATATACAAATACACTCTCTTATTGTGTACATTTCATTTAAGTCTAAAAAGAAGGCTGAAGAGAGCGTCAAAGTCATCATAAGATGTCGGCCAATGAATCAAAAAGAAGTTGGCCAAGGTTTTGAAAGGTTTGTCTCTCTGGTGTTGTTGCATAGAAGATATTCCCCTGTTCTATACTGTTTGAGCATTGTGTATTTTGTTGCTACATTATAGGGTGGTTGAAATGGACTCTAAAAGAGGTCACATCTCATTGAAGAATCCTCAGAAGCTTGGAGAACCGCCAAAGGAGTTCACATTTGATGCCATCTATGACTGGAAGTAAGTTGGAACATTTTTCCCCAATTTCTCTTCTCAAATTGAACGTGTCACTGAAATAAGCCTTGTTGTACTGCAATCGGGGTGACAAGATACCCTTGTTGCCAGTAACATAACAATGAGAGGTAAAGCAATTTGCCATCAGATATAATATATCTCCAATAGGTAGTTAACCAATGCTTAATTTTATTTTCCAGCTCAATCCAGCGTGATCTTTATGAGGAAAGTTTTCGTAGTCTGGTTGAATCTGTACTTGGAGGCTATAATGGTAGGACAATTCTTGTTGATACTTTGAATTCTTCTTTCATCGACCCACTGGCTGACAATTCTCCACATGTTCATAATTAACACTCTGCTTCATCTATTGCAAGACAAGTTAATTGCTTGGTAGAAGAGAACAGCCCAAATTATTCATGACATTGATTGAAAAGTTTCTTGTCCAATCACCAAAAAGTCTTATTTGACAAATCATCTCTGGTTAGGAAATATGATCAAAGTAATTCTAATTGTTATTGGAATTCATGATATATTAACTGTGGTTATTTATTTAGGCACAATATTTGCATATGGTCAAACAGGCACAGGAAAAACCTACACTATGGAAGGTCAGTGATATATACTTGCAGCTATTGATGAATGTCCTATAAGATCCCAAATTATCCAAAAATAAGCTCCTTTGTAGTAAAGTAAAACTTGGGAACACCTGTTTCATCTCAATTTACCACCTATTCATCAGTGTCGTTCCTTTCATTGTTTACTGCCATGATTTCAGGTGTTCGGTCCGATCCAGAACTACGTGGTGTTATTCCAAACTCATTTGATCACATATTCAAACATATTGCCAGAACTCATGACCAACAATATTTGGTCAGAGCTTCATATTTGGAAATTTACCAGGTGAATACAAATGGTTTGCTTTGGCAGGGCTAAGGATTGAAACTTCACTGTGGTTGCCAACTCATACAGGCTGCTGTATATTTTTCACATTTTGTAGTTTATAACTTGTATGTAACATAATGCTCTCTCAAGATATTGTACACCATATAATGACATAACTAATTATCTTGTTGCAAAACCATGAAATTATCATTAAAAAATAGCCAAGTGTGGTTCAGTATGCTAGATCACAAGTATAAAAGGTATAATCGTCAATTACTTTAGGAAGAAATAAGGGATTTACTGGCGAAAGATCAGAAAAAACGTCTGGAGTTGAAAGAACGGCCCGATACAGGCATTTATGTGAAGGTATTAAACTCTTCTTTCGTGTTATCTGGGAACCATTTCTGTCTAAATTTGCCAACCTTGATCACCCCTTGCCAACTGTCAATCTTGAGCAACTATATCATCAAACCTTGAGATTGAGCCGGAAGAGGTTTCGGCACGGTGGCCCTCTTTTACCTTTGTTAGAGGGTGGATAGAATTTTCCTGTTCTGTTCAACAATTCTGCACTGTCTGATTAGAGATTGCATGTTCTCTCTTTAGGATTTACAATCATTTGTTTGCAAAAGTGTGAAGGAAATCGAACATGTGATGAGCGTTGGTAATCAGAACAGAGCTGTGGGGTAAGTTGATTTCATGATTACAGTAATCTTTAACCTAATCCTTCAGTGTTAATATAGTTGCCTGTAAGGGTTATATACAAGGGTCAGATGGAGGATAAAATTCAGATTATATTCATTGATTTTGCACATGGAAATCAGGAAATACCACCGATAAATGTGGCGTCAGCACTCGTTTTCACACGACAGAAAGACATACGACTATCGGTTGTATGGAAGAGTCTTGGACGGCACTAACTCCCTTTAGTAACATTGTGATTTCTTTTCCTAGAGCGACCAACATGAACGAACATTCTTCAAGATCACACGCAATCTTTATTATAACTATCGAATGCAGCGAGGTAGGTTTCAACTATGCTCTGGGTGAGACTAAGTTAAGCGCTTTCCAAGCCTAAGCCCCCGTCTGTCCCGCTTTCCTCTATAACATCAACTATAACTCCAGCTATTCAACAGCCAGAAACCGGATGGTGAAAAAGCCTTTATTGACTTTATAGGAAGGACCTGATGGTGAATGCCATATTCGCGTCGGGAAACTGAATTTGGTTGACTTGGCTGGCAGTGAAAGACAGGCCAAGACCGGAGCTGCGGTTAGTTTAACACTTCCACGAATGGTTTTACGAGGATTATCGGTTTCTTAGACTTGAACTAAAATTATAGAATTGAATGCTGGATAGTTTTTTCCACTTCCTCGTGACGGGTGTTTTCAGATTTTCCAAGACATGCTTATGAAATTTCTCGCTGCAGGGTACACGACTGAAAGAAGCGACAAAGATCAATCTTTCGCTGTCTGCTTTGGGAAATGTCATTTCGGCTTTGGTAGGTGAACGCGGTTTACTACTTCCTTAGGGCACAGCTGCCTTCATTGGCTTAATTGTTACGTACACCATTCATGGGTCACGGTTTTAAGTTCTCGTCTGTGAAATTTGGCATAAAACAGGTTGTGCCATGTCGAGGCAAACACCAACAGAATTTTCAACTTGAGACTCATGAAAAAACTGTCTACGTTTTCTTGATACATCCTGTTTGCTGGATTTCAGCTTAAAGGCTATTCCCAGACATCTGTTAACGAAGTATAATTTTTCTCCACAAACTTCTAGGTTGATGGCAAGAGCACACACATTCCATACCGTGACTCCAAACTCACCCGCTTGTTACAAGGTACACTGTTAGGATTACTAATCATAATCATACAACTAATCATAGTTTCAAATAATCTGTACTTCAGTATATTACATCATTAGCTAATAAAATCATTGCTCCATTTACTTGTAATAATTTCGCTGCTGATGCTTTGAATGAGTTTCAAGGGGCGCTCAGAAGTGTGGTTTATCCCTCTTCATCCACCTTCACGAGTTCCCTCCTTGTCTCCCCTGTCTGATTTACTATTTTAATATTTCCAGATTCTCTTGGAGGAAACGCCAAAACAGTTATGGTTGCCAACATGGTGAGTTCAAATGTGTTACTTATTTCCTCAGCTAGCTTCCCATATGCTGTACTTTTTCATTTACACAATTCTGTTCATCAACCAGGGTCCAGCAAGTTACAATTATGAGGAGACCTTAACCACACTGAGGTATGTATGTTCATTCAAATTGAACCTTTCTATAACTCATAGTTTCCTACAATACTTAAGAAACAGACATTACCATTTACCAATCCATCCAGCGAACTTGTTAGGGCCTTGCCATTAAGCCAGGGGCAGGGTAGTATCGGGATTCCAGGAATATATTTTATTATTACGCGTCACCTGGCTGAATGGGGTGTAATCGAAGCATCTTATCTCCTGCAGATATGCCAATCGAGCAAAGAACATCAAGAACAAGCCCAAAATTAACGAAGATCCAAAGGACGCCTTGCTTCGAGAATTTCAAGAAGAGATTGCACGGTAAGCATTTGATGGTTGTAGTTACCATCTAGGAGTGATCAGGAGTGATTGTATCACAGAGACGTCTTTCTCATTTGATACCATAAGCTCTTGTGTACCGCGACTTTCCTGAACTCTTCTAAACTCTATTTCTGTCAGGTTAAAGAATGAACTACAAAAACGTGGGCCAGGCGGAAAGGGGGGTGGTAAAAAACGAGGTAAGGGTAGTACAGTTATCGTTCCTGTAAAACCGCCGTTGTCTTCCACACGGAAACTAACCAGCTTGTAGAATCCAAGCGTTCACCGCGGGTCGGTAGAAGAAACTAGATCTAGACGCTCTAGAGGGCTCCCTCTAGGGAGAGGCCCAATTTCAATTTTCAAGTTTATTAGAAATTTATCGGGCACATTTACATCCGGAATAATTATGGTCTTGTTATTTAATTCGGTGATCTTGTAATGCATAAAATGCCTCGTCTGTCGAATTTTCCACGCAAATAACAGAGGAATTCAAAGAATAGAAAACCTACTCGCAGACTGGGATTGGGTATCCTGAGTTTCTAACCGCACCGAAAATCTCTATTCTTAGGTGGTGGTGGAACTGGTGGCAGCGGTGGAGAGGGTGATGATGACGATGATGAAGAAAACGAAGAAGATATGATGAAGAAAGCTCAAAATCAGCTGGAAGAAGAGAAGAAAGCTTTGTTAGAAAACCACAGCTTAATGGCAGAGGTATACAGCAATTTTTTTTTCTATGTAGGTTATATTTTCAGCGAGAATGATATATTTGAGACCAATTTGTGTCGATATTTCGACGTTTTAGGAAAGAGAAAAATTGATGAACCAAATTCAGAAGAAATCAGAACAGCTCAAGAAACGACAAGATGAGCAAGCCGCTCTGAACGCTAAGATAAAGGTGGGTCAGTGTATTGTTTTTAAATGGTCGAATTTCACTTTTGATTTGTGCGATGCCGTAAGGATTTAAAACATGACTTTAATACGTGAGTTTAAGAACCGTTTCAATTTCCAAAGCAGTTGTGTTAAATGCTTTGCTAATGACGTGATATTGATGTTCAGATGATGGAAAGCAAACTACTCGTTGGCGGGAAAAGTATTGTTGACAAAACAAGCGAACAAGAAAGAGCATTAGAGGAACGAAGAAGAGAATTGGCTGAGCAGCGGGTAAGGGAGCGTTTTGGCGGGAAAAATTCAATTTTATATTTTTTACTTCTTCCTTCACGCCGAGATGTATTTGTTCGAATATAAACGGCAAAAAATGACATGTTTTGTTTCATATTGGGGCTGTTCACAGCTGTTCATGTAAATTAGTGTTATAGTAATGGCTCAAGCGAATATTTTCAGGCTCGAGAACGAGAAATGCTGCAGCAATTGGAGGAGAAAGATGGCGAATCATTGCAAATGAACAAAACACATTCATCACTGCAAGAAGAAGTCGATATTAAAACCAAGAAATTAAAGAAGGTAGAGACGAGTTAAGAGTTTGCTAGCCGGGCAGTTATGTACTCAGGCATATTCCGTTGTGATAACATAAAGCTAATGAAAATTTGCCTTTATACACGCGGTCAGCGCATAGCGGGCTCGCTTTACGATTTATTTTGATGCCACTATATGGTCGTAATGTCAAGGCTGTTTAAGATCTGTTTTAAAGCTTCTTCATAGACTTTTTGAGGCTGCTTTATGGTCTCTTTTAAAGCGGCTTTGTGGACTATTTTAAGGTTTCTTTATCGTTAGGTCACTTCATGGTCAATTCTTCTTGAAAGTGTATTTTGAGGGCTGATCTAATTGATACTACTTATAAAAGACTATATTATGCTTGATATAGTCATAGTCTGGTTCGATATCTTCGTCATATGAAGGAAGAATAACAACATCTCGTTATTTCTTGCAGGTCTATGGCAAACTACAGCAAGTCAAAGCAGAGATCACTGACCTGCAAGAGGAATACGTCACACAACGACAACAACTTGAACAGCAACAAGAAGACCTCGACCGGGATTTAAAATTCAAGTAAGTTTATCTTCTCAATCTAGCAAAATGCGGTAAAGAATAGCAAAAACACGAACTCTTCTTTATCTTTTGTCCAGATTGCTACTTCTGGAGAACTTCATGCCCCCGGAGGAGCGGGAAAAGATATCCAAGAGATGCATTTATGACGAGGAGAATGACCAATGGAAATTAAAACCAATCGCAGAGAATAAAACGTAAGTTTTATACATTTTGATTTGGTCACTTGACTTCTTCAGTTGAGCACTCGACTTCTACAGTTATGTTGGAATTCATTACTCTCCTGATGAAGGCCCTTAGGCTTAGACTGCACCTTACCCGTCCATCAATGCGTTTTAAACGTAGGGAAACAATGACCAAGAGGCCTGTATCTGCGATCGGAAATCGCCGAGCGATCTCGGAATACGCTCGTGTGGCGGCAGCACTTGGTGGTAACCCGCGTTATAAGGTAATGTTTTCCGTTTGATTCTATTCCGTTTCATTCTATTCATGTCCATAACTTACAGTACATAGGCACAGGGGACTTGAAATCTTTATTTGACATTACTTCGATTGTTGAATTTTGCGAAGTTCAATGCGTTTTACCCTGATTTGTCGTTTTGTAGGCGGAGAACATAATTCAGATCGAACTAGACCTGCCAAACAGGACAACGAAGGATTACGAGGGACCTGCGGTAGCACCCAGGGTGCAAGCAGCGTTAGATGCAGCTCTTCAAGATGAGGAGGACATCACGTTAGATGCTAAGTATGGATCACTGATATTTACGAATGCCGGAAATGTTGTAAAATTTCGAGACCTAATTAACTTGACCTAAACTTAAGAAAAACTGACAAAAGGGCGTGGTCGAGATAGACATTGAACCTCTCGGAAAGATTATGGGACGAGGGCGGAAGGGGTGGGGTCACTTGTCTCATCTGTCCACATATGCCTTTTTCCTTTCTCCAGTGCATTTTTCCAAAAACTGTTGTATGACCATAAGTTTGATCTTTCATTTTTCTAGTGCGCTTCTCAGTAGGACAAATGTAAAATCGAAACGAAAAGACAAACAAAAAACGAGGTAAGAACAATGGAAGAAAAATCCAGCCAACTGAAGCACGCCATCACCACAGACGAACGAACCAGAAAGTACACTTCATTATTAAGTAACTTTATTCTTTAGTAACTTTATATTTAATTGGTTCAATGGCTAAATAGCTAAGTGAAGCCCGCTTTTTGAAAGCACCAAGATGGCGGGTGACGTCTCTTTGACTTGTCCTTATGACTTATGAAATAATCCATCAAGCCAATGTGAGACACATTAAGCCAATCACAACATTAAATCTTTAGTTCCAAGATAGCGGTTATTTCATGGGTCTTTTTAGACCTATGCTTGACTATATAAAGAGCAGTGACACATCAGCCAATCAGAGCACTGTATCTGGATTACCAAGATAGCAACGAGGCCTTAAAAATTTGATTTCTATTTTTTTTATCTGGTCAGGCCTTATAGCCACTGAGCTCGATCAGAAGATTTGTCCCATAATTCCAGTCATGATTTCGTTCTTTTTCAACAGGAGCAGAAGCAAGAGACCCGAGACGGTAGATTCTCCAGAGTCTTCTCAGAGCGAGATGTTTCCTAAAGCTCGTGGGCTGGTATCGAAACAACAGCGATACTAAACAGATACGAATTTTAATTATTTATTTAAATCAGAATTATAATGTACAGTTTATAATTACTTCCAAGATCTTAATTTATTGCCCTATTGAAAATAGTGTTTTATAAAAGGTATTAATAAGGAATTCAGGACTGCTAGCACAATGCTTGTTAAACTGTTTGAATTGAAACTGGTGCGGCGTTATGTTCTAATTAAACATGGCAATTTCAACGTGTGTGTTTAAATATTTTAATGTTTAGAAATAGCAGATTTTAGATTTATGACTAAGCAAATATCGCGTCCTGACAGGTAACTTTTATACAATAGATAAAAGTGCAATCAAGTTCAAAAAAAATTCCATAGAGTAATCCTCTCCTCACAAAATAGGAGAGGGGCCAACACAATTTTCTTCACAATCCACCGTTGCCACCTAGTTTTGAGGGTTTAAAAAACATGCCGAGGAAAGTACACCTTAAAAATTAAGTCGATGTGTGAATAGCTGATACCAAAAGCCGTCAGAAAATCTTGAAAAAGATTATGTAACTGAATATTATTCTTTTTTTGTATACACTTAAGTTAAGACAGTGCAGTAGAACAGACAAAAATGCGGTAGAAGTTTTAATTAATATAATTCAGTCGATGTCACCTAAAGATGACGGCAAAATTTAGCCTCCTCAATGAAATAAAGTGTGTTGCTTTCATCTACGTAGAGAAGGCGGAATACAGATTTCTATTTGCATCGAGATTCATATTAAATGAAGAATATGTCACAAATGCACTACCGTTAATTGATAAATATTTGCCGTGACAGTGAATCTATGAAACGGAAGCTTCTTTCAAAGTGATTATTGAAGTAGAAAATTGATGTGCAAAGACACAATTTAGCAATCGTATTCTATTGATTGTGTCTTTATTAACATTGTGTTCAATCACCCATCACGCGAGTCATCACCAAATAAAGACGTTTCAGCACACAAATAATATCTTGTAGGATGCGTCTTTACGGAAAAATTGCCGCTTTATGCGATGTTAACTGACCGAAAAATCAGACTTGGTATTAATTGTAAACGGCTAATTTGAAGTTTTCGTAAATTATCTTCTCCCTTATTTTCGTTTTCTCATATTTTCTTTTCCCAGAAGAACTGTCACGTCATTTGTAATGTTTTGAAAATCTTCTGTTTCTCTTTCATTTCACTGACAACATGTTTTCACTTTTTTTGGAAAAGTGTTTATCGCATTATAATGTATAAGCGCGAAGCAGAATTATATAACCACGTCCACGTACTTCACGCAGTTGAGGAAGTCGTCAATTCGTTTCAAATGTGTGTTTTTGTTTATTGTATAGTTTAATCTCTAAATTTAGTTCCTTGTAAAGAGCTGAAACGCCTCAAAATCTCACAAAATACTAGCAAAAAGTTTTCACACAATTGTAGGCGCAAAAAATATAGCATGCTTTGATTTATTCATTACAATAGACGTCGTTGACTTGGCACATTTTCTACACACATTTTTGTAGACAAATTATACCCATTATTGAATAGTGCGGTCAACACCGATGAATTTCTAATAACATTTTGACATGAATCACAAAAATACTCGCACGTGATTGGCTAATGCCACAATACATTGCCTCCCCCGATTTTTTTCGAACAAACCTCACAATTATACTGTCTCGCAATAAGACTGAAAAATCATCTCTACTTGTTTTCACTTTGTTTCTGCCAGACTTGGACGAAGTGAAACCTTTTGCAAACCCCTTGGCCAATCGCCTGGCGTCGCAGTCAATTTGAACGGTTCTATTTTCAAAAATGGTATGTACGATATAGTCATTAGTGTTTATATTCTGTATAATGATTCTGTAAGGTGCATGGTTATTCCTAATTTCATTGTGTCCCCGCTATCTTTTCACGTCTGTGCACGAAGCGGCTATTTGTTTACCGCCTTTCACCTGACATCAAACACGGGATTAAATATTGTTTTGCGTGTCACCAGCGGAAATTAGCGAGGTTGATATCAGTCCGGTACTGACTATTGTAGAACTGTAGTGTCACATTACATCTCTGTCCGGAGGGATTTTCCGTGCAAAGAAAGCGAAGTAAAATGTCATTGAATTCAGGTAAATAGTCACGGTTCTTGTCGTGTGAATTAATCTGTGGAATCGTACATAGCAAATAACCACATAAACTAATTAAAAAGTTTTTAAGGTCGTAAATTATTACAGCATACGACTCGTAAATGAGTTGGAAACGTCGTGTTTATTCACGTCGTTTCATGTGTATCGTCTTGCTATTGCTCAAAATATTAAATGTAGCCCAACACGGTCTAACTTCAGTTTGTTTTTGCTTCGTAAAATACAACGAGATATTACATATCCTTTGTAATTTATCACTAAAGCTAATATTGCTAATATTATGTGCCAATTTTTGAATACGTAAATAGTTTGTTGGTTCGGTTCGGTTGAATTTGACACCGATATAAGTGTAAGGTTGCGTTGAACTTGGCGTAATTTTTGGGACCTGATATTTTTTGAAATCCCCGAGAGACGATGCGTTTAAACAAGCAAGACTGAATATTAGAATTTCATTGTCAGCGAATGAAATATTAAAACTTGTAGCGGACGAGGAAGGCCCTCGTATCGCTTGCAATGTAAACAACAGTCCTTGAAAGAAATATTTTTGAAATCGTAGCCTTTCACCTAAAGCGTGTGAAAATGTCATTTAGGTCTGGGGAATGACCCCATTCGTGAAAGGTTACGCAGTTTCTTCGTTATTTTTGAGAAAATTGGTAAAAGGTGTCATTATAAATATCGTGTAAATACTAGCCGACCGCCTGATGGCCGAACAACTTTCCAACCGAGGAGAAAATAATGGTTTGCAGAGGGTTTTTTTATTTGAAAACCAAACTTTCGTAGCAAATTAATGAAATGAGAAATGTTCCAACGTTTAATTTGTCACTTTTGTGTTGTATTTGCTACTTCAAGATATTTCGCATGTACTTACAACTAGTGTAAATATGTTCTATGCGGGTTTACAATTCAAAATATTTGCGTTATTTAAACAATGCGTTTAGACAGTCGATTGGAGATTTAATAAATCCTATTGGAATATCTTTAAACCGACGCAGTAAACGTCTAAATATGTGTTTTCTTCCTTGTTTTATGTTCCCATGACAATTTATTATATAATTGTCAGTCTGTATCCTTGCCTGCGTAATGGCAAATATGCCGGAATTGATTCGTTTGATTGATAGCCACTACAGAATAATTTCTCGCAAGAGTTTAAAAATAATAAAAATTAATAGAATTGTTTACCTTCTTTTGGTTTTATTTGTTTTCGTATTAGGCCCTTAATTCTTATCACTGTGCTAGCTCTTAACCTGTAAAATCGTCTTAATAGAAATAAGTGCATTAGTTTGCACTGCAGAGTGAAAGGTTAGCTTGAGACATAATATATAGTTTTGCCTAAGCCTTTAATACCCTATATGAAACATTCCCTTGACAAATGAAATTTCTAGAGAAGGAAAATTAAATTGGACACATTGTTTAGTGGTTTAGTTCAATTGTAAGTCTGTCCATTTTTATACTTCCTAATCCAAAGCTTGTTCCATTTTTACCCTGGCTAATGCCAGACAGCTTGGCTCACACAAGGACTCTCTAAATGACTCGTAATTAGATTGTCTGGAAATCTGTCTGTACATATGCCCTGTGTCAGAGACAAATATTTCTTGTCTGCAGTGGAGTAATGCTGGTTAAATGGTTAATTAAGGAAGATTACCATGCAACATTTGGCTTTTCTTTCAGGGGAAAGAGAAGGAGACTGTTTATGAGGAGTATCAAAACTCCAGTGCAAAGAGAATGGCTTCCAGTTCATCACAACAGCGCATCAGCCGTAACTATGGCCTTGGTGCGCCACGGCGAAGCCAATCAATGTTTATACAAAGATCTGGGCTAGAGGAACCAGATATTTTGAAACGTCGTGCTCGCTCAACAAGAGGGGGGAGGAAAGGAAGAAAGTCCACCTTGTTCGCTGGAAGATCAGCTCCAAAAATTCCCCAAATTGAAAACTCTGTGGACTTGTTTGAAAAGGTTTTAAGTGCATTGAGGTATGGTGCAATTGTATAGTATGAAGAGCTGAGGTCATTAACTAAAGACCCCATATCCAATGCATGACACACATCATGTGTGGACATTAGGCATTGAAAATCTTTAGAGCACAAGGTTCCATAATATCACCTTCCTGCCCACTCATTATTTTTGTTAGATTCGCTTTAGTTTTTAGGTTACATAGATTATAAGATCAGTTTGTCAACTGGAGTGCAAGAATGTAGGCAGCTTGCAGAGGGGGGAGAAAGGCAAGAGGAAAATAATCAACTTTTTCCTCTTGAGCCCTCACCCATCCCCCTCTACACCTGCTGCCTACATTCTGGTGCTCCAGTTGACTAGCTATCTCAAAATCCACCTAACCAGAGTCCACTACATAATATATAAAATAGGATAACATATTTCGTTGTTATTTCATTTTGATTTTCATCTAAAACTCCTCCAACTTACGTACTGTACCTGTCCCAAAGACACTTTCATTACCTGCTCAGTGACTTTAAATCTCATTATTTCAAAGTCAATTGTGTACCTGGTCCATTTCTCGATAACATTTTCTTTCTCTGAAATTTATTTCTATAGTATCTATAAACTCCTTTTAGCAGCTTTTCTGCTGTTGAAATTGTATATTTGTGCGCTTAGCTACTCAAATTGGCTATTACATTTAATTTCGATATCCCCATAAGTTGTCAAGACCTCAATTTTCAAAGTATAAGTTGTCTCTCCCAAATGGTTACTTGAAAATAATAGTGTTTCGATCCAGAGGGATTAAAGTATAAACAATCCCTTTCAAGAAAGAGTTGAGGTCTGAGGATCTTCTTGTGGGCTCTTCCAAAGGGGTAAATAAATAATGGACTAGTTTGAAAGAAGGACCTTAAAAGGACCTTGACAAGGGGAGGTTTTTAAATGTAATCGCCAATCATGTGCATCTGCGTTGGGATTTTACCGCAATCTGTCGTGTGAAAATTGAGATTTGAGAACCGCAATGACAAATAATCCAACTAAAATATGGCGAATGCATTTTACAAGAATACGTAAAGTTATACTGTAGAAAACTGTTCAGTGTTCATAAAAGTGAATTGATCTCCCTTGAAGGACAGACGTAAAGTAATTTCACGTCATTGGTTGGTTTTTATGCGTTTTTTACAGTCATATTCTGATCTTTTCTGTATTAAATGGCGGAGTGATTTTACAACTGCAATTGTATTTATTACCATATTAAATTATTTAAATATGCGAAACGAGACTTACCTCGACTCCAAAAAGTGCTTATGGTTCTTGAAAAGCTTTTGGGTAACAATGATCGATTAATTCACACAAAAAAACCTTCGAAAAATATCGAAAATTTTAACCAAATAAATGCAAATAATACCCACTTCCACACAACGACGTTTGAAATTCGTTAATGCCGCAAATTACTTATTGCCGGCATAAATGGCGGGAAGAGAATTTTTCACTTTGACCAATCACGTTGCCAGTTTTCGGTTTCCGCGCGAATAAAAACGTTGTCCAGAAGAAAGCTGACTTATTGAGTTCTCTGCTTATTATTCGTTTAAAAAAGATTTTAGAAACATTGTAATCATTGTAATCATTGTTTTGAGAAGTGTTTTGTCTATTTTAGGCAGTTGTTATACCACATTGATGCTAATTTGTTTGAAAACGCTGCCACGCTGCCCCCTGGTTATATTGTAATCATGAGAAATACAATTTGCAGCCCCCTTTGAGACAATGGGGAATCGACCATTTTTCGTCAGGGCTGTGGGGAGTTGGTGTGAGAAATTGGATGGGGGGATTAGGGGTAGTAGATTGAGGGAAGGGGAATTAGAGAGAAAGGTAATGATTGACTGTTGTATTTCTTTAGGGATTGTTCCGACAATATAAAAGACAATATTCGTAGCTCGCCGATAACGGTATGTGCATGATACATTGTTTCATTCGATTAAACACAAAGACTACTACGTGGAGAAATTGTATCCTTAATATTTTCATAATTTGTGTTCATAGGCAAAGCGAGCTCTAGAGCAAAAACTCAGGTAGAGTGAAAAATAACTGTAATAACCAATAAAACCATCTGTCATTTGACAACCAAATCTGAGCTGAGAAATTTGTGATATATTTATTTTTATATCAGTTTTTATTTTACGCATTGGCGTACGTCTGAACATTTTTCCTGGTTCAAAAGCTGACATGACAAGTCAACCCTCTTATTGGCATAAAATAATTCAATCAGCGCCCAAAAAATGCACTCTATATAGGCAATTGCACGGAACATAGACAATGGTACCCCAAACGAAATTCCTGTGCATATTCCATTTACATCTACAGCCAGACAGCTTCACACCTGCTGTACTGTCATTTGAAATTAATATAGGTTTTCAATTTCCGTAAAACGTGCCTATAGTATCCACAATGTTTATAGATAAAACTAACTGGTCTGACTTTCATTATTTTGTAATTTAGATGGTGCGAAGACAGATTAAATCAAGTAAGTAACCTGCTCATTATATTTTCTTTCTCTTTTGTATAATGTAATTTGTAATACGAACCATGTTATACGACACAAAATCTTTTTAATACGTCCTTTTTGATGTCTCGACTATATATATGTTGATCGGCTGAAGTGAGGATTCCCCTCCCTGGATTTCATATCGATTGTGTTTTGATATATTTGCAGATCAATGGTCTATACGAGTTTTATAAACATGAGATAAAGATGCGACAAGGTTAGAAATATAGTGTTGTTTATTTGCAATTGAATTTTTTTTTCAGCCTACGTTCGTATGTATCGTTCTTTAACTCATGCATGCTTTCAATGAAATCTTTGCCATCTTTTAGGAGCAAGGAACCTCGAAACAGCCTTGTTGTCGTACGGTGTGAAACATGGACACGATAAATGTAAATCAAACTACCGCGAATCAACGCAGGTATTAGTCGAAACCCTAAATCACACCATAAACACGTAGATGGACCATCGCCCTATTTAAATTTTTTTAACAACTGTCACTCCTTCCCTTCTGTATTCGTTGCAGAATATGTGCGAGATTGAGGATGAATTTGAAAGACGCATTGGAAGATTCAAAGTGACCATTGATGGTACAGTTACACCAGTCATTCCAGGAATATAGTTTCGATTTTTGAACACCATCGAAAACCATTCCCCGAAATTAAACCCTAATATAACACTGGCCTGTAAATATCTCCCTCGATCCCTCTCACTAAAACCTCGAGTCTCGATATTAAACCTCTCTTGAAATGCTATTAATTTTATCACCATCATTATCATCGATATGAAAATCTTTGACAGCTCATGCATGTGTCTACAAAACCCATAAATCAGGAATCACGTTTAATTTTCTCTACTTCTTTAGCGCTCGATGGATTTGCCAGACTTTGCCCAGGCGACAACTTTGAGGTAAAGCTATATTTGACTAGTCCTCGGGGGAGTAAACCAGAAATATTTACTTGTGATGACTGATGACTTGTGGCCATGTATATTTCCTTATGCTAACATTTAATGTTTTTAGATTTTTCTACGTAACGGAATCGGTCGCAAGTGGAAAGCGAAATGCAAAATTGAAAGAGATGGTCAAAAATGGACGGAAAATAATGTGAGTGGATGTTGAGGAACTCGATATTTTTCTTGAGAACTTATATACATATGTACACACTGATTTTATTGTAATAAATGGCAAAGATGTTCGTTAGATAGCATGTGTATGTTAACCAGGGAGTCTTTCCTTTTATTAGATCGAGGTAAAGGGTTCCCTCAAAGATGGTCTGTATCTAAGGGTAAGTTTCTGCAACCAGTGATAACTGCACTACTTGATCAATGTTCATATAGCTGTGCCCTAATCCTGATCAAATCATGTTGAATTGCTCCTAAAAAGACGCAGTGTCCAGATTTTTCAAGCATGAAAACAAATTTGATATGATTTAACTGAGATTATTCGTGATTTAACTGAGATCTAGTGTTTCCACGCAGATTTTTGAAATCAAGAAGATTCAATCGAATGCACAGTTGGGAAGTTTTTCAGTACGATTACGCAATTACATTGCTGCCCGACCAATGGTATGTAGCCATTACAATTGTCCATTGTTAACGTCAAGTCATTAATCTTACCTTCCGGTTATCTGTTGCAGTTGTTTATTTCTCATGTTTGTGCTTTGACTTTTAGAGCCTGTCCATTCCTGTTAACAAAACTGGAAATTTGAAATTACGAGTGACGTTTCACTGGCAGTAAGTATCTGCGTAGAGCAACCACTGATCTATTAACCATAACTGGATACTATTTGTGCGTCTTCCATCGCTTTCAGACCACTGACGACGAAAGAGGAAAGCAAACTGAAGAAAACGAACCGCGATGGATTGCTATCGGAGGTCTTCTTTGGATCAGTTGTAAATGTCAACCATAATCCCGACGTATCCACGAATTCTGCCGGTTTCCCTCCTTCATCCCCATCTGTCGCGTCTACCTGCTCAACCAATAGTAATCCAGTGTTCGGTTTTGAAGAAGTCAAATATGAAAAACATAATGGAAATCATCTCAACGGGAGCGCGTGGTAAGTTGTGATCATTCATTCAATTGATAAACAGTAATTTTCACTCCGTTTTAAACTCTTCTTCCTCGAGGTCCACAGTAAGGGATAATACTGATAATCTCTTATTGATCCAGTGTTACTACAGGAGGAAACCTAAACTAAACTAAATTTATTTATACTGGATAGCTCTATCAGTTCTAAACTGTTCTTCCTAGAGGTCCAGTAAGGATCATCTCTTATCGATCCAGTTTTATTACAGGAAGAAACGTAAACTAAACTAACTTTATTTATAATAAATAGTTTTATTAGTTCTAAACTGCTCCTGCTAGAGGTCCAGTAAGGATCATCTCTTTTGATCCAGTGTTACTACTGTAAGTGTATTTTCACTTGCATGACAGTTCTATTTTCATTGTTAATCTTTATTCAACATTGCTCTGTCTGTTCGAAACTCACTCTATAATGTAAAAGATTGCACCCCTTTTGCAGCGATTGGGTAACAGCCGATGTTGAAAATCTTTTTCTAACTCAATGTAACGTTCCATTTCAGTTCAAATTCAGCAGAGAATCTTCATTTAAAGATCTCGGAAGCTGAGGCATTGGTAAGATTTTTCTAAAGCAAAATATGCCACAGAGAATAGGAACATCACCATGGACTGAAGATTCTTTGTATATAATTTTGATAGGACGAGAAATATGAAATGCTCACGCCAGAGGACGAGATTCCTGAAGAAAATGAAACCCCAGAGTCGTCATCCTTGGACCGACTGATACGAAAATTACTCACAGTTTTAAATGAACACAAAGGTATTTTTATGTAGACATGGCTTCAACCTATTGATTTTAGTCCCTTTGTTGTTCTCTTTCATCTCACGTCAACTCAGGTGTTGTGAATATTTTAGACCAACATCCTCAACTGGACGAGTTATGCGAGAAACTCGAAAGACTTGATGAAATTTTACAGGTAGGAGCCTGGACTGTTGTACTTGATTGAGTAGAGCTGTACTTGCAAAAGCTGCGAATGCCTGTCGTCAGAATACGACTCGTGCGTGAAGATTGGCCGACGATTCGCGCAAATGACTGAGGCTTCCGGGGCCATAAAATGTATAAACTATCGAGAAAAAAAGGTTTTTTGCCAAGGACGAAGTAATTCGACTTCGATATCTCTTTTCAGGGTGGCAGGCTTGCTAAAACCGCCATATCTGATTCCGTCGAGAGTGCATTGGAGAGTTTCAGTTTCCTTGATCTTACCGATGTTGGCGTGAAACCTGAACCAGATTTGCAACCGTCAGATACGGGCTACTTTAGCAGTACCGATGAAACGCAAAAATCGTCTTCCCCTCAGACAACTGTGGTCAGTATCTAGCCTACTTTTGCCTTCCCAATCAGTGCGTTCCTTCCGAGAATCAATTTAGGAAATCTTATATTTCTAAGAAAATTACTTGCATATATATTGTGTAATAACTTGTGAAATGTGAAATCACGCCATTCGTTATCATACAATTCATAACATCGCGAAACATCGTAGTTGCATTGCAATAACGTGAAATATCAAATGTTCTTACATAGACGCAGGGCGAACCAACCACGGTGGCTGAAACAACGGCTGAGCAATCTGAAGAGGACGTTGAACCAGATACCAGAGTTGTAGCAACGTCACCAACATCATTACTTTCGTCACAAGGAACTGGAACAGGTATGTTTAGAGAAGCGTGATTGTCAATAGCCTAAGAAGCTATGGAGCCACTGTCACCCACTGTCTGCCTGTCACCCACTGTCGCCCACTGTCATTGCCTGCCACCCACTGTCGCCCACTGTCATTGCCTGTCACCCACTGTCGCCCACTGTCATTGCCTTTCACCCACTGTCGCCCACTGTCATTGCCTGCCACCCACTGTCGCCCACTGTCATTGCCTGCCACCCACTGTCATTGCCTGCCACCCACCGTCAACCAGGTAATGACAGGTTAGTTAAAAAATTTTTAAAACTTTATGTGTTTATCTCTTAGATTGCGAGACGGAGACCTTATCCTGTTGTTCCGAACTTGGTTCAACGGGAATCACAATTATTGACAAGGTTTGTCTTGTGAGGTCTGTCGTGCTATATAGCTCATGGTATTAAACGATTTAAAAGTACAATGTACAATACCGGCCTTTATTATCCCTCACATCTTCTCGATTGACATTCTATGTTTTCCAGGTCCTACAGCAGCATCTGAAGTTTTGCCTTGGATTAACAAAGGTACTGTACAGTAACTGCAGGTTTTTGCTAAATAATTGATACAATGACATGTTTGTTTCTTTGTTTACCAATTTTGGTTACACGCAATATTTATATAAACATGACTTTATATTTTTCAGGATTTCGGTTCAATAGGACCGCTAAAATGTAAGGTGAGCATGCAAAAGCCTTCCGTTCATGTTCTGGTATACAAAATAAGAAAAATATAACAGAAATTGCGGTACCATTGCTCTTCCACCAGACACATTAGCTACGTATATGCCCCCATTACCCTTGGAATTAAAATCGTTTCAAAAAGCAGATATTGGAGGTTAATTAAGGGTTAACAAGGTGAATTGGTTGATCACTTGTAACATGACCGTTCCCTCCTTACAGGAAACATCAGCTATCATAAAACTCGAATGGCAATGTGGTATAATTGATAAACTGATAGAGCTTGCAAAGACGAAGCAACCACCTCACACGATATCAAAAGGTAGGGTGCAGATATTTGTACGAATGCGTGGAAATATATTTGAGATAACTTTGGTGTTTCGTTATTATTCGGGGGAAAATCATGCAATATCTTTCTTTTCATTTATGTAGCATATTCGTCCCTAGCAGCGAGCGGTCATGATGAGATCTTGCTTTTCTGGGCTGGAAATTGTGGCGAAAATGTAAGATTGTATTTGTATCATCATCTCTGATATCTGCTGGGCAGAATGATCTGATTTCACTCAAACATTTGACTTTATAGTTATGTGTGCGTCTAACTTTGCCTCATTCTAAATTTAGCCTTTGTTCATCGAAAGTAAAGATTTCGTTCAAGGTTTCAAAAATCAGTTTAGTTCGGAAGTGGATGAACGCTACAGTCGCGTAATCGATAGACGTAAGTCGCAGTGCTGAAATATGGCCTTTGTAAATAGCTTAAAGCAGTAAAAAGCACTCATGTTTCAATATGTGCATGTGACGCTATTTTACAATACAAGTGATTTTCTTCTATATCTTTTCCTACTGGTTTTCCCAGTGTGAAAAAGTTCAACTGTTTAAGGAAGAAAATTATCTTCGCGCGAGCGACTTCTAATGGATCATTTTTTATTTTAGTATATCCGGTGATTACGACAAGAGTTCTCCAAGAGAATGGCAGTGTCCTCTTACCAAATCTCGACGAAGATTCTGTCATAACTATTTACCAGTTTACTGATTTCTTTCTTATCGATAATAGGTAGGAAGCATTAAGCGCCATTTTTACTGAATAAGGAGGGGAGGGGAGGGGACGGTTCGTTCAGTTTCACATCAATTTTTCGTCTTTATTTTCAACTAAATCGACTTTTCGCCTTCACAGATGGAACCTGGTTCAGTTCGTCAAAGATGTGGCGGATGAGCGTAAGTCGTTATATTCGAGTTTGGGATCACTTGGCTAACGGTTGATGTAGAATAGTAAAAGTTTATCTCGTCCCACGTGTGGCGTATGCAAATCAGTCTTTACTAGTGGCAGAGATACAAACACACTCTTTTACATCCGCTACTTGTCGTGGTAGGAAGAAAGAAGGTCTTTCATGTGTAAAAATTTATGTTTTCTTCATTCTCTAGTGCTGACTTGTAGTCGACTCATGAACGAAGAAAAAGCAGTTGTTCTTACTCAGGTATTTCTTTGCCCTTGTCAGCACACTTACAGTAGGACAAGTGAGTTGCTATCAGTAGATACCTTTTCGAGGTAAAAGCAAGAGAACTTATATTCAAAGAAATTAATTGAAAGAACTATTATCTTTTCCAACCAGCTTCAGATGTATAATAAAATACCATTCCAACAAAGCTGCTGTGTAAACGTTGCAAGACTGCTGACCGATCCTGACTTAAGAGTTGCAGGAGCAGCAGGTAAGATGCAAAAATCAGGCTCGCCAAATCCTGAAATTTAGTCCATATCAGGAATTGTATATTGTTTCTTTTTAGGTGTCTATTTCGAAACTCTTTTAAGGGATGGTAACCGAAGAGCACAGGTAATCTCTAATCAAACAAAGGACTTCCTTTTAAACCTGCGGCTATAGACTCAAGTAATCCATACTGAATCGATCCAACAGTTGTATAGAAAAAAATTGAAAATTGTTTCAAGACGACAATGTTCAAAGAGTTGGACTTCCATTGTATAGGCGGTGTCGTATTGTGTCGAAGCGCTAGAGGATGGTGATGAGGATCTTAGGGCTGGTGCTTGCCATGCTTTGGAGAGACTACAGGTTGGTGAAGAAGATCAGAGGAAAGGTGTAGTGGGGTTAGAGATGGGGGTATGAGGAAATGGAAAGGAACGAAGGTTGGGATAAAGTTTAAGGGATGTATAGGAGGAGGAGAGTAGATGGGTGAAGCAAGGGAGAAAGAGTGGGATGGGAAAAGAGGAAAAAGGGTGTATGTAGGATGAGAGTGAGTGTAGGATTATGGAGGAAGAGTGTGAGTGTGAAAAAGAAAAGTGGAATAGTAGTAGGTGGAATGAAAGTGTGAGGTCTAGGAGAATACGAAAATAAGAATCGAGGACCAAGATTGGGAGAAAGTTTGGAGAAATTTAGAGGGGTTGAAGAAAAAAAGAGACAAAAAAAGGGGGAATTCATTACATTTCGTAATTCATTTTTAGGGAAAAGAAGTAAGCGAACATCTGTTGTTTTTGGCGAAATGCGACACAGCAAAAGTGAAACAAGCTGCAGAAGCTGCAGTGGTTAGTTTTGGTGAGTGTTTGATCCAAATAGACGGTACTTAGGTCAATGAAACAAAAATTAACAAGATAAATAAATTTTGAGAAAATTGAGCCAAATCACGGTCCCCATTTGCACACTGGTGTTTTACTCTACGCCACGTATCGCGCCATATGTATTTCCAAGATTTTGAGGAGAGATTTCAAGAAAAGACTTAAAAAGTTTTTTCGTCTTAAGGTACCGTCTCGGAACCGAGTGACGACGAAAAGAACGCACAAATCTGGAAGCAAACGACTGCAATGTCTGATGTTTCGAAAAGTACGGATTTTTAGCGATGAAATACGCCACTGTGTTTCCATTGCTCAATAACTTTATTATCAAATATTATCAACCCTACTTTCAGAGTTGATTTCATCATTGCATGTGATGACGCATGCGCCCAGATGAAATCCCTAACAAATCTGTTGTTTGTTATTAAAAGCTTGTTTACATTTGACTATATGATTTTCCTCTTGATGGATGTGAATGATAGAAAAATTATACTATACATTATATTATACATATATCTTAGTTACAGATGAACATACATAATGTATGAACATACGTAACCTACTACTCGTTCACATCCATCAAAATGAGAAAAAATGGCAAGTTTAAACTGGCGCTTAAAAGAGATAAAGCAAATAATATATTTCGTTGGTTTATAAATTTATTATGAAATATTAAATAGATGTACAATATTTAATATCTATATTAAAATACACACAAATTTATTGAATTTATACATATTATATTGTCATTGAAGTTGAATTAAACTACCCTCATTAAAACTATAGCTTCTCTGGAACTCTTATCTACCATGTAAGACAGTGGGAAAGTGTTAGAGAAATCGAAATCTTGTTATTCTTGTGAGATTTTGACATATTTCGTGAAATCTGAGCGCGGTTTCATGGCAATGTCTGGTCCAGGTATTCGTAACACTGTAGGTCAGTGGATAACGTTACTGTTTAGCGCATCCAGGATTTCGAGTTTCGACACACGTGTCTTGTATCAACTTCATTGATTTGGGTCCTAAAAATCGCACAAATATGAGCAAAAATAAGAGAAAACGGCGATTGAAGGAGGAGGATTTTAAGAAGAAGAAGCTTAAAGTGGGAAAGAAACTGCCAATGCCGGATAATGTGACCAGAACGAGTTTTAAGGCGAAAAACATCAACATTTCTCAACAGGTATGCAGAATGTAAGATGGTGTAGTATTGTAGTTTTAATATTTTATTAATATCTTCATGTTTTGCTGTTAATCTACATCTCATCGTATTTGGCTGTAGCGTCTATTATAAAAATGTAAGTCATCACGCACACAGGAATATTATAATTATTACAAAATGATTTATATAATCGAGAATTTATATTTATCGTTGTGTTGATTTAAAAAACCGTCTATAATCACCCACAAATAATTATTCAGTATACTCCCTGAAGTTATCAAGTGTGATATTTAAACATTGGTGCTGGTCCTAACCACCTCTTTTTTAAACTGGTGGCCACACAAAAATGATAGGCCATGCATGGTTCAGTTCTTATGAGGGGTGATTCCACACACTCCAAGTTTTCATTATATGCCGTTACGGTAATAAATGTTTTTTGCCATAGAATCTCAACAATGATGGTGTACAGAGTGACACTAATTTCAAAGGACAAAAGCTAAAAGATCTGCTCAACTTGTGTTCTCATTACAACACCCAAGCCAGGGAGGATGCTTTGCTTGGCCTCAAGGACCTATTTCAGAAACACCCTGGGATCTTGAAAAGCAATCTAAATGCTGTGTTACAACGGATTCTAAGCTTGACGACAGACATTGAGAGTTCAGTCCGAAAATCATTTTTAGCAATAATCTCACTGGTCTTCAAGACACTGTCTGAGACGGAAATTTTGCCATTTTTCTCAAATGTCATGGCCTACCTTTGTTCCGCAATGACGCATCTTAACGAGAGCATCCGCTTGGACTCACTGAAATTCCTTGACCTTTGCCTCGAACATTTTCCACAGTTGGTCAAAGCAAATCCAAAGAATATAATAATGAATTTTATTAATGTAATATCAGTGGAGAAGTCTAGTGTGGCAAAAAAAAGTTCAATTCCTGTGAAGATTGAGCTCAAGGCCAAGGTTACATCACAAAAAGCACAATTGGAAGTGCTAAGTAGATTAAACCATCTACTTTGTATAATTTTTGGCAATCCTACAAAGGCAAGCAATGGTGATTGCATCCAAAGCACAAACAACCAAGGTAGCGAAAAACTTGATGACATTAACCTTGGCATTGCTAAGGACACAAGTCAAGTCACTCTTAGTAATGTAAACCCAGTTCTCATCTCAAATTTTTCAATGAAGAAAACCTCATCCAATTTTCAATCTTGGACAATGGATGAGAAATGGTTGACAGAGCTTATTTCCTGTCTCTCACCAGTTTTGTTCGAATACTGGGTGGAATGTTGTCCAGCAGAGTTTACCATGAATTTGATTCCAGTAACAAGGTCCTCTGTCCCTCTGAAAATAATGAAAGAAGTCCTGGAAATCTTTGTAACATTTGTTGAAAGTTTGAAGAGTATCTTGGATCAAAGTCGATTCCATGAGTTTTTGGGTAGTGATTTGTTTTCGCACTTTAACAGCCACTTTATGAAGGTGTTCCCACTTAGCTTTACCCTGCAGCAATCTGGCAGAAAATCAAAGGTTGACTTTGGCAAAAGCATAACAGATGTTGAGCTCAATATTCTAATTGCTCGCTTGTTGTCCTTTCACATTCCTCAGATTAAATTGGATGTAAAGAGTCTTCCCAAATGGGCCTCAGCAGTCCTTGCCTATCTCTATGAGATACTGGCTTCAAAGTCAGTCACAAAGCAGCAGTCCAAATTATCAGCAAGCGATATCAAATCACTTTCTGAGCTTGCCCAAATGTTCTTGCTGAATTTGCCGGAACGTTTTGAGAATGAAAAAGTCTGTCTACTTGAGAGCATGTTTCAATTGTACGAGAGTTGCCGTGTGTCATCAAGTGCCAAAATGCTCTTGTTGGAATTCCTAGCAGAGGTCATGGCTGGGACAAGAAACCAAACAGAATCTATGAAAGCCATACTCGATGAATGGCTAAAGTCGTTACTAAAAATTGTGAATATGGAAATTAGTGAAGATATGAAGTACATACTATTTTCTGTTTGCAAAACTGGAATCTTACAAGGATTTCCACATCTCACAAATGCTATGGTTGAAGCATCTCCTGTAATTTTTAATGTTGAGAACTTCTCAAAGTTGACTGCCCAAGTTCAAAAGCTTGTTATTGAGATTTTATATCATATTGGAACAATTCCATCTCAAGAACTATTTAAAACTCTGGCCAGGTTATGTGCATCCAACTGCATGTCATTACAAGTTTTCAAGTATCTCTTGTTTGTTGTACATCAATTGGTTCATTCAACACAAAATGACTCTTTGGTATCAGATCTAAGCGACTATCTAAGCTTTATATTGTCAATTGCAATTGGTCATACTCAAGAAAAGCTTGAGCATATTCAATCACTTGGAAAAGGACAGCCTAATTGCTATAATTATAAAGAAATCAACGGGTCGTATACAGTTATTGCTCAGTTTGAAGGAGAGGATGGTAGTCCTCAAGTTACACAGGAAAGATGGAAACATGTTACGATTGTGATTGAACTTATTTGGAAATTTGTAGCTCAGTCTGATTACTCTACGAAATTCCTCAATGTGCTTGAATCTCCACTATGTATGCTGTTTCAGAAGTATCAGACTTTGCCTTTAGAAGTGGTTTATCGTCTACTTTATCTCGTCAAGATCCTTGTGCGTTTGTCAGAAGGAGAAACAGATTGTAACAAACTTTTAACATTCATTTCAACATGGTGTGCAGTATTATGGCATTTTTCCCTGAACATTTTGAATGAGTTTGGAACGGTGCCATTCATTCACGATGTAACTAACTCCCTAAAAACTGTAACTATTGAGCTATGTAAGTCTGAAAGCATCCTCAAGCAGATGCTAGGTTTGTTTATTCCATCTACAATGCCTGGTCATAATCCTCAGTTGGCTTCTCAGGTCCTAACAGATGTACTTAAAGAAGCCAGGGGGAACTTGATGGAAGTACACATGTCCACGCTTGAAGATTTATATAAAAACCTTGAGGGGGCATTGACGATAGATCAGCTGAACAGTCAAGTGTTCGCAGACTTCAAGTATCAATATCAAATTTCTACAAGATGTTTTATGGTATGTGATTAAATGTGTGCTAAACACCAATTGTGTTATGCATTTTAAGTCATACATAGTGTTGGTATTGAAATAATTTGACCTGATGAGTATTTAGCAAATGAAAACCCATCGACAGTATGTAAATTTAACAGGTCCTGGATAAATAAAATAGTTTGTTTAAAGAAAATGTTCAACTTATTGATTATTGGTTACTGAGTATTGTCAAGTTACAATAAAAAACATGAAAAGCAAGCTAAACATATTCTGTATTTGTTATCTTATTTCTGCCTTTTTTCTGCGATAAAAAAATTTTACACAGAAAGTTTACACATATATTTATAATATAACATTTATAGTACGCGCGTGCTGATTGGTCGAGAAGCGTGTTTCTATAACTGTATAGAAACACGGGAATTTTCCCGCCGCACTTGACAAGCGAAGCGATGTAATGAGAATTTGTAATTGAATCGATTTTTAAAATCTTTTTATTGAGTTATATTATAAAAGAAATAGAAAACATTTTTTCCTCTGTTTCTATACAGTTATAGAAACACTTGTGGGAGTTTGGGAGAACTCGAAATAACGTGGAAAAACTCGCCCTACGGGCTCGTTTTCCCACTGATTATTTCTCGTTCTCCCAAACTCCCACGCGTGTTTCTATAACTGTATAGAAACACGGAAAATGTTTTCTATTTCTTAAATGTGACTAATAATATATGGACATACTTTTAGTTTCCTCTAAATGGATGACCTGAGGTCTTTTACATTGACTCACAATGACTATTTACAGTATAAATAAATTATTTATTGATTTTCTATGTAATATACTACACAAGTAATTTATTGTCTCATAACCTAATAAACCTACTTATAATATTAGAGACATAATATTTTGTTGGATTACCACCACATATTGTGAGCCTCTCCTTCATAAATACTTGGCATCAATCCTGTAAATAAAATAAAATAAATATATAATTATACTCACGTAAAAGATAGAATAACTGTATGTGACATATTGCATGATCAGCTATGCTTTACCTAAACGTGTGGGTACCATTGTTACAGTATTTTTCCCAAACAGTTTCTTCTCATATTCGATTAGTTGTGTCCAAAAGCCATTGTTTGGTCTGATGAATCGTCTCTTCGATTTCACCAGTGAGTGAGCTTCAGTAAGGCTGAGATTTTGATATTTCATTAAATATGCGATGACAAGAGATGATGACCTGTGGCAAACCAGCAGGTGATTATCAGGTTAAGTCTTTGAATATTCTATTCTTCAACTTGTGTGGTGTTTTATCTACATAATTACTTGTAAATTCATTGGTAATTTTCTACCTGCTGACACCTGCAACACAGTGCACAAAAACCTTTTGACCATGTTTGCGCTTGTCCTCTGTTGGTATAAAAGACGAAAATCTATGGTTTATTTGAATAATTCAAATATAATGGTTCTGTCATGAAATTGGTTGAAGATTTCATAAAAGAAAGGCCTGCATGTGAAACTCACCGATGAGATCGGAAACTTTGTCAAAGTATTTTTCAATCCTAGCACCTGGTGCATCATCTACTTTCACTTTGTAATTTTCAACCCCATGAGAATTGTAATCTGGCATTTCCATTGTGGCTGCAAAATGTATAAAGAATATCATTGCAGTAGTTCAATCTGGGTGACAAGGAATTAATGGTAAACCTGATACACATACTATCTCTTACTGTCTAAGCCCCTTTTTACATGGAGGGAGTTAGACAAGGCTAAACAAGGTAAAAAGCGCATTGGATCAAAGGCGTAACCTGATTAGTCTTTCATCATATGCAGTTTTCACCTCGGCTTGCCTAGCCATGTAAATAGGCCCTAACACCAACAGTTCCTTCCCTCCTATTCATGCAATAATCATAGAGGGCTGCAATTTTAAAGTTTCATGGATTTTGAAAACAATAGAAGCAAACCCAGTGGAGCATTCTGACCCCATGAACATGCTCCAAACTCTAGTAAACTTTGTGGAAAGCCTATTCAATCAATCAAACACTAGTCATCTGTGAATTTGACTTAGAATCATCTGTTGTTGCTCGAATGGTAGTCATTTTATGCTGGTAAACATTTATCTTCGTAAATAATCACCGTTAATAATTAAGTTTATGCCATTATCCAGAAGAAAATCTTTCTTAACGCCAGCTATTCCACCCAGATACAGAAAATCTGTGACTGCATTTACACGATCCATCGAAATTTCAGAGTTAAAGAGTGCTGCGTATCTCTGGTAGTACTGTTACCGTATTTTGTTTTGGAATAAAAGTATTAAAACTCCAAATTCCATAAATTAATTATTAACCAATTATCTGTCAAAATATTTGCATTTTGTATAGTGTTTCCACTATCACACAACGCTTTTCAGAGCAGTATGACCTGTGACCATTCTGTGTCCAGCGTTCCAAGTTCTAAAACAAACTCGTTTACAGCTTATATTTGAAGGTGATGGTATATTTTTGATTATCCATAATTATGCACAAAAGTTACAACAGAAATACTGCATTTGATTTCCATTTTCCAATAAAGTCTGACTCTACCATCCTGAATTTTAAAGCTCGTTAATTTTTCATGGATTCCACTAAATATATTTCTTGCAGTCGGCAATATATCTGCACGAGATTAAAGTATTTCACTCCACAATAGCACAGTGGTTAGTGGTAATCAATTATGGGCTGACTTTTTCCGTAAATTTATTCCATGAGCGGAAACACATTCTTGTTCCCAGGCTATTTTGTCCGCGGTGATTTTCTTGAGCCAGCAGTGTCACCGGCTGACCACCATCCAAGATGCATTGCGTGAAAATTATCTTTCCTTTGGTTCTTGCAAAAAATAGGTAAAGATACAATTTCATTTGTTGAATAGAATCCCGCTAGTTTACTACAATCCTTTCGTTTTTACGACAAATACCACTAAACCTGGGTCATTTAATTAATACTTGACCAATCTCTCGCCATATTTTTGCGATTTGACTCAGCAAATGGGGAAAAAATCGCGCACCATTTTGTCATGTGTGGAAGTTGATCATTCCATTTTTTTTATGTGTTTGTGTTGCAGCGAAAATGGTGAGCCCTGTGGAAAAATTAAATATAGTCAAAAAGAGACGAAAGAAGTTCATACGCCATCAATCTGACCGGTTTATGCGCGTAGATGTGAGTGTATTCAATATTTATATTGTAGTATAAACTATAAACATTAAAACCTATCGCCTCTCAATGCATGTGATGGTACCTACATCAGTATTTCACTCATACCATGATGATGGTACTCATAAGTGAGTTAGTACTGTCTGTTATACCCTTCTATCTACTGTGTCATGCTCTGATCTTATGGTAATATTGCATATGGCATCATTTGTGAAGTCTATTCCAAATGTATGTCAATATCAGATTATCTTAGACATGAGAGTACTGATATATTATTAGAAGGCAGAGCAAACTGCATTTACAAGAAGATGTGTTGAAGGCCACTTTTTTAATGTCTGTTGATACATGTTTTCTTGTATACAATGCTACAAACTTGCATTTATTTCTTTATTGGGTTGTACAAACCACATGCTTTAAATCCAGCCAGTGTGGAAAGTTTGTGTCTCACAACTGAGATATCGGATGCGCAATTTTGATGTCTTGTATATTCACTAGTAATTTTTTGAAATCTCAGTTGCGCAGTTTGCATACTGTCCAGTCGAGAAATCAAATTAGTTATTCACAAAACCATAAAATTTGTAATAAAAGTAGGTTTCACCACAACTTTCTTGCATTTGGCTGTCATCATATATATGGGGGTTAGCAATAATAAAGGAGCAAATTTCTAAAGAGAGGGGATGCATAATATACCTTATTTCCTTGGTTAAGTTAAAAGCTATGACAGTATGATATATTTCTACCCAAGTTATATTGTCTACCCAACTATATCGCTTTGTTCTCTCATAGAAAAGCTGGCGCAAACCTAAAGGAATTGACAACTGTGTCCGAAGACGATTCCGAGGACAACGTCTTATGCCCAGCATTGGGTATGGCTCAAACAAGAAAACCAGACACATGCTGCCTGACGGTTTCAGGAAATTTGTCGTGCATAATGTTGCAGTAAGTACTGCTGTTTCATTTCACTTTGTGCACCTGAGCCTCGTTGAAAAAAAAATGGAGTGAAATTGCTGAATACAATGTGAAAGCCATTCTTGCCTAGGATTTTGTTACATTTACTCACATTTTTGGCAAATTCACATCCTTCCCTAAAGCACCATGTTGTCTAGTATAGTCACAACAATGGCCGTTGAAGGGAAGAAAAACAATGCAACGCCTTCGGGTGAAGTGAGTGAGGAACATTCCTGTGACATTCATCTTCAATCTGGCTTGCTACAATTGAAAACTATATTAAAAACACAAACAAAACTAATTGAATGATTTTTATGTGACCATAAATGTCTAATAAACTCAATCACTGTGAGCCTGTTAAGTTTCCATTGCCTGTTTGACTAAGGCTGTGAGTAAAAGTCTGCTTCCAACCTTTCTCCTAGGAACTTGAAGTGCTGCTGATGTCCAACCGTCGTTTTGCGGCTGAGATTGCACACAATGTATCGAGCAGAAAGCGTAAGCAGATTGTTGAACGGGCCCAGCAACTCGCAATCAAAGTTACAAACTTTAACGCCAAGTTGAGAAGCGAGGAGAATGAGTGATGAATAGTTTAACAATAAATTTTCCCACTTGGATTCCTCCGTGAGTTTTTGATGTGTGATCTTTTCTTTTGTGTGATCTTTTCTTTTGTGTGTCAAGATCAGGGATGGATTGACTGGGAATATGGAAATGTGTACCCCCTTAGCCTAGTCCTGGGGGTTTAAAGAGGGGTTTAAATTTGGTTATAATTAAATATGGGGGGGCTACGTACGAATGTCAGCACCAAATGGTAAGTATTCTGGTGTATTTAGAAGGCTTTCTGGCAATCTAGGTACCGCCTTGACATTTTTTGAATCAATTTTTAAACAACGTAACTGCATGTACCCCACAACTAGGCAACTGGTCTGCATCAACTCAAAACAAGCCCCAGTTGCATACCACCCTGGATCCATCCCTGGTCAAGATATGTGTGGAGGGAAATACTCTCCCTCAGGAGAAAATTAGTATTTCGACAGAAATGCAATAACCAATTCCTGCTAATGTTCTTATATAACATGGCTTGTCATATGTGGATCCTGGAAAAACCGCATCTGAACCAGGTTCGAATAAGGGAAAATTTCTGCCACTCAATGTATTACAAAATTATTCAATTCTTAAAAATATATATGGCAAACATGGGTAGAAAAGCCTGGTTTGCGATGTTGGGCTTAAGCTCGGAGGTCAAGCTTTTGGAAAAAACAAAGTTGATATTTTTACCCTCTCCTGGAAGATTGCCAGCTCAAATGTAATCTTTGAGAATGGAAATTGGAGTGGAAATATTTTTTGGAATTGTTTGCTTATTTTCAGGCAGTTATCTACACTTAACCTATATCTCATCTATATTATCCTAATCTATCCTGGTATTTCACTAAATATGTCAAATAATTCATGATATGCCAAAAAAATGCGCTTGAGCTTATCAAAACAAAGTTACGTCATTACTTGGCTTGCTATTATCTATAACAGGTCCATCGTGTAGAGCAAATACATACTTAAAAAAATTGAGTAAAAATGGTCATTTCTTTGCAATTTGCTTTTAATTGAAGCGTTGTATCCTGGCGGTTTATTGCAGAACAATAACACGTATTGTTCGGATATTAATATAGAGGTCAGTCTCAAAGAAAAGCCGCGCCAATCAATGCACGAATAAGCTTCACCCGTCGCAAATCAGGTATGATTTATGTTTTCACGGGACTATGTGAATATAAATATATATATATATATAGAGAGATCAGTGACGTCGTGAGCCAATCAGAGCACTGAATCCTGAGTGCCGAGATTAAGGCAAGTGCTTTAAAAAATGGACTTTGCACATAAGTCGCGAAGAAGGTTTATTCGCTTTTTTTTTGCAAATCAACACCGCTCGACCTGTTCAGCTAATTACAGTACTGTGACTGTGTGATGTTGACTTTGTTTATTGGACAGGACGCCGCTTGTTAAACCAACTCAGTTCATTGTTGGTGCATAAAAAAATTGAAATATCGTGTGTTATTTGATTCTCTACCAGAAAGCATACAATGCCGTAGTAACGGTCAAGTTCACGTTAACAATGACTGTAAACAAAACGACTGTTGTCAAGGACACATTTCCAATCCTTACAAAGCGAGCAACAGCCTTCTCCGAGCGGCAAGCGGTGCAAACGTTCTCGATGCCGAATAAATATTGACAAGTGAATCAGAAAGTTTAACATGCATTTGTTAGTTGAGCTTACTCTGCGTGGTCCTTAAGTACTGTTTAACTGACAAACAAAGTATGTTTAAACTTAGGTATTCGGAAGGATTATCTAGAAAGCCCACGCAGCTTAACCAAAGATTATACTTTCTGCCCAATTAATTTGCAAAGTGTTGAGGTAAAATTATTTTGGAAAAGAAAATGCTCTTGGAGCTTCTTTACGTTGCAGAGTCTCAAATTGTTTATGCCCCTAGCTAGGAATGTCGTGACGCAAATGCTTGGCTGTGGTTTAATTCTTATGAGTGTCTTGGATGTGTTTCAAGTACCAGAACATAATTTAGGAGGCCAGACCTTAGCGTTTAAGAGGTCCAAAGACCAAATACAGGTATTCCTTCAATGCTTCCATCCGCAAACGCTTTTAAAATACAGTTAAATGGAGTAAAAGCGAAAAAAATATTCAAGAATTTGACAAACATCTAATGGGTATCTTAACTTGACACCACTTAGTTGCCCACGTCGAATTTAGCCGTGCATAATGAAAGAGCAGGACCGGATTTACTGATAAAACTATCTACTCTTCAGAAAACCTGAAAGATTCTATCTTAATTTATTGCATTACTCGAGTTTTGAAATGAAATTCACGACTATACATCTTACTCGTTATTGTTCTATTTGTATTCACATGTATTGCGCCCTGTTTGTCTATTTCGCCTTTGTATGGATGTCTGACCATAGGTCCGACTGGTCTGACGCAAACCCATTAGCTACATTGTCCGATAATCCCACCAAAGATCCTATCCCAATTTTACGGTCGACAATACCCCGTCAATATCCGTCTGGTTCGTTGTTAATACTGCAGTCTAGCTTTGACTACGCTACACTATTTAGCATTTATATTTTAGTATTACCTCTAGCTACGTCAACACCAATCTCCTTTCAAGATCCTATTTTAAAAACGGTAGAAAACCATTCCTTTTTCCATTTTCTTGCCATGAAGGTGCAGAGATTGCAAAACCCTTTCAAACTATCTTCGTTTCATCATACACGATTATGTGAAGTATGAAAAATATTCTAACAGACGTAACTAAATTTGATCTAACTTCTGTGACCACTTCACGTTCTTATAAAAAAGCGTCATCTTTACTGATTTCAGAGATTATCAATTCGACCATTTACCGCAATGCCAATGACGATGCTTTTCTAAACTTTACAAATTGAGCTCAATGCTGAATCATCATCCATTCCAGGTTGTTGTTGGTTTGTCTATATAAAAGTATTTCCTTTCATGCCTTTCCAGACGTCTCAAGCCATCTCAACAACTCGGCTCTCTTGCACTCTTGTTTATCAAAAGTATCGTTCTCCCTCGATATATGCTCTTCCAACAGCCTCTTATTACTTGAAGTATTGAATTTCGCAAACTCATTTGGACATGCAGGAGCCTTTGTAATTTTAATGTCCGGCCTTATAAGGTTTTTACCTTTGCTAAGTCGGTAGATGTTGATTTCAGCTGGTGAAATCACAGTCGGCCTTTCTGTTGAACGTCTATTATTTGCTGCCAAACATGGCGAAGAATTTGGCCGTTTTTCTCCTGCTTTCAATCTTTTAGCAACAGATGTTACACCATTTAAGTCGTTCTTGATTAAGCCGGGTAATTCATACGGCGTTTCATGACAACATTCGCTTCTAGTTCGAGGTCTTGACGCCATCGCTTCGATATCAGGTACCAGGAGCCTGGGTAGACGAACTGTGTCCGATAGTATGTGGTTCGTAGGCAAAGGTGGAAATAAATTCTGCCTGTTTTCTCTTGTCATCATTTTGGAATGTTCGCGGGAACTTAACGCGTGCGTGTGTGCCTGTGTGTAATGACCGGTCCGGCTGAGCTATGTTATATATGAGGTCATTTGTTGCGTATGACGGTATCATGTTTCGTAGAAGTTGTGGTCACGTGATGACGTCAAGAAGATTGAGAACGGATTGACGTAGTCAGCAAAGACGACAAAAACAAACAATCTCATATGAAAGATTGCTACCAACGTCTACGCCGCTGTTGGTGATTTGGTGCTGTTTGATTTGGTGAAAATCGTGACTTTAAAAATAATGTTAGGACCACTTGATAGTTGATACGTGCATCAGTGGGGTATGCCTGCAAGCTAAGCTTATGAGTACGCGTGGGATAACCCAAGCGGTAGCTCACGTTTACAGTTTTTGCTGCCGAATGTTTGTGTGTGTAAAAAAATCCCATCGTGTTTAAATTTCTTGTCTACGCGTGAGTGAGGCATTAAGAATATGGCTCTGCAATGGATAAATTCTGAAGTCAATAAAAATACTGCTTTTATCAAGTGGGCGAATACTCCCAAGATAAGTATTTCTATTTTTTAGCCTGCGATGTGAATCTAGCAAAAAGCTTTCTTCTGCGGCAAAGGTATAGAGCTAAGATAAATGCCACAACGCATGGTCATTATCTCAGCTTTATATTACTATTAGCCCCACGTCTACGGCAGGATTCATGAAACTAAACATACTAAATGGGGATAAAAAATTTTCACGACCACGCGTTTGTGAATTTTCCATAAAAAAACCTTTCGCAAAGGTGTGGGCTACGAGCTTAGCTATATCATGCATGCCATGGTGATAAGCTCACTGTCAAGAGCTCACCATCCGTGCATGCTGCCGGCTTACGTATTTATTTAGCCACCTTAAGATAAACGACAAGACGCAAACGGTAAGTCGAATCGAGAGGAGAAAAGGCAACTCCATAATGGTTTTTCGGCAAAACTAGCTCGATGTTCAAAGGCAGATTGCTATTCCGTGTATGAAGTACCACTCAAAATCAACTGAGAAACGTCACGATGAAGTGACCATCAAGAGATTTATTTATTTATTTAGCTTCGCCTATAATTACACAATCAACAACACATACACACAACCATTTCTGCATGTCCTGCCCCAAAACGTGCAAACGTCAGACTTTTGTCAATGTCTCAGTGGTGGAAAACCAAAAAATATGCACTCTTGACCGCTATCCTCGGACGGTTTAATTACAATTGATATCCGAATAACGTGAATTTTATGAGTTGAAAAATACGAAAAATTGCTCAGAACTTGTGGGATGCAGCAGTATGACCAGCCTCCACGTTTTAAGGTTGGACAGAAGGGTGACAGCAACAACAACACCAGCAACAAGGTGACAGCAACAAAAGGCGGGGACACCACAACAGCTTAAAACCAATTACAATTATTATTAGATCGTTGAAGTGATCCATTTACGTGACCAGAATCACAGGGCAACACAATCACGGCTAACTCGTTTTCTAAGAACTTGCATCAACATGATTTTTACGCGTCAAATGAACACGCTTCATACACCTGTCTTTCAAAAGGAGAATATTATACTGATTATCCGAATAACTTTATTGACATTGTTATAACAAGAAAACTGATCAACAACTACAATGGCTATTTCAATAAAACTTTTTCCCATTCCAGTGCGTATGACGACCAAGATTCATTAGCTTGGAAGTAGGTTTCTGGAAAAAATGTTTTTCACGTAGAGCTCTGTAAACCCTGTTTAGCTAAAAAAACTGCCTTGCCGAAAAAGGCATGTCTGACTGCGTGCATTTATCCGTAGGATGAATATACCCCCCCCCCCACCGCTCCCCCTCCGCCCGCTGAAGACACCTATGTGTGTCGTTAGGTTTGTATCAATATTAAGTATAGTGTGAGATATGTTCCACTGTAGTCCATATCTTTCTATTCAGCCCTTGGAAAAACGTTTGATTCAAAGCAATCGTCCCCCCTCATCATCATCTACCCCCACGCGACCATACGCGTCCTCTAAATTCCCCTTTGGTCAGGTGTTCCCGAATGGTTGGTCATTCCCGTGATGTTCGCCGACGCAACACGCCAACCAAATATGGGAAAAAGCAGTTTCTTAAAAGCCATTCTGAAGGATGAGTCCAGCCAGGCGTAGAATAATGGGTTGACCATGGATCCTGTCGCAACTAGCAGAGTCGATAAGCTGTCCAGCCAAAGCGGTATATCGTAATCTACGAATGCCGCAGTAAAGTTTACGGCGACGAAAGGCATCCAACAGCCTAGGAAGCCACCGATGATGGCGAATATCGTTAGAGCTGCTTTGTTCTCGTGTTTGATTCGTTTAAGATTGCTACGATATTGTTGCGGCCGTTCCGCGCTCATCTCTGCGCTTTGAGTGCTGGGTTCTGCCGAGTGTATACCCTGAAGTATGGAAAAATATATTAGATGGAAAGTGCAAGAGTTGATCAACATAGTTTTCTAATGTTGGAACAGCAACAAAACGGCATGAACTAAATTATCTTTCCCGAGGATTTCACGGCAGAAAAAATGTCTCCAACAAAGGGATGGCCGGCCAGGAGACATCTTTTCCTGGGGATGGCAGACCAGGAGACATTGTTTCCAAGCCACGTCTCCCAAGATTCGGCAGGCCAGGAGACATATATCTTGTCCCAACTATCTTTTTGAGAAATGCAACTCAGGGAATTGTTCCAACTAATAGTGGCAGGCAAGAAGATATTGTTTTCTAAGCCGTATCATGTCTACTTGAAAAAGACAAGGTAACTCTGGATATCAATTATGAAAAACATAGCTACCAAAATTACCTTCCTTTTTATAAACAGAATATGCCATTTCTTGCCACATACCTCAAACCACGTTCAGTATAGCATTGACTATACCATGAATATATCATATACCATACCGTACTATGTATTCTACAACAGTATATACAACATATAATCCTGAGCCAGGTTGCAAAGACAGTTTTACACCCCAAATATACTTACACTATTTTCTGCCAAAGTGATCTCAGGTTTGAGATGATTATTGGCGACAGTCAACGCTTTTATTTGTCTTTTTTGTCTCCTCGCTTCTTTAAAGATATAATAATAGGAGAAAGCAATCACACCAAAACCAATATTAAACCATATTCCAAGAAAAATGAAGATCCCGAAATCCTTTCTGTAGTTTATGAAGCAAAATCCTTTCTGCGGGTAAAAAATGTATGTCCCCCATCCTGACAACGGCACGACAGCCACGAGGGCAGCAAAAATCCATTTTCCTGCGATTAAAATTTTGATTCTGTCTGACGTCATCCAAATGTGGTACCTGAAAGGCGTTACTATGGCAACGTAGCGGTCAAAACTGACCAGAGTTAAGGTTATCAATGATGTCATAACAAGCGTCACTCCAATGTAACCGTTGATAAGGCACAACGGCGAATCCCACTCTTGTAATTCGAGTAAAGTTGTGACAAAGTTCACGGGACACGAGAGTAACGAAAAAGCCAAATCACAACAGGCTAGACTTGTGATAAGTCTGACCGCATACCTGGACCGTAACGCTCTGGTCTTTATCACCGCTATTATTGTTAATACATTTCCAAATACAGAGCAGAATATTATAACGGGACATAAAATTGTTATTGAAAGCGATGTGGGCATTATGGTTTCTGTCCTGAAGTGCGAACTTCTTGTCAAACTCGACTACGACGGTGCTCTAATTTCCAATGTCTTCAGGTCCCTTGATATCTGGTAAAATTTAAAACCTTCTGCTGTCAGCGATCCTTGTAACTACTATGCATTGAAATCGATTTCTTTTTCCAAAAATCTTAGATCAAAGCACTTGATAATTGTGTAATTTCCAAGAAAAACTTCAATGTTTTGAAGAACTTTGTACTGAAATTAATCCTTGTATATATCTTGAACGTTTAGGCAACGATTGAGAACCATAGAGCTTTAGCTTATTTCTTTTGCAAATTTACTCCAAGAACCGTCATGGAAGTATGCCAATATGCTATCCAAGCTAGTTTTCTCAGAAAACTTTAGCTGATACCAAAAATTCTTGAGGATTAATCAATCGTGTAATGCCTTCTGGTAAACTGAAATGGTTCCTTGTGAACTCTGCCACAGTGGAGATGATTTAGATGCGGTGTAAAACGACCAAAAACCTTGTCCTGATAAAATCTTTCATCTATAAAATAGATTGACTGTCATTTTATTGGTAAACAATACAAAAACAGCGAGAGAAATCTCTCCTAATTTATCCTGTGTTCATTTTTCTGGTTTAATTAAGCGATCACGTTTCATGTGCATGTCAAGTTCAATGTTTCTTTCAAGAGTAGCTACGTAAACAAATTTCGTACGCTTTCATTCATGTAATTGCTTTAAAGGAAACAGGTATTTCGACCGGAATAAATGGTGTGATAACTGCTGCACCTGCCTTTATGACATGCGCCGGGAAAATTGAATAGTTTTTTTGTCTGTCCTATTTCCTCGTCTTTGAAACGTGCAACAAAAACGTACAGGATAAGTTGATTTGTTAAATTGGCTCGATTTATATGCAGATATCCCGGTTGTACATCTGCTTTGGAAAGCGAATTACCGGCTTATTTCGGCCCATCCTGCAAAATACATAAAGCCGCGTTTACGACAAGTTAATTTTTCTGCATATTCCAAATAGCGCCGCCTATAGCCATGTTGTTTATGTATAAAGTGTGCGTTTCCAACACGATTACAAAACCAAAAGTTTCTATAGGAATGGATGCAGTTTCGAACCATTCCCCCTTTAAACAAAATTGAAAATTTATCAGCTGGAATTAAAAGTATCCCTTAAGTAGATATTTAATTTTCTAAATAATAGTAAGGCTTTTTCGCGCGTAATACGTAGGCTATACAATTTATGAAAATTGGTCTACTTATTGCATATGATATGAGAACAATACCAAATATATTATACCAAATACGATACAGTTGATGAATTCGTCATTTTGTGCCTCTTCAATATGACACTCGAAATTCAACAGCTTTTTCAGCAAACAATAAGCCATATATTTAAGTTGCGTATGCAATCTTATTAAACGAATTACTGATTATCATGCATACATAATCTTATTAAGATGGCACCGATAAGTTTTGTTCAAGTACAGACGTATAACCACTGGCCGAGGAATAACTGTATAAAATATTAAGAAATAAAGCCCAAATTTGAAAAATGCAAAGAGGAGGAACTACTTTTAAGATGGATAGGTTTAATCAAACTACATACAAGCAATCTAAGGCGATTTATAGAAAACCACTATATTTGATCCAAAGCGCTATCGTGCTTTCGTTCAACGCAACAGGTCCCTATATAGACCCTAGCCTGGCTGGGGCCAGTTCTACGAAAGCTGCCCGTTGTTCTGTATAACCTGAGTTAAACCATAGTATTCCAGAATAAGAAATCTCTAAATATTGCATGAATACAAATTTGTGCACGGTTTTAATTCTTCCGTTTTTCTTAAATTTTTAGTATTTTTATTGGACTGTCGCTATCTCGGTAGATTACAGGTGAATGGAAGAGCTAGCCAATGGCAATGCTATATTCGAATCGCGAAATTGGATCTCAACAAAGGCAGCAATTGTAAGTATATAGACGTTTTGTTAACCTTATATGGGCAGTTAAAATGTCCATAAAAACGTTGCCTTGTATGGAAGTGAAAACAGCAATTAACATCGTACCTTCCACCTGCATCAATATATATCAGTGTTTAATTTTTTCATGAATATGCGCTTCAAAGAGTAAACAATTTGTCATTTACTCAATTTGGACTGTGGTTATAGGTTTTTGCATTTTTAAGCGCTTTTGTTTCCGTCAATATATATCTACACATGCATATAATAGTGCTTATGATTGAAATGGAGGAATAACTTTATATATTATTTATACACGCAGTGGATGATTTGAACTGATGTGTTTTTACCAGGTGACCATTGCATAGTTCCGTGTATATAGCGTGTTTTTTTGCCAAAACCCGTCAGTCGAAACTCGCCAATTATATCCGGTTCAAACTTACTTTCAATTTTATAATATTATTCAAATTAAATTTTGTGCCGAAAACTTCCCTTCCCAGACGCTGAAGTTCAGTTCTAACTCATGAATTGATGTTACTAAAATATGAAGTATTTTCACATTGTAATCATGTGTACAAATTGATTGAGAATCACGAAGAATTGCCGTGAAATCGATCGAGACAGGCTGTGTGTTAGCCGCTCTCATGGTGAACTGCAAGCGATCGATTTACTGTCATGCCCTAGCAATTGTTGATGTATAAATTGCCCCAGATTTTATGCAACAAAGACATATTGCCTTTTCTTGACAAATTTAACTGTCTAAGAGGAAGATATAGGTCATCTGGTATATTCTCATGCACTTTTAAACTCGCAAAGTTTGTAACAAATTTATATAGCAGAGTTTGTAATAAATTTATATAGCTATACTGTATTCAACCAAATCGAAGTAAAAAAGCATCCCGCTATGTATAATGGCCCTATATACTCTGCAGATCTGTCGGAACATAAATATAAGATTATAGTTATTTACACTATGTTGTAAACGAACAAGCCTATGCCATATACTACTAGTTGAGTTCAACACGATTCACTATCATCAAAGACTGAATTTTGCGAAGTAATTTGTTATAAGCCTAAGTTATTTCACGGGGTCGTGCGTGTCTTTTTACTGAATTTGACGTACCCCGACGGCGAAGAAAAAAATGGGCACATAATTACTTGAGTCACTTTGACCAATATATATCTCTGTAGTCATGCCATGCTGACTGATTTACTGACTGTCTAGAATATACGATAAAATTTTAATGTCTGGGCAAGAATATAATCTATTGCCACCGTATAGAAAGAGACATCTTGGATCTATGCTGTTTGTATTGCAAGATAGTTTCTAAATTACGCACTTGCGATGTTAGGGAAAACTAGATTTTAATTTTTAGCCCATCGATATTAGCACATTTTTCAGAACCATTTTAGAACGATATACATGCGTATCTTCCAGAACTTCTATACTTCATAAAATCTCTGCCTTAAAATCACCAATAGTCATAATATTTAATTTTATTTTTAATGCCATATAATGCACATGCTTGCAAGATACGAACATGTTAGTACATATAGTACACTTTGAATCGCCTATATATACGCGTTATTACGCCATTGATGCGCTGTAACGTCAAACAAATATGCTTTTAATCAAACATGACTTAAGATTTTTAAATAACTAATATCTAAAAGCTGTACGCATGGGAAGCCGTTTGGTTTAAAGCGATATAATATGATATATACCTGATAACGTGATCATGAAAACCATATCTCATAACACATCAATTGTTATATAGTCTTTTTGGCCAAACGCAATTATCAAAACTCTGTATAACAGTGAGGGGTAAAATGAATTTGAAATGCAGCTGCAAAATTTCGACTTAAAACGAAATTATACTGAGCTTTCTTTCATATTAAGATATTATGAACTTGAAATAAAATGCGTTTATTGTCGATACGTATTACTGTTATTTTTCACCCCCAGCCTATCAAGATATCCTCTCTACTGCGTGACCAGATTTTTTGTGGTACAATGCTCTTTTTTATTTCAATAATAGCTTGAATTTTCGGCTTATTCAAAATGTAATTGACAAGTTTATGCAATACAAATTGAACCTGCAGAACTTTCGTTTATGTTAACTTACCGGCTTCAGATCAGTTAAATATTTATGTGCATGGATTTTAACAGGCAGATTAAACGGTTTCAATTGCTTTAGCATCGCAGTTTTCCTCCAAAAAAGCCAAATCGCGTTTTTCTTTTGCGTGTATTTCTATTTTCTTTGAGTATAATTGTTGCCGGGATACTTGCTAATGACGCTTTGAGCTTCGCTTATATATATATAGACGTGTTGCAATTATGTAGCGATGTTTAATTAGAACGGCGGGAGTTATGTAATTAGAGAATTTCACATGCTTTATGCATATATAAATGCACGTATAATATATCCCGTTCTAAAATTTACAATATCTGTGTTTTTCCATCGATAAATAAAGCAACAAACGGTCGGCCTATATTGGTCTTAAGACGTAGCTATTGTCTTGAGAAAGTAGCTAATGGATGTGCGTAGTTTGTGATTTAGTCACTACCTTGAATTATTTCTACACGAATTATTTTCTAGAGAAAGGCCGGATTAACCGTATATGTGTAATTTGTTTTCTTTTCAAATCATAATTCATTTTAAAAAACTGCATTCGTTTTAACCATATTCAGCACATATATTAGCGCCGTCACCCGCTAGGTCATTCGCTATGTATTGGGCATTCTATACACTTCTGTCTACACAGCTGAGCATTAAAAATGCAAAACTATTTTTGCATTCACGAGAAGCGATATTGAACATTTCAAGTTATTACCTGCAATAAAAACCCTGCGTGTATTTTTTCTCGTCTTTCACAGTGCAACTCGATTCTGATTGCCATGACGCGAAAACGTAGAGTTTGACACTGATTGCATGTAAGTATTTTACAATACAAAACTTTCCAAAGAAATTTAATGGAAATCGAATTCAATCCTGACAAAGTTTACATTTACAGAAGCTGGAAGTCAACATGCATCACGGAAACCTATTTTTAAACAGCTATATACATGTAGCTATAATTATACTGATGCAAAACTACGTGAGCTCATGTATTTGCCTGCATGAGTGCATGTGGCTATGAATACAGATAAATTTGTATTCCTTTGTCCTTCCAATGTCCTGTATATAACCCCTGCATGTGTTTATTGTCTTTTACTGTTGCTTTCACATTTTCAGCGGCATGGACGCTTTAAATTATTCATTGCCCGCTGAGTTCAAAATTTACTATCGCAAGCAAGTCCGCCGGGTCAGAATTTGCATGGTCAGTCTAGCTTCACTATACATTTGTCTCGACAAAAGATGCATATGTGACGCTAAAAAATTGGCTGAAATTCTTTTTAATTGTGCAAATCAATGAGACGATTTGCAGCTTTTCTTTCGTAAATCAATGGTAAATAATGAATGATAAATTCATTCTTAAAGCCGGATTGATATTTTACAGATGTCTTAGCTGTTAGCCTTTAATGTCTGTGAAATTAAAAGGGGTTTAAAAAGGGGGTTGTTCTTCACTCGGCGGTTCTGTGTTTTCGGACAAAGAGCCCGATAAGTGAAGCTATATAACATTTGTTCTCATGAGCAGCAATTACAAAAAAAATTGCGCTTGAAAGATCTTAAATACCGTGCAAATATCGCCACCGACTTACTGTCACCGAGTTATATATAATTATCAAGTAGCTATACTCATACTTTGTCACATTTTCCAAATCCATCAGAATCACGCCTTGAATTAAGTCTGTCAAGAAATCTATCATTTTCTGCCATTTAATTATTATGTGGCCACTTTTCTGCATGTAATAGGATGACATAGCTACAGCTATAGTATAATAACAAAGCCAACTTTGTGGCATGTAATTATATAACTTTCTTTCATATTCATGTAGCTATACTTATAAATTATAGACAACTTAGACTACAGGAGTGCGAGTTTCCACAAAGCAATTTTCATTTAAACAACAATAACATCCACATTGATTCAATGTTATCGGTTAGGCGAAAGGCGTTCACCTGCCCGGCGATATTCTCAGATGCTTAAACATTCACCGAAAAGTTTCTCGATTTTCCGGTATAAAAAAGCATAAACTATATCCTGAATATCATCCCCACATGCAGAGATTAAAGGGAATAAACCCTCGCATATATATTTATATACTAATCGGAGATTACGTAACTCTGAAAATTTAGTATATGCGATAATATCCTTTTTTCAATCCGAAGACAGAATCACTTACCCACACAAGACCGTTCAAATTCTCTTTTTGAAGTATTCTTTCAACAGTTTAGATTCAGTTAAATTTGGTTTGAATAATATATTTTGTAATGTTAAATATATGAGTTGCTCCACAAACATTGACTAATTGTTTTAGAAGATGGGATTGCTTGAATTTCGTAAAATAATCAGCTGTCCTGATAAAGGACGCTCATTTACATAGTTCGAGAGAAGTGTAATGCTCGACTATATAATTGCAACGCACGCCGGTTGGCCGAAATTATCATCAGTCGGATAGATTAAATTGTTAAACGAAATACAAAACACTTGCAATTATAACACACGTCTGATAAGGAAAATTGAATCAATTTAAATAAACATGGCTCAAGGGGTCAAATCGGCCTTATTCTATATGAACTACACTTGGCTTACCTATAGCTTGCAATCCCATATAGCTTCTGCATGCTAATGCATATAAGTGATAAAACCATTTGTTATATGGACAGTAGTGTTATATTGAAGACTAATAAAAGCACTCGTAGAACTCATGTCTTAATCACTTCCGGGGAACGGTGCGAATATTTTCCGTATGTCACGTTTCTAGGAGTAAAATAACGAATTTCAAACTTTTCCCGCCATTTTCATTGTTGTTAATTGTTGTGAAAATACAAATGGTCTTTGGTTCGTATATGTAAAACAAAATTAGCGTTGGAAGTACAAACGAAAACACTTAAAAGGTATCTTTAATAAGTAAAATTTATTCTAATTTTACGTTTTTTTACGCTATAATATTCCCTTTTATATTGGTCGTTCACGGCTTATTTATTTACTTGTCGTCTTCACGTGTATTTTTGTCACTCTGAATTCAGTCCATATAACAAACACGGCGGTTTGAATATAAGAATTTTATCTTCTCGTAGTGAAAACAAAATTTTACTCGCTGCACTCTTTCGTAAAATATTACATTACTTTCACTCGAAGACATAGATATAAAATTTATATTTTCATGTTGGAATATATATAACCCCTCTTTCTATATAGCTACACACATTGCGGAGTATATTCAAAATAGAAAGAAAAGTTAACGAAAACCCGCCTTAATTCAGCATGATGCGCGCAACAGCATGACAATGCGATTATAAAAATTTGGTAATTTCATTATCTATAGTCGAGGATAAGATAAGAAGTTGTTGTGACAAAAACGAATTATGAAATATCAAAGTCTAAATTATCCCAATCTCACATGATGTACTTCAACCCACATTATCCTAGAACCACCTGCGCGAAATCGGAGATAGATAAATAACGGTAGCAAAAAAAGTCTCACAAGTCGAATTCGGTTGTGGAAACGTCAGCAAGTATTTTAGACCAAAATCTTTTTTGCTTGGGTATGATATTACAAAAATATATCTATCTTAGGCCCCCATGATAGTCATATTCTGAAAAATTTTTAGTTAGTTATCAGTCAGAGTATCCTTTCCAACATATCAATAGCTGTGGCAAAGAATGTCATTTATTGTGCGTACATTCAATTATACAGCTTGATACGTTAAAACAAAACGCTTTAAACAACTAGAAAGTGTGTTGGATACACTTGTATCCGACTTACATGGAAACGGAGCCTTTTATTCAACAGAAATGTATCACTGCTAGAAAAATATTATCTATTAATGCCTGAAAATTGTTTCTGCATCATTCATCACGAGATAAATAATACGAACCGTTATATATCTGTACCTTGAACTGATGAAATAGTTCCTATAAAGGGACGATGATGATACAAGTGAATCTTTAATACTGTCCAACCTTTGGGAAATGCTGAACGATGTGAAATAGCGTCTTTTCCAAACCGCCACAATTATTGCTCATTTATTTTTGTCTCAAAGTAAAACACAAAACCGCCCACAGCACGTTTGCATGCTTTAAGCTTCAATTCTTTAATCAAGTCATCAGCATAACGCTCCAAAATAGGCTTGCACGACTGGCAAAACAATTTTTAATTTTAGTTAATAATTTATTACTTTGGTTTTAATAAAACCTTGTTTGAATTTCTCATCAGTTTGAAGCAAATATATCTCCTTTATTATTCCATCGCAGCAAGACATAACTCTTGTAGTAGAATTTAGCTCAAATTTATTAGCAAAAAAATTGGAAATTTATTTCATCAATATATAATGCTTACTATTCATTATGTTACTGGCAAGGGAGATTTTTTTTAACTCAGGCGGGAATTTTTCCAACAGTGATGATGTTCAAACTAGGAATTAAACTCATTGATTCAAGTATACTCAGTAATATTTTTCATCTTCCATACAGTAATTTATTTCTTTTTTTCTCTTGCGGTAAATCCAGGCTTATACGATATATTCACAGTGATTAAACTCGATTTTGATTTAAAAGAAAAATTGGCTTTGAGGTAATATTAAGTAAACATGCATGAATTGTTGTGGTACTTGGTACTTGTCGGTAGATGCGGTCGAATCATTCTCGATCTCCACTAATGATCAATTTCTGACCAATCTTCAATCTTGTGTATACATAAATGTTTCACCGAGCATCTTGACCCATACCAGTGTCACAGACCAATGTATAATGAATTTAATTTTGTGGGGGGCGGTTATATAAGAACGTAGTTAAATTTTAACTATATAGTTAGTGACAGAATTACGCAATCAAATCCGCACATATTTTTTAGTTAATTAGCTGCGTTTTAACTATGCAATAATCAATAATTTAACCTTCCCTAGAAATGGCATCCATAAAAATGTAGTAAAGGTCAAAACGATTGGCGTACGCGCCTGACTGACAACAAAGTACAATTGTTGTATATACTATATTGACAAACGAAATTATACGAGTAATTTGATATCACAAAGTACTACAACTTGAACACCAATCTCGGCTAGAAGATCTCGATATGCATGAGGATGTTTAGATCGCCCATTGCGACGGATTTACGTCGTCTGAAACTGTTTATAGTTTGGAATTGTTGCCTTATTTCTAAAACAAAGTTTTCCTTCATCAATTTTTAGTTCTATATCCGTAGTTTTATTGCTTTTCTGATTCCAGCATGTTTTCACAACGGTTGAGAAAATCTATATCCGTTGAATAGCGTCTGAAACCAGCTTTCGCACAACCGCTGCCAAATTTGTTTGACGGAGCCGAGAGATGGGTTTCTCAGAACGGACGCGTGAATTGCGCACGCAGGGAAAAGCAGGAGACACGCACGCTGACTACAATGATCGCATGCATGAGCGCGAATCAATTGTAACGGATCAAAACAACTTGATCTTTGCGCATGTTACAATATAGACAAGTTGTAAGAATTCATTAAATACACCAGATGCATGTGCAAACGCGATAAAAATCAGTCTAAATGTATGCAAATACAGTTGAATAATAAAAATTCGACTGCAGTTTCGCGAAAAGCAATCTTTCGAGTGCATCTTGTGATATGCATCTTCTTTATTGTCCCCGTTTTCTTAAAGTAATTTCCCGCTTGTTTTTTAAAAGTAATTTCGCAAACGAAATGGGCAGTAATGGAGGACCAAGTTGGGAAAAGGTTTGTTTCAAAGCGCGCCTTCTTGTGTCATTAGGAAGATTTAAGACTGGTTTCCATTTAATCGTTACGATCACTTCAGTCATTACGATCGCTACTGAAAAAAATTCGTAACGATCGCGATCGCTGAGATAGAACTTTTTCTATAGAACTTTTTCTAGATCGTCGTGGTCGCTGGGATCGCCAGATAATTGATTTCCATTTGATCGGTACGGTCGCAAGTAAATTTAGCGATCGTAATGACTGAAGCGATCGTAACGATTAAATGGAACCAGCCTTTAGCATGACCACGTGATAGCCTCCTCGAATAAGTGGCGTGGCATGTCCATATATGGGCGCACACGTCATTTACACGTCATTTACGTTACATCCACTTTCACGTTTACGTCCTCGTGCTAAATCTGCCCGTTGTCGTTTGGTGGGCGAAGTTGCTTTGTCGTGATGAGATTCGATTTTAATGAAAACAAGGCTTAGGTAATTCGTCAGAAAATAGGCATCGTATAAATAAGTCATTACCCGTAGCCCCGGTTAAAGTGACTCGACGCGTTGGTCGTGATTAAACTGGTCAAATGTCTAAATAGATTTTCAATGGCATAATTCGTGTCCCGTCAGACCCAGGTGGCTAAAATGACTTGTATTGACAACCGTTGCCATGACACAGCTTGCGGTTGCACACGCCATCAGCGGGAGCCAATAGCAAGGCGACGTTCAATTAAGATCAGTTGTAATAAGCACTCGTGGTTAACGCGGAACTATAAAGAAAAGCCCGATTAGGGAATGTTGATTATGCGAGGAAAATACATTCATTAAACGCGAGGTTTTTTCAAGTCTGCTCTGTGATCTTAAATCATTGCGAAGCCGTTGACCGAAGGAGACACTTCAAGAAAGCTCATTTCTATATTGTTTGCAAGTCCGTGATTCCATAAACTCCACTCATTATATACTCGAACTATTTTTGTTTCGGAGTGGACATATTTGGCAAAAAATTGTAAAAATTGCGACGTATCCGTGGCTATTATAAAAGGCAACAGACTAATACATAATTCTAACTCCCTGTTGGTTCCACAACAAAACAGCGCAGGGTCGTCAAGAAAGAAAGAAAACAAAAAAGCAGTATTGTTTCTGTCCACCAAATGTTTCGGATAAACTGACGCCAAAGCTTTTGAGCCAGTGGAAAAGTCTCCCAAACCTATTGGGCAGCCAAGATTACGCCACACTTGATCTGCAGCAGAAGCGTGGCGTATTCAAAACACGAAACGACACATTGGTTCCGTGCAACGAGCGTTCCAAATCTATGGATTTTGCTTTCCATAACTGCGACGTTCCATCGGCGCTCTTTGACGAGGAAAATGCGCTGGACTTTCATTCGGCATATGATCTGTATCTGAGCAAAGATTTTACAGATTTAATGAACGCGTCGCTGTCTGAGCGCTCCGACATCGACTCGTCGGAGGCTAGAAATGAGCTAGATGATTCCTTTGACTGTTCGTATTGGAGTGAGTTGCAGACAAGCGACCTGACTCAGACGAATCTGAGCAAGTCACTCGCAAATCAAATGTATTCGTACGAAAATCTAGATCGAGTGGGGAAGAATTTATACAAGATTAATAAATGGTTTCAGAGATGCAGCATCGATAATAATGACGAAGAGGAGCAAAGGGATTGATTTTTGATGTAGTCTGACTCTGTTCGTTCCATCAACCGTCAATTGAAGGGCTTCCAAATTAAGCTTTCGCAAATGACCGACAAACAAATAGATTTTAACTTGGAACAGTTATGCATTTCGCTAAAATTGAAATGTCTTAACTATTATTGTCCTCTGAATAGCAGGGGGTCAAATGTACGCATTAATCTATACACAATAGTCGAATCGCTACAGTGGTTTGCTGTGTCAAAACTGCTGTAAAAGTGTAACTGCTCAAAATATGCAATTCTACAGTTCCTTTCTCATAATTTAGTTCGCTGTCGCTATCATGCGCTACACCTAATGTAATATTGTTTGTTTATTTATTGTTGCTTTTCTCACAAGAAAAAGCTGGTCTCTGTGTCATGGGTAGCAAAAATTGAGCTGTTTAATTTATTGTGTCAGGTCACATTAAACTGTACATTGTACAGAAGAATTGTAGCACTATGTTGTATTTTCTGACGGCGTATTGTGCTTTCAAACAATTTTTGTTTTGCAATGAATTTGCAGGACGGTAAACGATTTATGTATAAATCGTTGCATGCAATGGTCCGGCAACCAGAAACGTATAATTTCCACAAGATCAAGATTTTGCCAGAAAGATATATTCAGTTAAACTGAATTACGCTTCTCGGCATCTTGTCGATTCTATACAATTACAAAAGAATAGACTAGAATACGGATGAAAATATATACGGCTGAAGATGGCTCCTGCGTATAATATTATAACTGAGTTAATGCCATATGGCCGATTCATTTCGAACTTGAAATCGGTGGAGTTGAGTTGTTATGTTTGTGAAGGAAGTGCGCTGGGAATTAAAAGCACTTTAAGCCGGATTTCTCGACGAAAAATTAATCTAATCAGCAAAACGTTGCCAACCACTTTTTAATTTTTCATGAAATTTCAGCATCTGTGGTACTTAAAATATTTGCAAAGGATTAATATTCATGTGTCATGACTATCTTTGTTCTCATGACTTGGATGACTTGAGCATTATATATTGTTTTTTGAACTTCCAAGAATGTTTGATATTGAGTTGACCACTACAGAGCGACACTTTGGGATAAAACGTGTCGAAGGTTGAAGCTCTTAACGTCATCGTATGCAAAATTTCGTTGAATAATGTCAACAATATATTAAGACGTGAATATTAAAACGATAATGATTTCCTTACTTTTCGTTTATTGCTTCGCGATGTGTCGCAATTAATCAATCAGAACTCGTTACAACTCGTTGCTACAGAACTTAATCGAAAGAAAATGAAATAATATTATGTTGCAAGCTCATGCAGTTCATCGTAACTGATAGGACGAGATACGAGTTATGTCTCAAGTATTCCAAGAGAAAAAAATGTTTGAAATGTTTTTATCGTGAATATAAAAGAAGTTGGGTATTTTTTTATGATACTTTGCTTTTTTATTAAAACTTTTCAGCGACCAAACAGCCCCGTTTCTATGTGCGGTAAAAATTTTAAGTATTCACTGAGTTACTTGATCAAACAAAGTTGATAGTTTTCAAACTAGCTTTGCTTTCGTTAACTTTTCGGTAACGACTTTTGGTCTTCCGATTTTTCAGTAATCATTGTGGAGTAATTGTTCATTTCGTTTATTGAGAGAGTTTTCCTGATGGGTCACGGAATCCGGCATAGCTGCGAATTAAGAGTCTATCTCACAGACACAGTGATTCATCAAAAGGACATAAAGCAATTCATGAGTATAACAGCATGAAAACGGTTCATAAGTTTAATATGCTGTTGTTATTATCATTGTTGCGAAGAAGAACAAGTGAAAAAACAAGCGGGCATAAATTGATATCAAACTGCCATCATGTAGCAAACATGGCACAGCTGCTTCATACTCCATTTTCAAACGTTAATCCTACTGTTATATCACTGCGTTTTTTGGATGGCAATTTCACCACTGACACCACTGAAATTAATTCTTTTGAACCGTGGGAATTTGGCCAAGGTCAAAGAATTCGCCATGATAAAAAAAGATGGCGGCGGTCGATCTTAGAAGAATTTCTGTGAATTAAATCAGTTAGGAAAACAATTTTAAAATGTTTGTCATGATTGAGTTTGTCACATTCAATTGGCATGGACTGGTTTTAAATTAACCGAGGTTTCGAAAGCATATTTTGTCAAGGATAACCGAATATTTAAACCCGCAAAGATTTAATCATTTGTATTCAACATGCCGCCATTTTTTTATTTTGTTTGAATTGAAATGATAATTTATTTTTTATATTCCCTATAGCGTTTAACCCCAAGGTTAATTGATCAGCAAACTCGGCTCGGGAAGCATATCTAGTTGGCATTTCTCAATTTTCTTTAGTTTTGTCCGAGTTTTTTGTCTCGAAACCGATAGCTTGTTGTTGCTTCAGTCCTCGTTGTTTTTAAGGCGGCTTCTGCTCGTCAACAAAAACTATCGCAAATCATCAACTGATTTTTATTAATCCTTTGAATTGCCAGCTTTCTTGGTACACGTTTATTTATTGAAATAACTGCATTTAGATACAACAACTATAAAAAGCCTGTCAATAATAAATAAGTCTGTCTATATATAATAATTACATTTTATTATTTTTCGCGGTAGGAGTTTGAAGGCTTGTGTGTGCTGTCTATTGTTTTCATAAAAGGTGTTTTAAAACAATCATTGATTGAATATTGGGACTGTGTTTTAATCGTTAGGATTTGGTAGGGCGTTAATATATAATCCTTTCATGCAAGTCAAAATATTTTTCGCAATGAAACATACATTAGCAATGCTAATATTTACAAACAAGGCTATAAAGATTGAGATACATCCGGCTATTCATCTAAGCTAAGTGAGAATTGCAATTTTTGGTCATGGTAAAAGGAAATCTAAGGTAAATAAAGGAACATACGTAATTTTTTGACTGCCGAATACCTAGTCAAATTTCATCCCTACAAATTTTGTCCGTTTACACTGAGTTGAATTTTGGGAGTTTGGTACGGATAAAATTGAGATTGATAAAATTTGGACTATCTAAATTAAATATAGATAGTCAAAATTTCATACGGTATACTAATTTCTTCCTTACCAAACTTAAAATCGTGCGTAGTCTCCTAAGTGTCCCAAGGCTAAGTCAATTAGCGCATTAAACAATTAAACTATCTTGCAATAACAACTAAGCGTCCGTACTGTAAGAATTGACAAGATTGTTTAAATATATACCTGCGTTTTACCTGGGATAAAACAATTGTAAATTTTCATCGCAATTGTAAAGCTACGGGTCGGGGATGGAAACGTCTGTACATACGAAAGTACGCAACCATTTCTGTAGTTTATATTTAATGAATGTTTGGTAAGGAAATTCAATATTTAGCCATAACAGCTTGGTGATTTTTTACAGTCTAGTTTAGCTACAATTTCCTCAGGAAATTGCGATAGACGGAGCGGGAGTTTTGCTTGCGGCAGTAATACTATAGTGCATGATTTCTACCTCATATAGATATAAAAAATATTCGAAAAAATAGCGGCGTGCAAAATGCTAATCAATGCTGGTCACGCCTGCAGGGAATTCTGGGTTTAGTAGTCACGGCAAAATTTCCCGCTGTTATTACTAAGAACAGAATTCCCTGCAGGTGTCACGGCTTGTTACATCATTATGCATAAGGTATATCGTGGATAATAAAATAAAGTCTTAACTATCCATGGGTCCCATGGGTCTTTTGACCCAAACGCCCAAATATTATCTCAGCAGACTACAGTATAGTAGGCAAACATGAAGTATTTCAAGTTTTAAATTTCCCGCGACTCGCGTGATTCCCCGCCTTTACTCACGTGTTTCCTCCGCAAAAAGTCAAAAACAGAACGAACCACGAACGTGCAATTTGCATGTCGAAGTATTTGGCTGCATTGCTGGAAATTTTCTCGATCTCTTCACCCGACTTTCGCTACGAATTTTGGATCGCTGACTGCAGTCAACAAGACCACAATGTGAAGGTTTTATTCGTACAAAATTCGCATTATTTTGTCGCAATTGTGTCACAGTATTCCCAACGTTTGCTACAAATGTTGCAGTATTAAACTTCGGGGATATAAGGTATAAAATTCACAATAATATATTGACAGGTTTACGTAATTGTGATATCAGCTTGCTCTGCCTATGTGGGAGAGCGTTCAACTCTATAATATGTTGTGAAAATTCTCTGATTTCTCTATTACGTGTATCTTGATGTCAGAGTGGGGAAAGCAATGGTTTACAAAACAAACGATCATTACTGTATATATTTGCTTAGAGCTCACTGATTATTAAATAGGGAGTGCTCTTCCACTGGATTTGAACTCTGATCTGCCATTAGTACGTTTCAATCGAAGGTTGTGTTCATAAGTCGATTTGTAAATCCCAGATATTTATGTCTTAATTTCAAGCTAGTATATTCGTTTTCTGTTGTACAAACTAAATATTTAAGTTGTACGTTTCCCTCGACCTGGTCGGGTTCGCTAGCAACAGCCTTGGTTTGCCTCGTGTAATGCTTGCCCAATTGCTTATCGATTTTCAGCCGTTTAATATTATCGTTTTCTTTCAGATCATCTGATCATCATTTGAAAATCATTTAAACATGGAGCTCTCAGGACTGAATAAAGCTCTACACTCATTGCACTGCAAGAAAATCTCTGTGGAGAATCAAGCCATTACTCAGCAGGAAATAGTCTTGAATGTCAATATTATTCTTGCCAAGATGCAAGAATGCGACCAGGAAAAAGCCATAGTGTTTAAACCGGTGACAGATATATTTTTACAAGGAGTAACCTCACAACATTATGAAGTTTCGGCCGTTCTTAAAAGTTTGGAGAGGATGGTCGAAGTGGTTGATTCAGTTGAAGAGGGTATGTTTATTCACTTTTTTGTTAATCCATCAAAGGGAACCCAGTATGATGCACAAATTGCTCAACTGATTCTTAGCCATTTGATTTCACATCTGCTTACAAATAAAATTGTCTAAGTTAAAAACCAAAATTATTGCATTCACAAGTTCAGAAATAATAATAAGCAATTGATAATTCTGTTTAATAATCCATTAGCTTGAGATTCTGATAGGTGGAGTGAAAATGTACTTAAGTTGACCCATCTAGTTCTGTTCTGTTCTGTTAAACTGTCCTGTCCTTAATCTATCCAGTGTGGTATTCAGTGCCCAGTGGATGGACACTATTAAATGAAAAAAATATTATGCCTCTGCAATCCAATGTCACAGTAGAGCTTGCGATATTGAATGAGTATCACATGAATGCGTATGAGTCTGTAAGAGTTGCTAAGTTAATGAGTATGGTGCAAGTCTGTAAGAGTTGCTAAGTTTTATTCTTGTTGAGTGAAGGGTATTAAAGATTAAGATCTCCAAGTTTTTTTATGATATTAAAGAGAAAAAAATAGATTGTATGGATGCTCTCTTGAAAGTGTTTAGTAATTTGTTTTTCATCCTTCCTAACAAGGATTTTCCCATCTGGAGTTAGCCAATCAAAGCTTACCATATGACTGGGCTGTCCCATGGTACAACTGCTTGAACAATGAAGGCTTCCTTGAACAACCTGCGATACATCGGTGGATAAAAAAACTGGGGTATGAAGCGATAACCGAGCTCCATTCTCACCATATCCTGGACTGTGTTCGTGTCTGCGAAGAGGACTTGAAGAGCAGCAAATTTCGATTTCAAATGAAATCCAAATTAAATGGAATTATTGTTGTGTATATTATACCAGCTGTTGAGATAGAAATCCGGCCTCGCTGCCTTAGAACTGATGTTCCCTTTAATGTGCAGAATATCCTACTGACTGCAAATGGGTCGTGGGGACCTGGGTCTGAGGACCCTCGTCAAACCCTTTGGCAAGTGTCATTGTTGATGATCGAGAATGAGGCGTTTGTTCATATGGACGCCGCTGGTGGGACTCGTTTGCTTGTTCGAAGGCTCCTTCATCTACTGTGCGAGAAATACATACACTATCCAGTCACCCATAAACTTGTAGATGTTTTACTTCTGTGGAACTTGCGTGCGCATGCGTCCGAAGGGGACTGGGTGCTGGACAAGTTGGCAGCACGGGTTCTGGAGATTTTAGAGAACCTGAGGCGAGCATTGCGTAATCATCGTATCCGTAATTACTTTATGCCAGAATGTAATATGCTGGCTCAACACAATGGACTAAAGTTGGATAAAACGGCAGAACGGGTGCAGTGTTTGATGCAAAAGTTGAAAGATAATCCTTATGGGTTACAGCTCTTTGCTTAGTGATAATCATAATGGTTTTTGTGTATATGAATGATTTATTGTGTTATTAGCAAGTGATGCCTGTCAAAAAATTGTTAGAATCCACAGTTATACTATAACTGAATCTCTATTTTTTCAAATTTGAACTTTACATTAAGTTCAACACAACAAGCCAGTAGATTATCCTAGAATAAGCAAAACTGCAAAGTTTGATTGGGAGCCCTGAAAATTCTCAAATTTGTAATATATTTTAATTTTATTTACACCTGAAAAAGGTCATTTTCAGATGGTTTCCCGCCTTTCTAATTTAAGTATTCCTAATTCCATAGCTGGAGTAATCACTCATTGTAGTGTAAGATCAATCAGTAGCATGAGAAACTCTTAAACTTGGTTTCCAAGTATTCGTTTTGTAGTTTGGTAGTTAAGTGGAAAAGTTCATGTCAAAAATGGCTATTTTTGTTGAATTGAGACGTTGAGCAATGTTAAATAAATTAAGCTATTATTGCTTGTTTGCATGTTGCACATTGCATGTTTGTGATTGTAAAAGGTGTATGACTGGATAATTATGTACATCACTAAATATCTGAGATATAAAATAGATCATTTGATCAATATGCATATTTCTGTGTCTCCTCATACTGAAAGCGCATAGTGAAAGAGTCAGAGATTACAGCTGTACATCTTACCGACTGCGAAACTAATAAGAGGAAATACACTAAAATAACATGAAGTCTTAGAATAAAGAAATAACATCTTTTCATATGCCTGTTAACCACAGTTCGTTTATTTAAAAGTTTTCGAACAGCAATACATTCAGGTGCAGGACCGCCCACTAAGAGGGATCCGCCCACTAAGAGGGATCCGCCCACTAAGGGAGACTTAAAGGTCAGGAAATGTAATTTATGGTATTTAATATTGTAAAAAATCTCACCCTCCAAATTAAACGAAGGAAATGCATCTGCTGTAGTCTAAATTGGTTTTTTTAGTCGTACTACATATGTTACGAAATGACTCGCGCTCCGCATAATTCGACAAGTTATTTGTCTTTGACTAAGATTTGAAGCGTGGTTATATAACCAGGTCAGTGGTCATATCTCAACTTCTGTGGTCACATGACTATCCCGGAAATCCAATTGGCTGGTCTCTCTTATCCATTGACCAATCAGGGCTTTTCTTTCCTTCTCACTCGGTTCGATTCCCAGTTGATCCAGTTTATCGAAGTTTTCCGACAAGACTCGACAACGTCGCGAAGTCTCATTCCAGGAACTTAGATTAACGGGCGTCGCCGATGCTCGTAGCGGATCTAACTTCACGAAAAACCGCTTCGGGAGTTCATGTGTGCTCAAATTAGGAAGACTTCGACATCTGTGATGATGTGGTCTCTCTCTTGGTGTGAAAGCACTGTTTCGCCTGGCTTCATGAACTCTTCTTAGTGGTAAGAGATTCTCATCGCTTTTCTGATCGCCTGCAACACCCGTAGTTTTCAAGGAGCAAACCTCGTTTAGCTCTGTCAGCATTCTGGCACAATTGAAGGCATGCGAAGCCCCTTGCGGGTTGATGTTGCCCGATTTGCCCTCATTCGAAACTTCGGGTTTCGCTTTTGTTACTTTAAGTCTGGGAAGTTTCTCCTCCCTGCGGCTTTTTACCCCGGAGTTTCGTCCCCTTCCGGAATTTAGGACCTTTTCGATGTCGTCTAAGGTCATTTTTGCCTCATATCGACTTTCGGTTTCTACCTTCTCTGGTGGCGGCTGAGGTTCCTCGCTTTTCTCTGCCACTTCTGTGATTTTTACTCCGGGGAAAGTTTTTGGCATTTTTAACAATTTCCTCTCCGCTGCTTCGAAACTTTTTGAGTGCTGATTTCGCATGGAATTTTTTGAAAATGCGTTGCTTTTCTTGTCAAAACTACGAGCTTGCAGTTCATGACTATTCCTGGAGTCGGTGTTGGTAAAACCATTCCAAGACTGGGTCAATCTGTCCGTCGACAAATCTTCATCAAACCCCAACTTTTCCGTGTAGCTGAAGCCAGCTTCCTTTTCCTCGAAGTTCATTCCTCGAAACTCAAGTGTTCGGCTCTTTAAAGATGTGGCACTGTCTGTAAGTACTTTCTGGTAACTGTCTGTAAGCGGAGCAAAAATACGCAGTTGTTATTGAAAGACAGTTTCTACTTGCATGGAAAGTAATATAAAAAACTACAAGTACGGGTACCACTTAATTTTGGAAGAAATTTCACTATGTTCGATCAATGATTAATGTGAAACGGAGGAAATGCGTTGCGCCGTTGCCTTTCTTGGGTCTTGGAAATTTGAGACTCGTTTTCAAGATATGAGGCCCTTTCTAAATAAGGATGATTGAGAGTTGATGCGAAGGAGCTCCTTATTAGTAAAAACTGCTGAAATGGGCGAAAGCCTAGAAGCAAACAAGTGTTGAATCATGCAAAATATTGACTGTCGAACGTGACTCAGTGGAGTTCTTGCAACTTTTGACCAGGGTTTCGATAAGCGTTCCGGTTTGTCTGACGATATTTTTTTGTGCAATATTTTCAGCATAATTAAAATGAAAATAGAAGCGAAATTAGGAACGTATATATTTGAGTCACAATATTTCATGTTTAAGACACGTTCATCAATCTCGTTGAAATTTTTATGCAATAAACTCGAAATTCAGTTTCTAATAAGAAAGTTTCAATTCTATAAAGAGAGTGAAAATGCTGCAGTTAAACTGTTACAACTGAAACTGAAATTTACAAAATGATTCGATCCGCAAAGCACATCCATATAGGCATAGAGTTTGTTTTCTTCATATATCTTTCAGACTAGACAGTCGCCAAAGTTAATACTATTTGTTTAATTGTTTTGATAATAAGAATAATATTACATTCAGTAAAATCTATGTTGTGTTAAAATTATAAAGTCTAAAACATAAAACAAACTATACCTACCGAATTTAGGTTCAGGCAAGACTTTGTGACAAGTTGATAAACATCTAGAAATGTTTTTATCTACGCTGTTTCCATATTAACTGTACTAATAAAAAATTCATGATACAACTGAATTGTTTTTACGTGTATATAATTATTACACCAGCAGGTTTTGAGCACGAAAATAGACAAATATAATACTTTCAAACTATTGTGTATTTGTTTACTTAAGACTGCAAGAGCCTTTTCTAGTATTGAGCGGGGGAAAAAGGAATTTTGTCATTGTTTTGTACTTAAAAAGCCGTAGAATTTGATTACTTTTTCACGTTTCATGCGTGCGACCTGTCGGATGAAATAGCTAGATTATTCTAGCGAAAATCGCTCGGCTACCTAATTTACATCAATTATATTCGTATTTAAATATAACAACCCTGACAAAATTGATTTTAACGTCGATAATTGATTCTGTTTTATTGCGACAGCGTGTATGTATACTCATTTTAAAAGTATGAATTGAGTAGGTTTTTAGGTCATGACATAAGCTACACGATGTTCGGTACACAATTATACGCAAAGAGAAATTATAATATAGACCTTTTAATTTTATTATATTTTACAAAAGTCAACTAAATACATAGCGAACCCCTTGAATGACTCTTGCTTCGCCCGATGCAGAAGACCTTGTAGTTGGTTTTGAAGTAACTCTTCACTTAGTTCCAATTTTAATGATATGAATTTCTTGGATAAAAAGACACCGATATTAATTTAGAGGGGGGCACTGTGTTTGGGCGACCTAGGGGCTCCATTCATGCAGAGGTAATCATATTGACCAGGCATTTGCAATGCTGCCCTTCCAAACTAGTAATGTTACGTATATAGGCTTATGAATGAACGTATATATATATATACCTCTCGCAAAATTGGATGCAGAATTCATAAATAATACACGAATATAACACCCCCCTGTTATAACACCAGTTATACACACCCCTTCCATTATCACATCATTTTAAAGGAACATTATTTGCATGAAAGTTTATGCAATAAAACATAATAAATATTCGTAACTGAATTGTTTTCACCGGCCACCAAGACTGCATCGTCCTGCAAAGCTAAACAACTCTGTGAATACAGCTGTTCTTAGCGGGACACTCTAAGACAAGTATTTTGTATTATTAAAAGCTATACGACTCTTGAATTATTTACTCCAGGACTTTGACAATACAGCAGGAATTCTTAGGCCCATTGTATGGGGTATTGGGATATAAAAATGCAAATATACAGAGAAGAAATACATACAATATGCAATTTGTATATCTTATCTTTGAAGTGAAATCTCTATCTATCGCAATCCAACGCCAGACGATTAAAATTGTTGATGTTATGACGAAGTTCTCGACCTATATATGAAAAAATAAACTGGCAGTCCTTAAGAATTAACAAACATTCTAGATGCTCTTCCAGATACCAGAATAACAATCTAACTCAATTTTATTCCGTGTGTAACGCGCCAGCCCCCAGGAAATTCTATTTGACTTTATTCACTTTAAAGTACGTAAAACTTTATTTAAGGCTCCAATCTCGAATAAACGTTTTATGCTTGTATGCAAATTAACCCATTTCAAATCACATGGTCTAAAATGTTAAGTTTCATTGGCTATTCCATGGTCACAACATCTGAAATGGGTTAATTTGCATGCAAGCTGAAACGGTCTATTTATGCAAGAGCCTGCATGTTATACGAAGCCTAAGTTATACGCTTAGCTTGAACTGAAATAAGCAGAAAATATATCGAAACCAATTCCGAGATAAGTGTTTTAAATGTACTGAAGCAAACGAGCTTTCTAGTATATTGCGAACGAAAGTATTTTTTGTTGAAACGATATGTTGGTCTCTTTTGTGAAACTATAAAATGATAATAATGTTCAGAATTTAGTGTTATTCTGTTTGAAAAACTGACAATTTTACTCGTTAGTTTAAGATTAAGTTATTATATTTATTATATATATTATTATATATATATATATATATATTATATATATATTATTAGCAGTGAGGCAACTGAAGTTCTGTATAATACACGTCATCAAATTATATACATGCATGCACGTTATCAAATTTTATCTTATACAAATGTACAGTTGATAAGGGTTAAAAATATAGTCAGAACTGTGTAAGAGACCACTTGAGAATAGCTATTGAAAACTATAGCTTGGTCGTCTTCCGTCTTTGTTTCGGCATCAACAGTTTTAGTTGAAGTCAATAGTCCTGCATTTGTCTTTTTGATCGGATGGCGAATGTTGTTGGAATGACCTGTCACTAGAAGTTATAACAAATGGAGACTCGTCAACAAATTTGCTGAAAGAAAGATATCCATTCAGTTTCACTACAATTCAAGTCGACTGAGAGCATTTAATCATCATTGGGGATGCTAAATAGCCGATATTCTAATTTTGTAATTCACTCCGAATCTGCAGTACCAAAATGGCGGCAGGTGCTTTCAAAATATCCCGTTTGAACAATTGAAGTTGTGGAACAATTTATACAATCCAGTTTGATTCACAGCATGGCTAATGGTGGTGTACGTTCCGCAATTTAAATGCTTTGCATTTTGAAATGCTATATTTCTTTAAGTAAAACATCGATTTGCTATGTTTCCAAATGAATACAAACTAGAGAAAAACGTTTTTAAGCAATATATTATGTTCTTCATTGAATAGCCTTATGCGCCTATCATAATATACAAAATGTCATTTCACACCCTGGAACATATATTATACTGTTAGCCACTCATTGATTAACCTCTGAGCAAAATTGAGAGATCTGCCGTTTTGTCATCTACATGCGCTTACCTTTTTCACCGAGCTCCAAAGTGGCTTTAATGACAGCGTCGGTATTCCTTCTCAAGAATTCCAAGTCACTCCAGTCGATATGTTTCATACTGTCGCATCTTCTGTGATAGCATTTGGCCATATCTCCTCGGAAATTTGACGTGTCCGTGACCATTACCGCTGGAAACGTAACAGAATTTTCCCAGAAATTGAAGTGATCGCTCCGATAGAAATCTCGCAGATTCTCGGAGTACGGAGACTGGGACGGACGTCCCGAGAGAGGAATAGGCACGAGTTGAATTTTGAAATTCCTGTCTGGAATAGAATTATAGAAACCATATCACGTAATGTATGAGAATCAATAGTGAATTAATAGAAACGATCATTTTACTGAGCCGGCACCTAAACACCCAAGCACCATTAGACGAATTTATAGAATTAGGGCATGTAAAACGTCTGTGATTAACCGTCAATTTTCTTCAAATTAAATTTACTTAAACTAGGTTTAAACTAGGTTTAGTCTTAAACTATTTTACGTTTCATTCCTAAGTTTTATTTCCTGTAGTTTAAATTTGTCTTTATAAGAATCAGGATTGTAAATTTACCTCTTTCGTAGTGTTGTGCCAGCGATTTCATAATAATTTCATCTGTTCTTCTCCTACCAATAACGGCTAGAAAATTTCCTCTGTTTCCATCAAGTGTGACTTCTTTATACGTTTCAGGGGAAATGAAGGAAAACATGGGTGGAAATTCTTGAGAACCTAAAAGAGATCACTTTCATTCAGTCTTTGTCTGATTGAGTAAACGTTAAGGAATAGCAATTTCTTTTGGTAAACTTGATGTTGTTTTCTGTGGCCACAATAGAAGCAGATCATGATTGATTACCTTTGGATGTATTGTGGTTTGCTAACATCTCGAGAATAATCGCTCCTTTCACTGTGCCACCCGTCTGGCTAAGATACTCGGTCAGATTCTGTACGAAATATTGACTTCCAAACGGTATAGGATGCTCAGACTCTGCCGTGTCCTCTTCGAAGTCGAAGGCCACAAAAAGAATCGTGTTTTTAAAACGACAGCCAGATTTTCCTAAGTGGGAAACGGAAAAGAATAACTATATATTCGTTTTTGTTTGACAAGGTCAAGCGACGTGTAACTAGGTGTGGTAACTAAGAAACTAGGTGTGGAAAACGTCGAGGGTTTTGAAATGTTTTGCATTTGTCGTGTGCGATATGCCCTTTATACGGGATGCAACCATCAGTCAACTACTGTGTCCATAGCAAAATCTATTTTGCCATCTATTGGAATTCCATTTCAATTGCTATCAATCTCGAGGATATTTCCTACCTATCTGTTTTGCAGCCTGCAGTAAGGCAGTCACACCCGAACCGTTGTCGTCAACACCTCTTGTTCGGCTGGTTGTGTCGTAATGCGCGCCCACAATCACAATCCTATCGTCTGCGGTTCCTGTGTGTTTCCCTCTCAACATCCCAATAATGTTTTCACCTCGTAAATACTGATAATGAAGAAAGAGTTTATTACAGACAAACAGGATACTCGTTCCAATAGTAATTAGCCTTTGTTAAGGTAGAACCGACAAAATATTGAAGCGATTATATAGTATTTTTAAGAATAGTTCAAAACTAAGTGAAAATCACGTTCTTTCATGAAAACAATACATTTGAAGTGAAAATATATTGGTTTGTAAGATCTCAAAATTTTGAAATTTTGAAATTCGTACTTTGAAAAAATACTTCGAAATGGTTCCAAATTAAAGTGAAATTACTTTCTTTCGTCAAAACAATTTTATAAAATGAACAAATCCACAAGTAGAATTCGCTAGTATTTACTTTGCTACTGAAACAAATCGCATTCCTGATCGCGTTTGAGCGCTAAATACTTTTGACTTTTCGTTCTAAAAATCTCACCGGCTGCGTGTCAATATACTCTGACCAAACATGTAGCCCAGAGTTGGCAAATATTTTTCTGATGTATTTCCTTGCCCTTTCTTTACCACGCGGATTGGTGATGTGATGACGTGGTTTGGAGAATTTTCTCAGCGTGTATCGTAGTGTTTGTATTGAATCGCTATGGATATCCTTCATGACGTCACACGCTGTTGCTGTGGCAACTAAATACAAGAATTCGGAGGTATAGCACTGGATAAATAAGTTAGTTTAGTTTAGGTTTCATCCTGTGGTAACACTGTATCCGAATAAGAGATGATCCTTACTGGACCCTCAGGAAGAACAGTTTAGAACTGATAGAGCTATCCAGTATAAATAAAGTTAGTTTAGTTTAGGTTTTCTCCTGTAGTAACACTGGATCAATAAGAGATGATCCTTACTGGACATCTAGGAAGAACAGTTTAGAACTGATAGAGTTATCCAGTATAAATAAAGTTAGTTTAGTTTAGGTTTCCTCCTGTAGTAACACTGGATCAATAAGAGATGATCTAAATAAGCTGCAGGCACCTTTAGAAAGAACAGTTTAGAACTGATAAAACTATCCAGTATAAATACAGTCAGTTTAGTTTAGGTTTCCTCCTGTAGTAACACTGGATCAATATTCATCTATATACTTCAGTTCAAGACTGAAGTTGGGCTAATATTAAAATCTAACAATGAGAATAGACTTTTAGTAGTTCTTAATGCATTAACTTTTCAGTCAACGTTTGCACATTATTTTCCTTGAATTGCCCGCAGGTTGGCGCCACATTTTACATCCAAGTTATTATATTTCCGTTGAAGATTTACACTTCAGGATTTAGAGGTAAGAAATATTATCAATCAGGCTTTTTTCACTGCACATATGGCCGATAAAGCTCAGTATCCGCTGAAGCCCGCGATAAAACATTCTTACTATAGCGGACTTATGGCAAGCTAGAGTGTACTATCAAGTATACTGGATTAAGGCAGTTTCAAGGTGTTCTGTCTAGCTTTCAGACCTACCGCCACCGTGTCAAGGTTTAAAAAATGCCTGTTTTAAACTGTGAAACTCATGTGCTAAACACTCAAGAGACAATGGCCAATAGGTAATCCAGCTGAGATTCGTCACGATCTTTCTGTATCGTTAATCCGTCCCGAGCAACTTTAGCAGCGTGTTTGTGATAGGTCTTGGTATAATGTTATGAACTTGACCTGTTGTTGAGGTAAATCAAGTTGTAAGTAGGTGTTGCTTCAGGTTTCAGTAATATTCTTGTAAGCTGTGACATTGGACGTGTATTATAACACTTCAATATAAATGAATCATAACAATCTAATTTGTTCTTGCAATTCCACTAGTTATGCTAGAAATGCACACTTGATTTTAACATTCCATTAGATCATCCTGCTGTATCAGAGAATATACAAAACAGTTCCGTTCCTCTGAATTGAGTTGTTGAAATATGCTGTTAACATTTTTCGGTAAAAACGGGATTTTACTCTATATAAGGTAAGCGATATCTATAGTCTTATTTCATTTTAAGAAGTCTTTAAGAACAGTCGAAATAATTATACTTGCATTCCCTTTAATCATTTCAATTGATTTATTTTTAATGATTATAGATATATACTGTTTCTACATAGTTTGCCTTTTAAATTCCCCTCGCTCGAGTTGCGTGGAATTTTGAGAGGTTTTCTACCTCAAATACGACAGAACATTTACCAACATCCAAACGAGCCACCTTTAACCAACTCATCTTTTTTTGTCCTGCAGATAACGTTCGCTGCTTATTTTTGTGCTTAACAAGATAAAAAGTTCGAGGTACGTCAGCTCAGACAAATCTGGACCAATTTGTCATAATTGTCTTTATCGTGAACAGGCTTCCCGATCTAATTTTAAATGTCTGAATGAATGCGTACATCCCTTTTATTAATCACGATTCACATTTAATGCGATAAAACTACTCTCGCATAGTGAGGCCGTTTTGATCCTTAAAAAGATCGGTATAAGTTCACCTCTGTGTTAGCTGTTAGGAGCGGGTAGCACCAGCTTGATCTATAAAATCATACTGCACCGCTAGCTAGCATGAATAGCAACAAATTTGATGCTGACCCCTATACTATACGATAACACTGATTCCTACTGAATCTTCAGGGAAAACAGTTAAAGACCGATTGAGCTATTCAGTATATAAGCAATCTTAGTGTAGCTTGGCTTTCCACCCCTGGTAACACAGAATAACATGATCTCTACTAATTCTTTAGAGTGAGAACAGTTGATAAAAAAACTAATTAAGTAATAAGTATATAAATATTATAGAGTTAGTTTAGTTCAGGTTTCGTTCCTCGTGTATAGTAGAATATTTTAATCTAATGAGACACCGATACGTATACTGCCGGAGGGAATGGGCAACCTTATAGGAACTCATTTAATCCTGAAGAAAAACGGACACTGTAAAACTATCCATGAAGAAACGTAGTTCATGTTTTGTCCTGCATGTAGTAAACACCTTGACCTTAACAGGACCTCCAGCAAAAAAACGTCAGGCGTTTTTAATCCGTGCATGCATGCAGCTATATTTATTCTGGAGAATCCTATGCATATTTGGAAGCGAATCAACAGTCGGTGGAATGCTTTGCAGATCATGATAATGTTGCTCGCACATCCTCGAGTTAAATTAGAAGTCGTAAATACACCGCATTCCATGCTACAGCTAGCCATATAACGAGAATAATATGAAAGCACTTCGTTTCTCTAAATACACTGATCTCTCATTTTAAGAAATAGAAAACATTTTCCGTATTTCTATGAAGCAGTAATAGAGACACGCGTGGGAGTTTGGGAGAACGAGAAATAATCGCAAATTCGATTCAATTACAAATTTTCGTTACATTACTTCGCTTGTCAATTTCAGCGGGAAAAGTCTATACAGTTCAATGATACAATTATAGAAACACCCTTCTCGACCAATCAACACGCGCGTACTATAAGTTATTCCATGACCTTGCGTGCAGCTTTCTGCTCGTGTAAATAACGAATTTGCCGTTTCCTTATTTAGTGTTGTTCTGGTTCTTGCGCTAATATTCATCCAGCGTCATTACGCAAGATTATAAATCGACAAAAATTTGCGGTTGCAAGGTCAGTTTATGGTCTGTTTATATCGTCCCTGTATTTCCTCTTTAACCGCGTTTCTGTCAGATAGTTTTGAAATAGCTTTCTTGAAAACAATTTCTCGTGCGAATTGTATTTAAATCTAGGTAATTAACTCCACTATTAATTGAGTCGAATAATTCCATTTTAATTATTATGCCTTTATCATACAATCGCTTTATTTTTAGGCCACCTGATATATGTTTAAACTAATTATATTCTTATCAAACGCGGTAGAATTATTTCTTCTTGTGATAAAACGTACCTGTAAAAAACCTCACAAGAGGTCCAGGAGGAAACCTTAACTAAACTATGATTTTCGATCTCATTTATAACAGGGAACTATAAGTCTAGAGAGTTCGACGTGTTCTACCCACAAATATACTCCTATATGGTTCCATGCAGTAAAACCAGGAATATGAGATTAAACTATTAAATAAGGCTGACTTTCCTATAGGAAAGTGTAGCGTTCTCATTTGCTCTAGCGTATTGCGGAGTTAACTGTGTTTCCGTACACAAAAAACTCTTACGCCTGTATTCTAAAAGCTCACTCACACTCAAACTCATTGAGTGGGAGATCTTAATCTTCTCATAACGTTTCAATGGCGGTATTTTCAGCCGAACAGGGGCTTGATTTTCCGTGATTTACCTTATATCTTTTCATCTATTCAGAGAGAACTTTCTCATTGATCAGCATTAACGAAATTTATATGTCACACTCGATGAGTATGAGTGTGAGTGAGCTTTTTGAATACAGGAGTTAATAATAGTCGGTTAGGTTCAGTTGTCCATGTGTGACATGAAAAAACGTGTTAATTGAAACTTGGTTATATACAGTGGCGTAATTGCCTGGGGAAATACAAAACAAACTTGACCCTATTAATGCATGGATTTTTATAGCACAATCGTCGTGAACTTTAACTGTGATTGTAGGTTCTTGATTGCATGAGAGGGTTCTTTAGTTACAAGAATGTTACAATGTGTGCAATTTCGTATCGTTTTCCTTCGTCAACTCTAGCGTAAAAAAATTCAAGCACTCCCCACTTGATCAGAAATTATATAAAATATGCCTAAAAAACCCTCACAGATAGAAAAGTAAAGAGAGACACACTTCTCAAAAACATGTGGAAAAAAAGGAAAATGAATGTGGTTGAATGGTTAATTTGATACTTTGATCTCAAAGATCTTTGTTAATTATTCCCATGCAGTTAACGCTTATAAACAGTTGAATTTTATCGTAAACTTCAATGGCTTTGGTGGGAATTCGTGACAGACTACAGTTGCATGCGTGATGTCAATCTTATCAGCTAAAAACGTCTGCGTATATATTTTGTTAAACATTTTATATCGATCTAGATGTTGGCAATTACACACTGCCCAGCTAACTGTTCATTGATGAAAATATATTTATCATACATGCGTAAAGCAGTCCGCACACGTCATATATAACATATTCAGTAGAATACATATAGTCTTTATAGACGCAGGCACATTAATTCGCGTTTGACAATATTTTGATCATTCAGATTACGCGCAGATGTATTAAAATTGCTGTCAAGGTCACAACAAATTTCAAAGAATTCCAGCAAAGAATCGGAAACAATTGATTTACAAGACAAACTAACCTGTAAGTAGCAAAGTCAGTATTTCTTTGAAAAACTTCATTTTCGTATCCAACTGCGTTGTGCCCTCACAACAGAAACACCAACTTTGACAGTGACTGAGTCGGGCGGTCAAAGTATTTAAGATCATAGATTGATACGCGTTAAGCTTGTTACATCAGATAGGATTTGTTTTTTTAAGTCAATTTTTAAATGTGTGAGATATTTTCCTGGCTTATTTTTCAATCATTACGGCATCTTACAGTATTTAGGTCTGAAGGGAGTGACCTTTAAATGATTAACAGATTACCTGGTACTCTGGTAAAATTAAATCTACTGACCGGGTATCGAACTTTATCGCAAAGTCACGCATGTCGCATAGGTGGTCGATTATCAGTTACCACTGCCTGAAAGCGAAAATAGGATTGTTTGAAAGCCTTCCCGATTGATATGTAATGCGACTAAATTGAGTTTCCATCAAATTCTGAGACCCCGCTTTATCCTGGGCCCGGTTGTATGAAGGCCGTTTAGCTTAAACGGTGGATAAGTCAAAATTAAATAACACTCTTACATCTCTCTTGAATGAATCAACTTGAATTTTATGCCCTGAATATGTAGTTGTAAACAGTATCTTTGTATTAAGGTTAAAAACATTTAGTTTGCTTCTTGAATAAAACGATAGACTTGCTTTCTAATTTGAACTTAACCACCGTTTAAGCTAAACGGCCTAACTTCGTCCACGCGTTTATCATTTCATCACACGCAAACAGTCGCCGATGCTCTGCGATCCACTATCAACGACCAATGAAGTAGAATTTTTTCTCATAGACATAGCATTTAATTTTTTTTTTTTTTCGTATCCATATAAAAGGGGAGAAGCTGTCCTGCATGATAAAAGTTTGTTCTTTACGTGTATTTGCCTTCTATTCAATCTATTCTATTTTTGGTACAGGTTTTGGATCGTCAATGATTGCATACGCCCACAGACCAGTTCTAGGATAGATTTGATCAACTAGCATAGGTCGTTCATCAATTTGCGCCATAAAGGTAAGTGTACCCTTCCATTTTGGCAAAAATTGACGAGTTTTGAAAAGTTTCTAAAAATGTGTTACCATGGTAAAAATGGCTTATAAATATTTCCTAAGACTAACCTCTTTGGTTTTTGAGCATATTTGGTTTGCAGTATTAAATACTTACGTGGTGTGCCTACAAGCATAAATTACTTATTCATGTAAACATGCAAACATACAAGAATATTATTGAAAAAGTCGTCACTTTTGACCAAAATGCTAACGCTTTACCCCTTACCATTTTGGTCAATTTTGGTGACTTTTTGAACTGTTGAAAAATGTCTTAAAATGCTAAAAATGGCTTCCTAAGATTAATATCTTTCATATTAGAGCATATTTTATTGGTTTACCCCTTACCATTTTGGTCACTGATTTTGACGACTTTTGAACTGTTCAAAAACCAACCAAATATGCTCTAAAATGAAATATATTAGTCTTAGGAAGCAATTTTTAGCATTTTAAGACAGTTTTTTTAACAGTTCAAAAAGTCGTCAAAATTGACCACATTGGTAAGGGGTAAGCCTTACTATTTTGGTCAGTTTTGACGATTTTTCAGTGTTCCAAAAACAAACCAAATATGCTCTAAAATGAAAGATATTAGTCTTAGTAAGCCATTTTTAGCATTTTAAGACAACTTTTGAACAGTTGAAAAAGTGGTCAAACTACCAAAATGGTAAGGGTAAATCTTGTAATTCGTCGTAAGGGTAAATCGTAATTCGTCAAATTGGTAAGGGGTAAGCCTTACCATTTTGGTCAATTTTGACGAATTTTTGAACTGTTCAAAAACTGTCTTAAAATGGTAAAAAAGGCTTCCTAAGACTAATATCTTTCATTTTAGAGCATATTTGGATGGTTTTTGGAACATTGAAAAATCGTCAAATTTGACCAAAATGGTAAGGCTTACCTCTTACCAATGTGGTCAATTTTGACGACTTTTTCACCTGTTCAAGAACTGTCTTAAAATGCTAAAAATTGGTTCCTAAGATTTATATCTTTCATTTTAGATCGTATTTGGATGGTTTTTGGAACCCTGAAAAAATTGTCAGTTTTGACCAACATAGTAAGGCTTACCCCTTACCATTTTGGTCAATTTTGACGACATTTTTGAACTGTTCAAAAACTGTCTTAAAATGGTAAAAATGGCTTCCTAAGACTAATATCTTTCATTTTAGAGCATATTTGGTTGGTTTTTAGAACATTGAAAAATCGTCAAATTTGACCAAAATGGTAAGGCTTACCCCTTACCAATATGGTCAATTTCGACGACTTTTTCACGTATTCAAGAACTGTCTCAAAATGCTAAAAATGGCTACCTAAGACTAATATTTTTCATTTTAGAGCATATCTGGTTGGTTTTTGGAACATTGAAAATTCGTCAAATTTGACCAAAATGTAAGGCTTACCCTTTACCATTTTGGTCAATTTTGACGACTTTTTCAACTGTTCAAAAAGTGTCTTAAATGCTAAAAATTGCTTCCTAAGACTAATATCTTTGATTTTAGAGCATATTTTGTTAGTTTTTGAAACATTAAAAAAGTCGTCAATTTTGCCTTCAAGTAATAAAGTGTATTATTTTATGGCTAGTATCAACACAGGATGCGGTGGCCGAGTGGTTAAGGCTACTGCCCTAGACGGTCGTCCATTGCACCGTAACCATTAGCTCCAACAATCCCTCATATGAATGGTTGAAATGCATTGCCTTCTCTTTGCTTTCCTTAAGATCAATAATATAACTGCTATGATAAACACGTACTGCTCTTGACGAAGTCAAACACGCTGCGTTTAGCAAGCGCTTATAGTCTAGAGGTAGAAACAATGGTGAAAAAGGGCACTTTACGTTATTCCAAAACTTTGAAATTCAGAAATTCGTATTCCCTCTATTAATTTCAAAGTCTCCAAAGAAAGGAACCACCAGCAGCGGTGGCCGAGTGGGTTAGGACAGTGGTTAGTCCATAAGCGGTGGTAGGTTCAAGCCCTTGCAGTGTCAAAACATGAGTTGTGAATTCTTATTTAATTTAAAGTCTCCAAGGTAATGAGTAAATGAAATAAAAAACTTTCGTCTTTCACCACAAGCAGCGGTGGCCGAGTGGGTTAGGACAGTGGTTAGTCCATAAACGGTGGTAGTTCAAGCCCTTGCAGTGTCAAAACATGTGTTGCGAATTCCCATTTAATTTAAAGTCTCCAAGGAAAGGATTAAATGAAATAAAAAACTTTCGTCTTTCACCACAAGTAGCGGTGGCCGAGTGGGTTAGGGCAGTGGTTAGTCCGTTGACGTTGGTGGTTCAAGCCCTTGCAGTGTGAAAAATTAAGTTGCAAATTCTTATTTAATTTCAAAGACTTGTAAGGATAAGGTGAAAAAATTCTAAGTCTAACCAGCACTGATAGCCGGTGGTGAAAGACTTAGAAAATTTAAAAAAGTCTTAAGTCGAAGAAAGGATTAAGTAAAATAAAAAACTGTTGTCTTTCACCACCAGCAGCAGTGGTCCAGATGGTTAGGACAGTGGTTAGTCCATAAGCGGTGGTGGGTTCAAGCCTTTGCAGTGTCAAAACAATGAGTTTCAAAGCCTTGGAAAATTTAAAAAGTCCTAAGTCGAAGAAAGGATTAAGTAAAATAAGAAACTGTCGTCTTTCACAACCAGCAGCAGTGGCCGAGTTGGTTAGGACAGTGGTTAGTCCATGAGCGGTGGTGGGGGTGGTGGGTTCAAGCCCTTGCAGTTTCAAAACATAAGTTTCAAAGAAAAATTGAACATTGAAAAAGTTGAAAAGTGGAAAATAAAAAGGGATATAGTTGGAAAAAAATTGGACAATTAAATAGTTTTTTCTCCTATTTCTCTATTTTTCTTTTTTAAAAACTAGAGAAAAAACAAACTAGAGAAAAAAACTAACTAGAGAAATAGAAGAAAAAACTAGAGAAAAAAAACTAGAGAAAAAACTAACTAGAAAAAAACTAGACAAATAGAAGAAAAAACTAGAGAAAAAAAAACTAGAGAAATAGAAGAAAAAACTAGAGAAAAAAAACTAGAAAAAAAAACTGGAGAAAAAACTGACTAGAAAAAAACTAGAGAAATAGAAGAAAAAACTAGAGAAATAGAAGAAAAAACTAGAGAAAAAAAACTAGAGAAAAACTAACTAGAAAAATAGAAAAAAAACTAGAAAAATAGAAGAAAAAACTAGAAAAAAAACTAGAGAAAAAAACTAATTAGAAAAATAGAAAAAAAAACTAGAGAAATAGAAGAAAAAACTAGAGAAAAAAAACTAGAAAAAAAAACTAACTAGAAAAAAACTAGAGAAATAGAAGAAAAAACTAAAGAAAAAAAACTAGAGAAAAAAAAGGAAAAAACTAGAGAAATAAAAGATAATACTAACAGGTTTAACTTAGAGAAAGTACTAAAAAATACTAAGAGGTTTAATTTAGAATTGTCAAGTCACACAGAAGAACTTGCAAAATAAAAACACTAACACCATCAGAGGAAAAAGGTTTACTTCTTAAACTTTACAAAGACTTTCTCTTTATAAACCCAAGTTTTGAAAATTGTCACATAATTCATCACATTTCACACTAAAATATATTAATTAATGAATCTGGGTGCCTTTCAACTTTCTTCAACACTAAAGAAAAAAAAGAATTTCATCAAAAAAATAGTAAGAGAAAATATATTTAGAAAAATACTAATACTAAGAAGAAATTAAAGAGATAAGTATAAGAAAAAGCCAAAAGCAACTGCCAAAACCTTTTCAATTGTGAAAGCACACGGAAAAACATGTAAAATCAAAACAACAATGTTTTTTTCTCTTATATTTTTTCGCTAATTTTTCTCTTGTCTTATAATTTTTCTCTTGTTTTACAATTTTTCTCTGTAATTTTTTCTTAATGTTTTTCTCTAAGTATTTTCTAAATGTTTTTTTGAAAAGTTTAAGAAGAAACTTGATTTTTGAAACCAAAGCAACTGCCAAAATATTTTCAATTGTGAAAGCACACAGAAAAACATGCAAAATCAAAACACTAACACCACCAGACAAAAAAGGTTAACTTCTTAAACTTTACAAAGAAAAATTTCTCTTTATAAATCCAAGCTTGAAAATTGTCACATAATTGATCACATTTCACATATGTTATCTCAGGTTCTTCAGGGGTGCCTTTCAACTTTCTTCAACTTCGTTCATTCTAAAGAGAAAAAGCATTTCATCAATCCTTTTAGGCAAAAAGTGGCAGCAAAGTTTGTATTTTCAACCTGACATCATTATTAAAAGACATTACTCATTATCTTACTTTAGTTTAGTCATCTTTCATGGATAGACAATACATTCATGAATGCATTCTGTTTTATGCCAGTTATATTTTTGCCATTTTCAATAAAAAGAATGTACATGTCACATGCATATATATATTCAACCCAGACATATGTCACTATTTAATTTGAACACAGAAAAACTGGATACCACCCTTCTGAGTACTACAGAATATAAATCACATGGAAATCAGAAAAAATTCTCCCAAGTTTAAAATAGTAATTGCTGGTCTTTTTCGTGGATATTTATTGTAAGACCACCACATGAATTTTAGTAATCAGCCAGACTGGTTCAGCTGTTATAGCATTAAGTTTCATCATTGGTTTCACACATTGTGACCATAGAAGCAAATTACAATTTCATTGTTGTCATCTCGACAATGTAGTGGCTTTTTAAAATCAAATGCTGACCATCCATGACAAAATCAAATTACCTCAGTGCAGATATCTTGTTCACTTTCCAATCAATGTACATCTGACAGTAAAGTTCATATCCACGGCTCATGTTGCACTCTTGACCAGAGAAAATCTTGAATATTAGAAGAACACATGATTAATATAAAATTCCATTTGAACTACCTTAATTTTTGTTAGTTTTTGGTCAAGCATTCTATGGTTACTTCATCCCTCTATATATATGGTTGCTATATCTATTCCAAGCCCACCACAGGAATTTATCATTGGTGACACATAGGGAGCGTAGAAGCAAAGTTCACTTAGCAATCTTAACAAAATTGTGACTCCCTGCGATTTTCATGAAAACTAGTATCTACTAGTTGCAGCAAATTCCCCCTTATACTAAATAACAAAATATATATCTGGGCAGTTGATATGTATTACAAGGTCACTACAAGAATTTCAGCTGCAAGGCTAATATAAATTTTGAAGGAACAATCAAAGAATTACCTCTTTGAAAATTCCATTTTCAACTATCTTAATTATTGTCTAGTTTTTCGTTAGGTATTCTATGGTTACTTCATCCCTCTATATATATAACTATGGTTGCTATATTTATTCAAAGACCAGCAAAGGAATTTATTACTGGTGACACATAGTGAGTATAGAAGCAAAGTTCACTTAGTAATCTTAACAAAATTGTGACTGCCTGACGATTTTCATGAAAAAGATCCTAGTTGCAGCAAATTCCCCCTTATAATAAATAAAATATATATCCGGGCAGTTGATATGTATTACAAAGTCACTACAAGAATTTCAGCTGCAAGGCTAATATAAATTTTGAAGAAACAATCGAATTACCTTTGCGCAGAAATCTTGTTCACTTCCAATGTTCATCTGACAGTTAAGTTCATATCTACAGCTCATGTTGCACTCTTAACCAAGGAAAATATTGAATATAAGAAGACATTATTAATATAAAATTCCATTTTCAACTATCTTAATTATTGTCTAGTTTTTGGTCAGGTATTCTATGGTTATACTTCATCCCTCTATATATAACTATACAGTTGCTATATTCATTTAAAGACCACCACAGGAATTTATTACTGGTGACACATAGTGAGTATAGAAGCAAAGTTCACTTAGTAATCTTAACCAAATTGTGACCGCACTGACGATTTTCATGAAAAAGATCCTAGTTGCAGCAAATTCCCCTTTATACTAAATAACAAAATATATACAGGGCAGTTGATATGTATTACAAGGTCACTACAACAGTTTCATCTCATCAGCTGCAAGGCTAATATAACTTTTGAAGGAACAATCGAATTACCTCTGTGCAGAAATCTTGTTCACTTTCAATTTTCAACTATCTTAATTATTGTCTAGTTTTAGCAGAAGGCACATAAACAGTAAAGTAAAATACTTAACTTTGACCAGACAGCACAACAATCTTGCTCAGAAAGGTCCGCGAACGGTCCACGTGTATGGTTTTCTTCGGCATCGCCATTTTGAATTCGGCCGGGCGAGTCTTGAACTGATTCCAATTTTCTATTTCAACTGTTCTCTTGACGTTCGTCTTGATAACTGGCTGTTGAGATAAAGGTTAATGACAAAATGTTCAGTTCTGCTTCAGTCTATGGGTTCGGGAATTGCTCATGACATAAATTTTCAGTAAAAAATTATCATCATTGCAGGCAGAATTAAGCTCGAAACTTTAGATAACCTTGTACGCAGAATATTTCATATTGTATATGGCTTTTTGTCGTTTCTGGCCAACAATTAGCAGAAGGCACACAAACATCAAAGTAAAATACTTAACTTTGACCAGACAGCACAACAATCTTGCTCAGAAAGGTCCGCGAACGGTCCACGTGTATGGTTTTCTTCGGCATCGCCATTTTGAATTCGGCCGGGCGAGTCTTGAACTGATTTCTATTTTCTATTTCAACTGTTCTCTTGACGTTCGTCTTGATAACTGGCTGTTGAGATAAACGTTAATGACAAAATGTTTAGTTCTGCTTCAGTCTATGGGTGCGGAAATTGCTCATGACATAAATTTTCAGTAAAAAATTATCGTCATTGCAGGCAGAATTAAGCTCGAAACTTTAGATAACCTTGTACGCAGAATATTTCATATTGTATATCGTTTTTTGTTATTTCTGACCAACAATTAACAGAAGGCACACAAACATCAAAGTAAAATACTTAACTTTGACCAGACAGCACAACAATCTTGCTCAGAAAGGTCCGCGAACGGTCCACGTGTATGGTTTTCTTCGGCATCGCCATTTTGAATTCGGCCGGGCGAGTCTTGAACTGATTTCTATTTTCTATTTCAACTGTTCTCTTGACGTTCGTCTTGATAACTGGCTGTTGAGATAAACGTTAATGACAAAATGTTCAGTTCTGCTTCAGTCTATGGGTGCGGAAATTGCTCATGACATAAATTTTCAGGAAAAAATTATCGTCATTGCAGGCAGAATTAAGCTCGAAACTTTAGATAACCTTGTACGCAGAATATTTCATATTGTATATCGTTTTTTGTTATTTCTGACCAACAATTAGCAGAAGGCACACAAACATCAAAGTAAAATACTTAACTTTGACCAGACAGCACAACAATCTTGCTCAGAAAGGTCCGCGAACGGTCCACGTGTATGGCTTTCTTCGGCATCGCCATTTTGAATTCGGCCGGGCGAGTCTTCTATTTCATTTTTTTCTCTTCACGTTCATCTTGACAACTAGCTGTTCAGATAAACCTATATAAAACGAAAAAAAGGGCTCGGCTCAGATACACTGTACTCCTTGAGGAAGGCCTACGGCCTTCCCGTAGATTAGTGTAAAGGCCTACAGTAGGAACTAGCAGCGTGCGGGGGACCAAAACGCTCTAGGCAAACGGTCCCCCTACTGGGGTCGGACAAAGCAACCGCAGATTACGCATATAATCGCCGGAACCCACCTTTTAGTCAACGGCGAACTCCTTCTTCCTCGAACAATCTTCAATCTTGCTGAGCTTCGATCTTGCTGTCCACCTTCGATCGCCACCTATTTAAAGAAATTTTTTTTTAACGTTGAGATTAGTTTTATAGGCGATAATTACCATGTGATCATAGCAGATCACGTGGTATGATAATGTACGACAACATGCCGATCAACTCCGAACATCATCGTGAGCGATGTTACTATAAACGAATCACTAAAAGCCTAGAAAAGAGTTGTCCTTTCCTATATTTCAACATTTTAAAAGCAGTGTATTCTAGTTTTGTTTTGAAGCACAATTTGTTTTTTGCTTCTAGTTTTTTGGTTTCGTTTTAAAAGGTGAATTGTCGCTGTGTGCCGAATTCTTTGTATTTCTGATGTCAAACAATCCTGTACTTTTTGGTATCATAAATATAAGCTCCCTTGTTTTGGAGACATACAACAGTTTTTTTTATATTTTAGCCAAAACATATAGCAGCAATTACAGATTCACTAAGTTCATTCTCATCTTGATTCACAAATTTTTAAAGGACTTGAATCGATTCCATGCGGTCTACAATGGCTGGGCGAACGTCTTACACCTAAAGTCAGTCAAAGATTGTTGTGTCTCAATTCATTAGTTTCACTAACACTAAATGACATGCCTCCGAATAGCTTTTGTTCTGCTCCGAGAAGGTCATCGTTGGCAGTTCCTTGGCTAGCAATAATAGAACAAAATGATTAGGACTCCATATTCTGGATGGCGTATTGGATGGCGTTGGCCTTGCAGCACTTGTCCACAGGATGTAAATTGACAGTCATCTCGGGCAGTCATCTCGGGCAGTCATCTCGGGCAATCATCTCGGGCAGTCATCTCAGGCAGTCATTTTCACGTCGTCCACCCGGGCTCTCGGGAGCTTCGTCGCCGCCTAAAGATATGTTTGAATGTTTTAGGTTAGTTTGAGTTTGGTTGTGTGGCTGGTTGGTTCAGCATTCGTTGTCTCGTCCTGTTTCTCGCCATGCAATATTTCACCTGTCAATTTATTGCTTGTGGACATGCAGCTATTAAACCAAATACATTACTTTATCACAAATGGTAGTAACAAGTTGTCCTGTTTTATAAATTATAATTCGACAAATGGTAGTAACAAGTTGCCCTGTTTTATAAATGATAATGCAATATTTCACCTGTCAATATATTGCATGTGGACATGCAGCTATCAAACCAAATACATTGCCTTATTGCAAATGGTAGTAACAAGTTGCCCTGTTTTATAAATTAGAATGCAATATTTCACTTTTGGACTCTTTGTTACATGTGACTGTAAAATGATCTGGCAGATCAAGTAGTTTATCCTCAATGAAACAAAATGTTTAACAAAAGTGCATTTTAACTGATCAAAAATCTTTAAAATATTGTTCAGATACATAGATAAGTCCGAAACGTTTGAAACAATTTTGGACTCGCATTTTAAGACAGTTCTTGAACAGTTCAAAAAGTCGTCAAAATCATAGTGACCACATTGGTAAGGGGTAAGCTTTAGCATTTTGGTCAATTTTGACGATTTTTCAATGTTCCAAAAACCAGCCAAATGTGCTCTAAAATGAAAGATATTAGTCGCAGGAAGCCATTTTTAGTTTTTTATGACAGTTTTTAAACAGTTGAAAAAGTCGTGAAAATTGACCAAAATGGTAAGGCTTACCCCTTACCAATTTGACGAATTTTCAATGTTCCAAAAACCAACCAGATATGCTCTAAAATGAAAAATATTAGTCTTAGGTAGCCATTTTTAGCATTTTAAGACAGTTCTTGAATAGGTGAAAAAGTCGTCAAAATTGACCAAAATGGTCGGTGGTAAGCCTTACTATTTTGGTCAAAATTGACGACTATTTCAATGTTCTGAAAGCCAACCGAATATGCTTAAAAACCAGATATATTAGCCTTAGGAAACATTTAAAGTCATTTTCAGCGTGTTAACACGATTTTTGAAAATTTTGATAAGCGTTCAAGTTTGACCAAAATGGTAAGGGGTTATTTACCATTTACCATTTTGGTCAAAATTGACGACTTTAAGAGATTGGTCTTACAAACCTATTTTTAGTATGTTAACGCAGTTTTAGAAAATTTTGAAAATTCATCAATTATGGGAAAATGGTAACGGGTAAGCCTTACTATTTAGTCAAAATTGACGATTTTGCAATGTGCCAAAATGCAACCAAATATGCTCAAAAACCAAAGAGATTAATCTTAGGAAGCTATTTTTAAGGTAATTTTCCAGCGTGCATTTTAAAACTGTTTTTAGAAAAATTCCACGAGTCGTCAATTTTGGCAAAAATTGTAAGGGGTAAAGAGATTCCAGATTAGTCTTTTAAGTTACGGGTATAAAGAGGCAATTTTTTGAGTATATTTGGTTTGCATGAAAAGCTAGGTCAATAAAACTTAAAATCTTCAATTTTCTACAAACTAGCCAGGACCTGATTTTGTTCAAAGTGAAACTGGACCCCAAAACACCAAATGTATTACTAAATACAAGAAGATTATATTAAGCGCTCATTTTCAAATTTTTATGCTTTATTTTTCTTGGCGTGTTGGAGAAATGGAAGCGGTGAACCTGGACAAAGCTTTCGTAAATTTGAACAAGACTTCTTTAGCAAAGCTACTGGGCTGAGTTAAGCTGTATCGTGGATCATGCTAAAGTGTATTATTATAATGTGTTTTTGATCAGTAGATATTGGACTAAATTACTACATCCTTTAGGGCCTTACTGGGAGCTTTGGGTCAAGTCTAAGCAGAACCCTATGTTGCCACAGTCCATCAACCATGAGTTTAATAAACCACGAATTAACTCAGTAAACAAACAACTCTGGGTATACGATGGCTGGATCGCTCTAAATATGCCGGTATTCAGGTAGAATTTAAATTCAAACCTTGCTATATATTCTTAAAGTCATATTTTTCTCCACTCTTGTTTCAAATAGTCTAATTTCATTATACTTTTGAAGCATTTCAAACCTTGTTATATATATTCTTAAAGTCATATTTTTCTTCACTCTTGTTCCAATATTCTAATTTCGTTATACTTTTGAAGTATTTCAAACCTTGCTATATATATTCTTAAAGTCATATTTTTCTCCACTCTTGTTTCAAATAGTCTAATTTCGTTATACTTTTGAAGCATTTCAAACCTTGCTATGTAATACTATATTCTTAAAGTCAATATTTTTCTTCATTCTTGTTTCAAATAGTCTAATTTCGTTATACTTTTTAAGCATTTCGAACCTTGCTATATATATTTTTAAAGTCATATTTTTCTTCATTCTTGTCACAATAGTCTAATTTCGTTGTACTTTTGAAGCATTTCAAACCTTGCTATATATATTCTTAAAGTAATATTTTTCTTAATTCTATAGTCTCAATAGTCTAATTTCGTTATACTTTTGAAGCATTTCAAACCTTGCTATACATATTCTTAAAGTCATATTTTTCTTCACTCTCGTTTCAATAGTCTAATTTCGTTATACTTTTGAAGCATTTCAAACCTTCCTATATATTCTTAAAGTCATATTTTTCTTCACTCTCGTTTCAATAGTCTAATTTCGTTATACTTTTGAAGCATTTCAAACCTTGCTATATATTCTTAAAGTCATATTTTTCTCCACTCTTGTTTCAAATAGTCTAATTTCGTTATACTTTTGAAGCATTTCGAACCTTGCTATATATTCTTAAAGTCATATTTTTCTTCCACTCTTGTTTCAAATAGTCTAATTTCGTTATACTTTTGAAGCATTTCGAACCTTGCTATATATTCTTAAAGTCATATTTTTCTTCATTCTTGTCACAATAGTCTAATTTCGTTGTACTTTTGAAGCATTTTGGCAACGGTTTAAAAAATCGCTATCCGGTTTACAGCGCTATCTATCCTCCGTACAAAACGGGTACTTTGCGCAAAATTATGTAAGGGGATGTTATTGTTTAATAAACATGACTTTATACATGTTTCGATTTATTATATATCAGTCGTTTTAAGGTTGCTTTGATTAGAATAGCTTCATGTACGACGGGTTCTAAACAGTTATAGGAAGAACGACAGTGCATGATCAGGCAGCTTTTCCAGTTTTATTCATTTTGAGATTCCCCACCTTATCATGGTAAGCAATGCTCTGGAATCTAACGCAGAAACCTGACGCCGTACTGAACTGCAAGACTTTATGAATTTTGGATAATGTATAGAGAAGTGTTTTTCATCAACTTGCGAAAGGCAAATTAAAACTTTTTCGGCCGGTATTTTCCATATTTCTAACTGCGTTTCTATAATCATTTTATCACTGAAAGTTGTAGAAATGCCAAACTTTTTAATAATGTGCCGTTAAAAATACCCGAAAATCAATTAGACTTGTCGCAAAATATTTGGTGCTCGAAAGGTACCGTCTTTTAAAATAATTTTCGGTCTACGCTGATTTTGTAAATAAATAAGTAAATAAAAATTGTCTGTAAATAATTTTCTGTCTTTCCCTAAAGCAATTTCTTTTGATCATCCGTCAGGATATAGTTTCTTAGAAATTTTATAGGAAATCGTTCAACAATCATAAATGGGAATATCCCAACACAGGTTTTGATAGAAAGTTTGCATGCAATTCTTAAGTTCGTCTTCAAGGATGGAAAAATGAATTTTCAAGGAAAATGTTTTCACCGGTGATCCTAAATTTGAAATCGTTTTTCTGGGTAAGCCAGTGAATTCAAATTGGCTGGACTGGAGGAAATTTCGCGTTTTTCAACATTTTGATATTTTTATTTTTCGACTTTGCCTAGCTTTTATAAACAAGCGCTATTCGTAATTTGAAGCTTTCCTGGGATGGTTATAACTTGGATGATCGTTTTTACTGTGATAAACTGATCGTTCAGATAAATGGACCATCTTTATGAATTTAAAAAGAGGTTACTGTACAAACCTTGTCATGAGTTCGAAATTCGGTCATGCGCAGTACGGCGATAGGTCCCGAACACGGGCACTGTTTTTTGTGACGAGGGAAACCGGGCTGTGCCCGGAGGAAAACCCTCGGAAGACCACCGGAAGAAGAAAATCGGAAGAAGAATACCGGAAGAAGCGAACCTAATCATGTTTGCCGAAATATGCCGGAAGAACCCATGTTTACCGGAGTAAAATAATTATCAGACTGGACCCGGAGTGTCGCTGATTATTATTCGCGCTATTGCATTACAGCATTATATCTTTGCGCAATTCATTTATACTTCGCCATATTTTTCAAAAAAAAAAGCAAAAAAAGACCCTATGTTTTGCCGAGTGCCCTGAAAAGCTTCCGCTATCTCTGCTTCGACAAGCTTAAGAGATTACGCGACCAACTGCAATGCAAAAGTTAGTGCACATACGTATATCCCTGCTAGCACCGACTTTATTCACGGGGAGGGCAAAAGTCCCGCTAGTAGGGATATTTAAGTAAAGTAAACGTCACCCACCTTTCAATGTCATAATGCGGTATTATCGAAATATAATACCCGTCAGGCTCACACTCGGCAGAACGCCCTAGCGCACAAAAGCCACGCAGCGAAGGTAAATCAGTGCGTTTTTTTTCGTGTGTTCGCAAAGATTTTTCTTCAACGTGAGTT